ACGAAGGGTGAATTACTATTTTGGGTAAGAGTTTTTTTTTATCTAACTTATTGTCGTCATCAACAAAAATAATCTCACAATGTTTGATGGAAATCCTACAAGGTTTGGTTTTACAAATTACAAAAGTTACAAAGAATGAAACCAACTAGACCCGGAATTCAGATGCATAGTCAACAATCAATACTAATCTCATATTTTATATATAATCACCGCAGATCCCGATGCAAACATTTCCAAACTTTGTGGTCCAATTCCAACCCGAGTCAGTAATTCTAGGCCTGATATTAGTAAACATAACTGTAAAAACATAAATGCAAGGGAACGAGAAGCTTGAAAAGGAATATATCAAGATCATATATTAATTGCCTTTAGAATAAATATGTTATACAGCCGAAACGTGGATAATTGGAAAACTATTCATAATGTAAATTTGAATGCACTCAAAACAAAGGTACGTTCGCAGCACAAGAGTCCATTAGTATAAAACCTTCATATGTAATCTGATTTAGGTTAAGGGTAATAAGATAAGACAATACAATAACACTGACGTGACCATAAAACTTCCAAGGTTGTATACCGTATTGCCCGCGCTTGTGCACTTATGGCTGTAAATAAATTAACAGTTAGGCTACCTTATTACTCTTTGATCGTCTTCCGTGAGTCTTCCATTCATGAATTTGACAACAATTGTCGCATGAATACTATTTTATGACCTAACTGTAATATTATTTAGTTTAAATTTAGCTAGTATTCGTGTAACTTTCGTTTTCGTTCCACACTAACACGTCCACTTCGTAGACATTTTCAATCAACAGTTGTAGGCCTAAACCTAACTGCATTAGTAAAGCTGTAAAAGACTTATAAAAGCGGGTTTTAAAAGAAAAACGTTAGAATATGGATGGACAAAACAAATTAAGAAATAAAAACTGCTGTTGACGTCGTCAAACTGACTGACATGACAAAAAAGTTTTGGATTATCTCCAAAGGAAATGACAAAAAAAGTAATGCCGCCTGCACTATTCCCGGAACATGACAGCACGGCCGCATCTTTGTCGAGTTTTTAATTCAACAATGATGTAGATCTTACATTCAAAATGGCCCACACATCTTTGCCCGGCCGCATCTTTCCTAGGATTATTGATACAACACAAATACTCTTCGCTACCAATCTGGTGCTATATTATGGCCTAACTGAAATCTCTACTTTGATTTGTATTTGAACCGTAGTTCGTTTCGCCCCAGCAGTTCCCGATGTCAACATTTGCAGCTTGTTTACATCCAGTCAGTTTGCATAAACACGGTCCGAGATACATGATATTTAGATACAATATTTAGGCTGAATAAAAGCCTAACACAAGCTGAAAGCCATAATGGGGCAATTTGTTTTTATTGAGTTCATTTAAATTGTAAATACAAAGTATCTTACTTGTTCTAACTCTAATGTTTTCTTGTTCTCGATCGCTTTTATTTGTTTACGCCGTCGTCTTTGGCTCAACAATTACACACCAAAAATCATTTAGTACTATACTAGGGCTGAACTGAAGAAATGAGTTGATCTCCAATAATCATTGCAGATTCCGATTTAGATTCGCCTCGCCAATTTCAGAACTTGTAATATCAATTCCATTTTGTAGATATTTGGATGAACAATTGCAGGCCTTGGTTTAGCGTAACTGCATTAGTATAGCTACAAAAATCCTAAATGTCTTAATACAAAGTTAGATTACAAGAGGATAAGCGACACAAAGATGCAAATAAACCATAAAACTTAAAAAATTCACAAAAATAAAATTAGTGCTCATCTGACGGCGTCAAATTCGAAAAGACCGTTTGGGCGCAGACAAATTTTGACGTGGCAATAAAACAAATGTGTGGGTATAATAAAGAAACAAAGAAGGTGTAGGAGACCGCTAAATGAACATGCTTTTTCATTTGATATTAGGAATCATATGACCATGCGACGCATTTTGATGATTCTTCTGATCATTCTGAAAGTCGATTTCTTTGTTGAGATCTAAATCCAAATCGAAATATATATAAATCATTGTGATTTCAAACTACTCATTTTAATAATGGCTACAAATATTCGATTTAAAATATATAATTTGTGTAATTACGTTTAACGTCTTTCTTCGATAAACGCTTACTAATATTCGCGTTTGTCTGACTGAGCGCATAATTATGCAAGGAATGAAAAAAAAACTAAATACTTAAAAAAGAATTGGTAGAACGGTAGTACTTTACCGACGTTATGTTGTCGACAGACGAAATAATCACACTGATCTCCTGGTCTCAACTCATTGCAGATTAAAACTATTCCGTAACAATGCGAAAAAATTATCTCACTCCGTGAGAAGTGTGATAAGGTTTATTCGCAACGGTGGCGGTGGCAGCAGAATTCTAATTCCAAGCGAGCGAAGAATCCGACTAGGAGGAAATTGTAAATTGGGAAGTTTGAGCAGTCCTGTAACATTTATGGTTTGGGAATATTTATTTTTCGCTGTTTAGATAATGCATGCCTACGGTTTTTTGAGGAATTTTCAACACCTTATTACCGATCAGTAGATCGCGAGCAATTTTGACGATTTTAGTTTTTTATCAATTCTAAAAAAACATCGTGGGTTAAAACAAGGGCTTGTTTTAAATCAATTATTTCTGTATTTTTTTATTGAAATACCCCCTACATTGCCGCTAAACTACGCCAAAACGTTGCGTTCTGGCAGCTGCATACGCTGCCGAAATTATAATTTTAAAAATGTGAGTATAAATTACAAGATTACAAGAGGATAAGCGACACAAAGATGCAAATAAACCATAAAACTTAAAAAATTCACAAAAAAAAAATTAGTGCTCATCTGACGGCGTCAAATTCGAAAAGACCGTTTGGGCGCAGACAAATTTTGACGTGGCAATAAAACAAATGTGTGGGTATAATAAAGAAACAAAGAAGGTGTAGGAGACCGCTAAATGAACATGCTTTTTCATTTGATATTAGGAATCATATGACCATGCGACGCATTTTGATGATTCTTCTGATCATTCTGAAAGTCGATTTCTTTGTTGAGATCTAAATCCAAATCGAAATATATATAAATCATTGTGATTTCAAACTACTCATTTTAATAATGACTACAAATATTCGATTTAAAATATATAATTTGTGTAATTACGTTTAACGTCTTTCTTCGATAAACGCTTACTAATATTCGCGTTTGTCTGACTGAGCGCATAATTATGCAAGGAATGAAAAAAAAACTAAATACTTAAAAAAAGAATTGGTAGAACGGTAGTACTTTACCGACGTTATGTTGTCGACAGACGAAATAATCACACTGATCTCCTGGTCTCAACTCATTGCAGATTAAAACTATTCCGTAACAATGCGAAAAAATTATCTCACTCCGTGAGAAGTGTGATAAGGTTTATTCGCAACGGTGGCGGTGGCAGCAGAATTCTAATTCCAAGCGAGCGAAGAATCCGACTAGGAGGAAATTGTAAATTGGGAAGTTTGAGCAGTCCTGTAACATTTATGGTTTGGGAATATTTATTTTTCGCTGTTTAGATAATGCATGCCTACGGTTTTTTGAGGAATTTTCAACACCTTATTACCGATCAGTAGATCGCGAGCAATTTTGACGATTTTAGTTTTTTATCAATTCTAAAAAAACATCGTGGGTTAAAACAAGGGCTTGTTTTAAATCAATTATTTCTGTATTTTTTTATTGAAATACCCCCTACATTGCCGCTAAACTACGCCAAAACGTTGCGTTCTGGCAGCTGCATACGCTGCCGAAATTATAATTTTAAAAATGTGAGTATAAATTTTTGTTTTGACTTTTATTTCCATTGCGTACATTTATCGTCGTGGTGGTATCTACACCAATGTCGTAAGATTTTACCCGGAATGTTTAGCCGAGATATCAGAGAGACGTTTTGAGTAAGAAAAATCATGAAGTTTAGCTCACGAACCTACCACTAAATTAATTGGATGAAGGGAAGCCTTTGGCAAAACGAGTGCGTTACGATAATGAAGAATAAACGTACATCGGCGGCAATCTACTGATATAAACTATTGGACACCCTAAACCTAGCCTATGCTTATTGTAAGAGTCCTCTGATGCAAAGACGCTACAACTAATCTGTTATGAAGCCATAATAAAGATCTCGAGTTTATGTAATGACATTTTTCTCATACATTAGCATATAGAGAATTCTTTTTTAATTATGAGCACAATGCCGTTTTGTAACTAATAAATATGAAAAATCACTCTTGAACCCTTTCTCGGCCGTTGACAAAAAGTTGTGATATTTGCGTTTTTGTCATGGCCTGCTTAGCTATTTCGGCGAAACTCTAACCTTGAGGTTGGCAATGTAACATCGGGTATTACAGGAGGTGGAAAAAAGCATTGTCCCCTTCTGAAAATTTCATCCGAACCTGCTCGCCACCGAACGTAGATGTTCTGCACAAAAATGATTGATATAGTAGCAAGTTTATTTCTGAAATGATACAATTATATTCTTGCACATATCGCATTCTAAATGAACTGTTAGGCTGCATTTTATCTAAACTATATGAACCATAAAAGACTCTCTAAAAGTTGCCAGTAATTGTTAAGGCCGATTGTTTACCCGATCCTGATATATGATTCTTTCCATTTCCTTCAATTTCGGTATCGTTATGTGTCTTTTTGATATTTGGAATCTGTGAACATTAATTATTAGACAACATTCGTTCGTGGATTCAGGTATTTGGAATTGATGGATGTCAGCATAACCACGATAGCATCGCACGTTGAATATTTTAGACTGAAACTGATTAGCACAACGACCAATACAAACCTAACATTTTACTAGCGGTCTAACAAATAGTCGTTCTTTATATTCATTGTGTTTGTTTTTTAAAAAAAAAGCTCGCAAAATTCGCCGCCTTTCGCGTGCTCTTGCAGTGCTGACGCTTTTTCACGGTTCATTAAATTACATTTGTTACCATAACAACATTCCCCGCGTACATTACTTTGGCTTTCGGCTTTCAGAGCTTATTTCTTGTTTGCGGCGTTGCTTTGCTGTTTTTATCTAGTCCAATTTTCTATACCACACGTTTTTGGTATTGGATTAATACACAAATTAAACATGGGGGATTATAGATTAGGCATATATCGTGACTCGATGAATGATAATCCACTGCTAATGAAGGTGAGTGAATACAAGTGAATTTAGTGATTTATTGATAATACAGTAATATGCCTACTATAATAGTAATACGTGTTGTGTGACCGTATCGTACGTATCGTGTATTGTAATACTATTTCGAAATTCTGAGGTAGCTAGAGATCTTTCTGCAGTTAACAAGTCTGTATATTATAAATATAATTGCATCCAATAAAAATGAGAAAATTCATGTAGTTTTTAAAATAAACTATCTAGCCTATTATGAAAACAAATATCTGAATATAGCTTAGAATCTGAAACAGTCTTGAAACTTTTGAGTGAGTTAAATAAAACAAAAATTGTTTACAAATCTCTTTAGGAAATAGATTATCTGATAACGACTTCATAAAATCATTTAACTTGTATTAAAAATGAATCAAAATGTGAAATAGGATAGGATTTACATATTTATCCCGGGGGAGAGGAAAGCCGATAAGACGGCTTATCCATATGGCGAACCACGGCCTCTCGTCCAGTTACCATTCCAGGTCGGGTATGGGATTAGTTTTACTGTATTGTTTGTTTTCGGAAGCATGGACTTGGTGGTGGAGGAAGCCGTAACCGACCAGCGGTTACGTGAACCACCCAACGATGGCGAGGAGTCCAGCAATTCTCTCGCACATAACCATCCCTACATGGGATTCGAACCTGGGAACCCACGCATAGTAATTAGAGGTGCGGTGGAAATAGGTCGACTAGCATTTCCAATTTTGCTATATAGGATGGATTTACATATTTATCGTGGGAGAGAGGAAAGCCAATACGGCCTAATCTTAGGGCAAACCACGGCCTCTCGTCCGGTTACCAGTCCAGGTCGGGTGTGGGATTACTTCGTTATTTGTCTTTTGGAAGCGTGGACTTGATAGTGGAGGAAGCCGTATGAAGTCTCAAATAAAAATTTCCAGTTAATTTGAGTATTTTTTGCAGATCAGCACGTGTACAATTATGCCAAAATTACATTTTGATTAATGCTTGTTTTTTACTGTAACAGTGCATTGCATTTTTAAATAATAATAGCATGAGAATGCACAGATTGCGAAATCTACTACAAAAGTTGTTCAACTGTTAAAATTAAAGTTTGAATCAAAATATACAGCACTTTTTTATTTATTTCAACAGTCTGAACTTGGGAAGCCATTGAAGAGATGTTTTTCATTACCGAACGATCATTTTGTTTATGGAAGACCGAACCTTCCACTTGATGGCGGAGCAGCTGAAGCAATGACAACTCGAGAACCAATTCCGATTCACAGAAGAAAAGAAAAAACAAGAGAAAGAGATTTTATTGCTTTAAATAAAGGAGCAGTTGCTACAGGATTAGTCACTGCAAAAGTATGTTGATGTTGCATGTGAATATTATATTGTTCTCTTATGTTAAGTTTTCGAAGAAATTGAATGTTATCTTGAGATAATATATTGTAGAATTTTTTTTGTTTCTATTCTGCGTCTGGCATAATTCTAGCTCAACGTTACTGCTGAGCATACTGTTCTACAAACACTTACAAGTCCCAGTTTATTGTACTTCACATGCAATTTGTGTATTTCATTATTGTACTGTTTGACCTATTTTGTTCCAGGAACATTTTCAATATCGTGCAACACATGATGTGAAAAGACGAGTAAGCGAAGAAGATAAAATGAAAATTCTGACTAGGTATTTAATTTATTTTAATAATCCACATTGCTTCGAATCACTGGAGAGAATTGAAGAACAGTCCCAAGTTGAACTAAAATTTGTGTTATAGATGTCCGACTGGATCTGGACCATGTACAACTTCACAAATTTTTATCCAATGTCTTGTCAAAATTGCTTCCAAGAAAAACTTTTTAAATGAACTATATTAATTATCTATTGTTAACATATGCGATATAATTTGCAGGCGTATTCCTCCAGATATGACATTTGGCATCAGCACACGACCTTCGACACCGGTTTTTGACTTGTTAGAACATAAATATCAAGATAGATGGCTGGCTGCCAGAAGAGAAGCTGAAATTGCAAAACGAACTAGATCAGTGCAAAAGGTAAATGCATGTTAATGATGATTCAAACTGATTCTTACATTTTTTTGCTTTCCTGTACAGTATTGTTACTTATCGAACTCGATAAGTATGTTGATAGGTATTTGTTTGTCTGTCTGTTAGATGCACGCGATATCTCACGAAAACGAGGTTGAATTTGCTCCAAATTTTGCATGTGCATTCATCATATCTCGGACCAGAAGCCTATTAATTTTGGATGAATTATGTCGTATAATTAGCGAGTTATTGATTAATTAGTGATGGGACACACGATGTCACTACAGAGTAAGAGCAAATGAATCGAAACCACAGTTTCTGTTTTGGCGGATCCCCTAACTTTTGATCGATAAGTCCTCGGTCTCCGACCGATATTCTCGTTAAAATAATTAGCCATATTTCGTAGATTGCATAGTGGTAACCAAGCCTGTTGAGTCAGAGTTTGGTATGTTTTATTTAATATTGGAGATATGGCTGGAGTCGCATTTTCAAACTCCTCAGAAACAAGAGTCGAAACTGAGTCAGTTTGTGGACTCGAGTGTTGAAACTTCAAGGAAACTAAAAATGTATTTGGTTGAAAAAGGATTTATTACTGTGTATTGAATTTGGCATTCCAAAAGTATGTGTAGTGTATCAATATGGAGGTAATTAATTTTATTCGCCTATTTTACATCAAGTTGTGTGAAGGGACTGAAACCTATGGGCAGGGGGTATATCCACTTGGCTAACACAAACAGTCCCCGAACTCATAATAGAATTACAATGAGAAAAATCAGAATAAAGTTATGGCCTAACACTAACCCGGTACACACACTACGGGAGTGCCTTAAAGAGTGCATATATTATATAGTTTTTTGGTCAATATTTGATTTTTTTTTCGGAGTTTAGAGCAGGAGTCAGAGTCCAAGTTACCCCACTTCACAGCCCTGATGGATTATGGTCACTATCAGACACATAAATCAAAATTATTCAATATTATGTAAAATATGAAATGATATCTATAATATTTTCTGAATAATATTCGTCATTTTCTCTACTTAACAGTTCCAAATTTTTTTTTATTTTATATACTTCTTTTAGAAAAAACTTGATGGCAGAATTTATGAGACCCGTGCATCACTTTTGAGAAAACATCAACCGCAAGTTGAAGCACCTCCGTTATGGCAGATGCCAAAATTCCAAACAAGAGTAAGTACTAGTTAGATATTCAGCAAAACCTAATTGGGAGGGGAGGGAGTTTACATATTTATCCCGGGAGGAAAGGGGGAAGACAAAAAAACGCGCTCGTCCAATTTAGGTGATTTCATAATTCCCCCGTCCTAATTTTGTATTGTTATGAGAGAGAATGGTAGTGGACCTAGTAGATATAACTTATTCCATTTCTGTTATTATTAAGCACAACCATGCAAAAAGCACTACCATCTACCAGTATGCAGAAGGTTGGCAATGTATAAACTTATATAGTGTTGTCATCCGACGGCCATTGAACTTCCAGGGTTATATATATTAAGATAATTTCAAAGCAAGGTCACTTACTTGGTAAAGGAGATTTTGTTTTTTTCTCTCAATTCTTATTTTTGCTAATAAAAACGATTTGATTGATTATCTCCGATTAAAATACAGCGACTACCAAAATGCAAGATTCACTCGAACTATATAGATTTATGACGTTGCATCATGTGCCAGTAAATTCACACATGAGTATTTAAAAGAATTTAGAGTTTGTTCTGTTTTGTCTTACTAACTATATCCAATGAAATCACGGGATGCTGCAGTCCTGCTTCACCAACACATGAACCTTTATAACTGAACAAATAATCAATCTGTCACAGATATCTGCACATCTTGAGACCTTCCGATCACCAGAAAAACGTGAATCTGCTTTCAAACACCATCAGACGGATGCTACTTCCAGAACAGGCGTTTTTGGACATGGAATATACGAGGCTGCAAGGAGCTAAAATAAAAGACATAATTCACATTTGTTTTGCATCCTTCTTTCCTTTTAGCACTTTTTAAATCTATCTTTTTTAACATAAAAGCATGAAATTCTATTCCTGACTTTTTTTGTATTATCGTATATGCACTGTGTAGTTTAATGCACATTATTGGTACTGTTCTGCGGTCATATTGTTCCTTTTTCCTGACAATGGTCCATGTATATTGCTTGGGATGTTATAGATGATGTATGTCAACTTCTTAGCAATGCCTGAATATGTAATTGTAAGTCACCTTCCGAAGATGCACCGATACTAATATCATACTATGATTGTGAAACTACATGTCTAAATAGTTTGAAATTTTTCATGGTTCATTTCGATTCTTGTATAACATTTCATTATATTGCCATACTTATTACTGAAATGCTGAGCTGTGGGATGCCAAAGGCATGCCATTAGTATTATTAAACAAATTGGCTCTTTGCATATATATTTAGATAATCCACGAAACGCTAGTCATTTGCATACTGCAACTGCAAAAAATATGACATTTTTGGCTTGACTTTGTGTAGACAAAAAAACTTCGAAATCCACCTTTCATAAATTTGTCATCTGATTAGTCTTGTTTTTTTTCAATGAAGAAAGGTGGAGTTACATACATTTGATCACTTTTACATTATAATATCACCTAATGATGCCATAATATTTGTTAATAAACAAATACACATAGTAAGTTTTAGCTCTAATTTATTCGTATCGGAAGGTCATAAGATTGCTCAGAAACTCTACCATGGTAACTAAAAGAAATTGAATTGCCTGAGAGTTATAACCAAGCATCCGTAATATAGGAACACTGGCTTTCAACAGTAATTGATTGTATGGTATTACCAACTTTGAAAGGTTTAGACCAGATGATTGAACGGAAGCGAAATAAGACACATTGCAGGCGAAAAGGGTTGAATGGGTGCTTTTATCACAAAGGTTAAAGCGAATTGGAGTCCTATTTGCAACTCTGGCCAACGCTTATCCTAGATATGTTAGAAGAGCTGTATTTGCAGGAAGGCAAGAGTCGTTTCTAAGTAGTCCAAATTGCCTTCAACTACCCTTCATCACTCGTTTCAGTATTAACAACATAGAAGATGGAAGAGTCATGTGGTGTGTGACTAAACAATAGCAAAGTTTATACAGGGATATTCGCAATCAATGGTCAACTTTTCTTCTCACCAAAGATAGTGTATCCCACCTGCATGGCTCAAGATGAATAACCAAAAAATGTTGAGCAACCATTATGTCAGATTTGAAGAGCCCAGACCAATTCTGTGATTAGATGTTCCTAAACCCCTCATCCAAGTAGAGTAATTAATTGAATAGAGACTTACTGGTGGGCAGCAACCCAAGCCTCCATAACACTTCTGATCACTAATAAATCATACAATATAGAAGTTTTTCAGAATGTTTTTATTCATAGGCATAGTGGTGACATACAAATAATGTGCCTGACAATACAAACAACAACAAAATTGTCTTTTTCCACATCAAGTAGCCCACTATGCAGATATTAAACAATTTGTGAAAATTTGTTGAAGTTTGAGCTGTTGATCGAGATTTTATCTATTGATTATTTAGGTAGAGTACCATGAGATAATATAGGTTTCAAAGAAAATAATTATTATTTTTTCACTTTACGATTTTTCTGAATAAGCATATCAAAAATAATAAAAAAGAAAAATCGAAAAAAAAAAATAGTTTGACGAACATGATCGTGAATGAAATTTGTTGTCGAAAAAAAGTGATGTATGGCAGTGATGATTTGGCCCAAGTAATAACAATGGAAGAACATAAAAGAATGAATGTTGAGTACAAACGTTTCAACATAGTGCAGAATATGATGAATGAAACTTGAAAAAGAATCTAGTAGAACTCGATTCAAACGTGTATAATGTTCTGAAGTTGATATTGGCAAGAGAAATAAAGGCAGATGAAAACTAGAATGGGTATTTAGTAAATGGTTAAAGTGTGAAAATTTATCTATCAATCAATCAAAAGAATCAAAGGAATTTGAGTTGCGAAATTGAAATATCTCAGCCTTGAGAGGCTCTGATAAATTAAAACATTAGAAATAGGGTAACTAGTCATTCTTAACATACAACAAAGGAGGATTGCATACCTCAAAGTTTTTGTGATCAAAATTTGGTTTTCAAAAAGTTCGGGTGTCAAAATTTCCTTTAAACTGGAGTCTGAAAAGAAATTTTTGTCCACCAAGAGTAAGTAGTCCTTTTTTTAATAGCACAGACTCTTGAATTGAGTGAACACTTTTCCCAACTTCATCGTGATGGTTATACAAAAGCAGTGCTTTGCGCATCATAGTGGCGTTTAGTCTACTTATTTGAGAAATAAACCACCGGAAATGAAATTGGCGGAAATACAGTAAACTTATCATTTCTCAACAACATTTCTACACTACACTATAACTAAATGAAATTTATATTATTTTTTTCCAAGCGAGACTAGAGGTTGCGGACTACTGAGATTAGTGATGTTCATCAAATATAATTGATCCAATCCGTCCTTCCTCCAATTTGAATGATAAAAATATTGCAATGATTTTAAAATGGTGAAGATGAATCCTATTTATTTCTTGTTTTGAACATCATAATCGACATAATTTGCATCAGAATATCCCATGCAAGACTTTTATTCACATAATTTCAAATTGACCATAATTTTTAGGAAGTGGGTGAAATTCTGTAATGGAGTGCTTATCGATTTTATCTAAATGATATAAAACGCCATTTTTGAAACCTTATTTGTCTTACATCCTGTTCACAATTGATGTATTGAACATGCGGGACGACATTTTTCAAATGTTGCAATATCAGGTTGAACATAATAATCAAAAAAAGGGGAAAAAATATCGAACAAACTGCTTCTTACTTGACAAAATCTGGATAATGACCTAGTTAATAGAAATAGAAAAACTTCAAAACCACGTTGAACATTTACCACTCGCTACGATTCATATGTAGCAAACAGAAATGACAATTGCATCTAACACCTTTGCTTATTACGAATATGAGATTTCGATATCCGTCGTACGTGTCATGTTTTAGGTGGGAAGAAATTTGGGTCGAGGTAGTTGTAGTCACCGGAGCGTGAAACGAATTTGAGATAATCATCATCGACAAAGGTTTCGGACTTGTACACTGGCTCCATTCTATGAGTAGTTTTGTGTGCCATCGTCTCAAATTGCCTAGATTTGTTTGAAGTCAAAGATATAATTTTTTTTTCAAATATTGCAAAAACTACCACGGGTGACTTGGCAGAGAAGGTTTTTATGTAAAAAAGATGTTTACCAAGTACTTATCAATGTGAAATTCTTCACTACCTATAACTGTTTTCCTAATCAAATTGATTGCAAGTGTCGCGTGAATTGGTATTTACAATCGCATAATGCAACGTTCCTCAACCTGGGAGAAAGTTTATGTCCTTGGAGAGAAAATATCACTTTGTATTTGGTGTAGTTTTACAAAATTTGTTTGGTTATTTAGTATTATTGAAATATCCAGTTATGAAGCACTAGCTTCAGTACCATTGAGTTTGAACAAATAACTGAAACACAGTTTTTATGCATAGTGAGGGAGAAACAAAGATGTCCGAAATAGGCAGAAAGAGGGATTTCTCTCGAAAACGATTGGCATAATGCATCATCAGATATAGTTATCACTTTATATAGTTTCAGTCGCTCTTGACTTTTTAGTCTGATTGGAGATACAAGAGCTTGCTTTAAGCAAATTGTCGTTAAATATAAAGAGACTTACCCCTGCAGCCTGATGCAAGATTGACATAAATCAACACATTCCTCTGGAGGACAATCAATACAATGATATCGAACACCTTGGATTGGATCGGAGTTGCACATATCACACTGAAAAACAAAATGATTAAAACATTATTAAACAAGAGAGCAATGCTCAAAAATATGGACACACAAAGAAACCAAAACTAAGTATTATCAAATCTTTCACAGTACTGGTAGTCCAACCACAAAATAAATGAGATGTGATCACAGAACCACAGCATAGTGTGCACATTTTAAAATTTTATTGACGTCCTCTAACACAAAACTTCGAAGTGAAAAATGAATACCATAGAGCCCACAGAATTTTTGGAAAAAAAATAAAAGCATATTTGTAACAACAACAAACTTTAACCTCTGAAAATTTCAAAACATTCGGTTCAGTAATTAAAGAGGAAAGTGCTTTTTTCACAATAACAAGTTACTCCAAAAATAACAAAGCAATATAAGGATAAATAAAGTTTTGATTGTATTTTAAAACTACAGTGGTTCACACTGTGTAATATGCAGGATAATCCATTTCCTAAAAATTTACTTTTTGTCTGCCTAGGACCTAGGTATTTAACTTGACATACAAGAGCCTTATTCGATAAAAGTTACAAACTAATTATGTCTGATAAAGCTAGGAGGAATGAGTTAACACAGAAGTGCAGGCTCGAAATAATAAAGTTATAGAAAAAAATCAGCGGGCAAGCAGGGGTGTTTACATTTGAGTAAATATATGAGTTATTGTGAATGTTCCTGTGCTCAGTACCTCATATCCAACATGTTGGGCGAGTGCTTGCTGACCATTGTTATCAAAGACTCTTAATCTCTCTCTTCGAATTCTCTTCAACCTTAAGATTTCTATATATTCATCAGAAAATCTCATCTCATGTGAAACATCTTCTTCATCCTGAAGAAATATGAAAAAAATGAAGTTAAATAAATGCCATTTCACTATGATGCAACAAGAGTGATACATTGTTCTCAAGAAAGTATAGTATGTAATTGGAGCATATGGCGGCTGTCCAAATTCTTCCATCTGTATTTCTAAAATCATAGAATCCTACAACTCCAATAAAACAGTACTTCATTTAAAAATACTAAAAATATGTTTAACAAAGAATAGATGTCAATTTCTATGTCAATTTAATATTTCACACAATCGAAATTACCTAATATGACAAAAAAAAATAAACTACATTCAGATATGCCTAGCTATCCACCAATTCGGTTTATCATCTATGAAAAGTTCATTTGCCCTCAAAGCAGATACACATCTACAGGTCCATCTCTCAGCCTGTTACAAAAACTATGTATACACCATCACTAAGGCAGCAACCTCCCAAAAACAATAACTTTACAGTTATAAATCTATATATTAATGCCAGTATATAATCCACATACCGATACTTGATCTTTATCAATTGTGAAACCTTCATCATCTTCATTATTATTATCCTGTTGTTTGTCGTTCATTCGAACAGGAACATGAAATCTTGGAAAAAATGTTGACATCCTTGTGAGTTGTTGATGTGGGTGAGATCGTGTCTGTAGGAGAAAAATTTTGAGTAACAAATTTTGCAATTGTTGCAAGTCATAATATATCAGACTTAACAAATTCTGCCGGGGTGGACAGAACTGTCATCTAAAATAAAACACCACTCCTCTTACCAATGATTGACTTTTTCAATGTAAGTAAGGCTTTGGAAATGCTTAAATATCGTAGTTAAGTTTTCGTAACACTACACTACCTTGCTTGTGAAATGTAGTTATGTAGGGTTCGCCTAAACGAATTTCCAAAACATGTCAAATAATCTGACGCATTTGAATTCATTTTTATTGATATAGTCAATTTTTCAATTTTAAACACAATTATTGAAGACTATCATTCCATAATCTGGAGAAAAAAAGTGGGAAAACAACTGGACATTTGATATTAATTGATCTATAAGATGAAGCGCTTTTTTCATACTTTAATTCAGCCGTGTGGTCACGTGCTAAGCGTTAAAAATATGCTCCCCCCTCCTTGATTACTCTGTGTGGGTACGCAGGTCCAAATCATGTGAGGAATATTTATGTACAAGAGGATTGCCCTACTCTTTGCCACCGGAGGGTGGTTCATGTAACCGTTGATCAGTTACAGCTTCCTTCATCCATGCATCCAAAACAAATCCTTGTTTTACTAATCACATAGCCAACATGGTCTGGTGACCGGACAAGAGGCTGTGGTTTGCCATATTATTGGGCTGTCTTACGGTCTTTATCTTCTTCTTGGGATAAATATGTGAATCCTATCCTAACAAATAAACCACAATGACACTTCAGGTCAAATTATTCAACTTCTGGCCATCTCTAGTTGCTTACAAATTTTTTTATCGGAGAATAATTCTGAAACCAAAACAGTGGCTGTAATGGATGAGCAACGAATGATACTTACTCTTTTATTCCTCCAACCCGACTTTGTATTTTTTTCGACTCTTGGCATATGGCCAGGTATGGGAAGTCCTGCTTTCGCAAGTTTGATAAAATATTTTTGAACTCTCGATTGAACTTGCATTGGTGTTCGATTTTCGAGTTCTGCAGCAATTTTTCTATATCTATAAAAAGTATTAACGAGAAAATGAATTTCAAAAATTTTATGCAAGGAACATAAGTCAAATTCGAATAGGTTTTCGGCCAGGAAATGTTACAAAAAAACAATTATAAGGTAAGATATTACAGTAATACGAAATTATAAATTACTGACAATTTGATACAAATAGGGAATAGTTCCCTGTTTTGGCCTTGTATTTAACGACGAACAAATTGATAAAAATAACAATTTAAATGGTTACTACTCAAGTCTGCATTGCAATTTATAAAATTCCTAGTGTCCTGATTTTAAAATTTTTAAACCATAAAATTCAATACAAACCATGATTTTATTTCAAAAATGATCAAATTGGAATAAAAAAAAAATTAATTAGCTTTGTATGAATTCATGAAAAACAGTTTCATAAGGCTATTTAAACCAGTGATCCTGTGCTGCAATCAAAATACCTATACACTTAAAAGCTTAGTAAAAACAATTAAAAACGAACCATATTGTGTTGAACATATTGTTACCTATTGAATTCAATTTCCTCAGAAGGATATTTCAACAATAATTCTTCTAATTTTCTTTGTTCTTCAATGGTCCAAGCAACCTTGAATGTTTGTGAACGATTGGCCTGTCATTGCAATAACAATTTCAAAATATTACTTAATGCACAAAATTCAAATCTTCTCAACTTAGACATTGCAATAAAAAGAAATGTTCGAAATTTGAACTCTAAATATAATTTGGAATATTTATTGAATGCTCAATAATGCAAGTCATAGGGTTTGGATGACTTTAGTATTTGTTTAATACAAATTGATTGCTTGATCCACAACGATTCCACCTTTTTCCACTTAAAGTGTGCTCTGCTCTGTCAATGATGTGATAATAAAAATAATAAAACACCTCACCTGTGAACCTCTCCTCACGACAACTTTGGAAGAATCCTGATGGTAAAAAAAAAAAAAAATTAGAAAAAACAATCAATAGGTGAGTACACTAGAAGTGTTTCAATATTTTGGTGCAGCGGAACCTCAATGAAACGTTCAGAGGCTCGAGAAACCCCTGTGCCATAGGTGAGCTGTCTTTATTGTGTGAATTGTATAAACTTAAATAATTATATAAATATTGTATATATAAAATACTAGCAAAACAAAATTATCTCTTTAAGTGTAGCAAGTTCGATAATAGTGACCAACCTAATTTTGGTATGTGGTTATTTTTAAAAAATATACATATATCAATATAGACTTTCGGATTTAAATGAAAACTTGTGGAACCCCAGGACTGTGCGTTCGAAACTTTCGAGTGCCACGGAAGCCCGTTTAAAAAACGCTGACGTTCGAAACCTTCAAAATAAATCATCAACAGTTTTGATGTCTTTTCCATCCATATTCAATCACTTTTAACTAAATGTTGAAAAATTGTAATACTACACAAAACATACCTCTGGTTGCATTGGGACCCCAGTTTCAAAATTAATTTTGACTTTGCGAGTAACTATTTTCTTCGGAGATGCAAGAATGTCTTTGCGAAAAACTTGATCGAAGGTTCCATAAACTGAAGAATATTTCGACCAATCAATGTCTGGTAAATCTATAACATTTTGTTGACGTGGTAAGTCCAGCTCGGCCTGAAATTATCAATCAGCAATTACGTTAGTGAACAGACAGAATAAATTGAAAAAAATATGTAATTTAAAAATCTCAATATAAACAGTTATTTTGCTTAGAATGGCGTAAACTTAGCTTTTTGATATTAATCAAGTTTTTTTTCACACAAAGCTGTTTTCACACCTCTCACTTCGAAAAGGCTTTGTATGAACAGCTAAAAAGCATCTATTTTTCAGAAAGAATCGATTAGGTTTGGCATCGTCCACCCATTTCATTACACGATGGGTGAGATGGTGGGAATGGGGTTCGAGCCCGAGATTTTCAACCGGCAATGCGAACAGAGCACCAAAATTTTACCGATATCCCATGGCCATTTGACTTGATCGCTCTTGATGTTCAAATATTATAATATATATATAGTAAATTGGTTTGAAAGAAAATTTCAAATCGCCGTTATCTTGTTTTTTTATCTGCCAAGATCGGTGTGAATCAGTAAACTTTTCTTATTGAATGCACATTTTAAAAGGCAATTCTGACATAAGTCTGACATAACTAACATAGTTAAATACAATTACACATTTTCCAAGTATTCGAGATTCAATAAAAAAAATATTCCGAATCAATTCTGAAATATTCGAAACCCCCAGCCTAACTAGTAACTACATTACCTTTTTTTGTAATTTTTCAACAAATTCGATAGGTTCGTCCAAAGCATCGGTTTTTCTATTCTCTAGTGTTTTGATATCAGCGAGACATTGATGCCTCTGTGATTCAAGAATAGACACAGTGCGAAGCAAATTATGATAGCTGGAAAGAGTAATTTAATACCGTTAATTATGTAAAGTGCATATCACATATAGCGATAGTGGATGATACTGGATTCGTAATGTACGAGACCGAAAACGAGCTTTCTCTATGAGTGTTAGATCACAACATGCTTATTACGTCATTTAATTATATTATGGTACCAAACTGTTCTATTCCTAAATATTCAGGGACCAGGAATAGTTGAAACCAAATAAACTACTTTTTAGAATACATTTGAAAACAATAATTTTGAATGTCAAATGTATTTAAAATTAGGTCAGTTCAACAAAGAACACATCTAGATGGAAATTGAATGATAAGTTCGACAATGCAGGAAAATTGAGATAAACAGTGAATTGATTGGTTGTGGGAATTTATTTGTTCAAAACCATATATTTATCGAACGAAACTATTCTAAATTATGCCTGAAAACAATAATTTACGATATCATATGTCAGGGTGGTCCAAACCCTGGACCGCGGGCCACATGTGGCCTGCCGCTTCATTATCTGAGGCCCGCATCGCATTGGCGGGATGTGTTGTTTCGTCATAAAAATTCTTTTTCGCAATGCACTGTTTACCTATTCTTGACACTATTGTGGCTAGCGAACAATACGAAAATAATAGTGTGGCCCTCGAGGCCGACAACCTTGGACCACCTTGTACCCTGTCATATGTACCGTAATTAATTTCAACTCGAATATTCATCATTTTGGATATTTTTAAGCGAACAATACAAATACTTTAGTGTGAAACGGTACCAGAAAGAAAAGTGTATAATCCGTTGTTCATCATTTTCAACCGGTTTGGTTTTAAAACTTATTCACTGATAGAGAAATTTGTAAGAGCCACCAGGGATGGCCAAAGCCAAACAATTTGACATGAATTGGGCTCCATTTTGCCAAATTGTTGTTGTTTTTGTTAGGATTGTGGAAAACTCCACCACGGCAAAATTTGATAAAAAAAAATCATCACTTACTCTCTGTTATGCTTGAGAGCAACGTGATCAGACTCAAAGAAATAAACATCAGGTCCAGATGGAGGTTCTTCGGTGAAGAGAGGGGGTGGCTCCGAGGGATCTTTTGCTACAATTTTGACGCAAGGTGACCTATCAAGCTTTGTGTTTGAAAGTCCTCGAGGTCCACGTCTGCCACCTCTGGATAACTTATGTAGCACCGTTGCTGTCGGGCCCCGACGTGGGGTTGAAGAAGAACATGATGGAGAGGATGATCGTGATCGATTGTTTTCCCTGACTGCACTTATTTTTAAATAATCTAATGGTGAGTCCTGCTTTACAGTGAACAGTGACTGAATGTTGCTTCTTTCCATATGAGTTTCCTTTTCTGTAGGTGTAGATGATTTATTCTCAGTCTGATTAGAAGTTTCTGGAGAATTCACTGCCGTCTCTAATTCTTGAGATGGTTGCTCTGGTTCTATAATAAATAAGAGTAAAACATTATCAATCTTCAAATAAGGGACTAGAGCAGGGGTGGGCAAGATTTTTTCACTAGGGGCCAAAAAAATTGCCCACCTAGACTGGCGGACCATACCAAGTGCGGCGTAAAAATTTACATTTTATGAACAATATTTGCTGTGTTACAAAAGAAAAAGTGGAAAACAATAAGCCTCGTGCCAAAAATAAATTTGATAACCATCTCAACAAATTCCTTGAGCTATAACATCAAACTTTGGTTTTAGTTTGAGATTGAAGTATCCAACAGGTCAGATTTGGCCCACGGGACGTAGTTTTCCGACGTCACATGTCAGGGCTACAGTATTATGTCTAACAAGTTGAAGTTATTGGGTGAAGACCTTGGGTATGAGACCCCTGCCCATTATGTGATCCAGGGTTTGATGAAGACAACTGGAAAGATTGTGGTCCATAATAAATCAAGTCCAACTATGATTCCACACCCAGCACTGAATTCAATGAGATCCTATGTATAAGCTGCAATAGGTATTCATATTCCACTTTTATTTGATGAAAAAAAAAATACCTTCTTTCTCCTGTTGATCTTCATCTTGTTTGTTGTCTTTTTCGGACTTAACCCCAGTTTCCGCCCAATCAGATAATAAATTTGATCTCCTGTGAGGACGTTTGATCATTAGGTCGAGACTGAGGGTATAAAAATTGGGGTCACATCTCACCCCTGAACTTCTAAGATTCATTTTTCGTTTTTTACGATTGTACGAGCTATAATCAGACTCATTGTCACTAATAAAATCAAAATCGCTGCAAGCTATTTCGTCAAAAACGGAAGGAGATCCTGAACGTTTCAAATCACGGATTCCGTGATCTGATTGTGTATCAGTGATCACTTTATCTTCCGCAGTTTCTGTTTCTGTAATATGATTTGGCAATATAAACTCAGGGATGTTCGTTGTTTTGTCCGCAATTTCCGTATTTGGATTTGTTGTTTTGTTTTCCGCTTCAGTGGTTTTATCTGCGGGTGATGATGAAATTTGGACGGAATCTTGAACAGAAGATTCTGGGTCTTCTTTATCTGAAGTTGACTCATCAGAGCTGAAAATTTTTTTTATAAAGGAAAACTAATTACACAGAAGCCTGAAATCAGTGTTAGTCGACATTGCAATTTGACTCCATAAAAAATCATGAAAATCAGAAACATGTATGTGGTACTAATAACATACGACTTGGAAAGAAAGAGACAAAAATTTCTTTCTGAAATATAGATAATTCCAATCCTTATTAGATCACTTCATGTTGAAGAATTAACCAAACCAATTAATCTTATTAAAGGAGAAACATGAAATTGTATTTTATTCTGTCAACAGTTCCAACAGGACAGGGATGGCGATTAATGAATGGGTCAAAAAATGGATTTTTATTATTGAAAAGAGGATAATGAGTCAAAGGTATTTATCGATGCCGGCATCAAGTGAAAACTTGGTTTTGCCTTGCCATCGTTACTTCAGATTTCTGTAGTGGTTAATTAAAAATTGATAAAATTTTGTTTGCAAACTGCATTGAATGCGAGGAAAAGAGCAATCTGCAAAGTAACTAGCTCTCATATGCCCCCAATATCATTTTGTAGCCTATTTTATGTACTTTCGAATGAGAACCACTGTAAGAAGACAAATTGCAAGAAATGATCAATTCTATGTCTTACTTTTTAGAAGCATCAAGTATATTGTCGTCTGTGATATTTTGAACATCGTTTTCAACTTTTCTTCTATTTCCTCGTAAATGACTTGAGATGGAATTATTTTCAAAAGACTAAAAAAAAATTTGATTTTGAGACAACACTAAATAGATTTTTGTGAGGGTCTGTATACAACGATTTTAAATATCTTTATGGGAAATGGGGATACAGAGTCTAGAATGCAGGCCATCCGGGGCTCGAAAATTATTTTATTGCTTTTTTTTTATACTGATAGTCAGTACATCTTTCACTTTAAATGTACAAAATTCTGCACCCAGTAGCCAATAAACCATTGCTTTAATTTCCAAAATGAAATCTATTAACTTCTTGCATTCTAGATGTTTCAAGGTCAGAGAGAAAAATAAAATTGCACTAGATAATATACGGCGAGCTAAAGTACTGAGGTTGGGTTTTGATAAAATTGAGCAGGCAAATGGTTGTCTTGGAAGTCTGCTAAAACGCAACATTAATTCACAGCAACTATAATTGGAGATTTTCTCCGATTCAACCTGTAATACCATGAAAGATGACATGGAAATAAATCACACCTTCGAGTTTTCCTTCTCAGAAGCCTCTTCTGCTGCCATTGGGGATCCAGCACATTTGATAGACGATACTGAAGAAGCTGTTACAGCATTTGTACTACTTCGTAAACTGCGAGGAGAAATTTCGAAATCACTTTTATTCATTGAACCGTTTGTTATTATGCCATTTTTTCTTGGGCTATATGACTGTAATTTACCACAATGTTGACAAGTTTCGTCTTTTGCAATAGGAAAAGTTTTATTTAGATTGGAATGGCATTCACAGTCTTTCGTCTCCTTCATGTCTTTGTCTTTATTAACTCTCGATGCTTTTTGTTTCATTTTATTATTGCAATTATGATTCGAAAGAAAGTCTGTAGACGATTCCGTAGGAGTAATACAATTGGAACTATGATCTGATAGAGATGATCTCAAACACCGCGGTGAATTTCTAGTCCTTCGTGGTGAAAAATTTGCATATTCGTCATGTTGAAAATTTCTTAATGACAGTTCACTTGCAGATGATTTGGAACATGAATATGAATTAGGAGTTGTAGGTGACTTGTCCACTTTCTTCATAGGAGTGGAATGGTTTGTACCATTAATTTCTGATGTTTCATGCTTTTGACGAGTTCGTCTATGCATCCCATTTTCAATTGGCAATGAATTTGTAGCATCTGAAAAGTTTATCAGTAATTAATTGAAAATAACAAATAATTTTATTCAAATAATCTAGGCCATGTGGAGTGACAATAGCATGTACGAATAGAGAGCAATAAGTTAGAAGAAATACGTTTGAGTCTTGTTGAAGACATTCTAAAAATTGACATCATACACTGCTACAACAAAGTATTCAATTAGGCGTACTCCCGAAGTATGTGAACCAAGATAGCGGACACCGGAACGTAGTATGTGTACCATGTTAGAGTTAGGCCATAATTTCAGGTACAAATACTACGGGGGGCAATTGGCTGGTCCCCGAACTTGTAATAGAACTAAAATAAGGAAAATTTAATAAAATTATGGCCTAACCCTAATCTGGTACACATACTACATTCAGGTGTCCGCAATTTTGGTTCACATACTTCGAGAGTACCCAATTAAGATAGAAGCTTCACCCAGCCATTTACCGTATTTTATGGACCATAAGGCGCACTGTCGATAAATTGCTTACATTGGAATTTTATTCACATAGAAGGCGCATCGGAGTACAAGATGCAACGGTTTTTAAAGCAATACCGGTACTGTTTTTAAGTGTGGCAATAAAGCATGAAGCACAACCTGATCCCTACATTAGGTGCACCTGCTTATAAGACGCACAACAGATTTTTGAAAGAAAAAAAGATTTAAAGTGCGTCTCATGGTCCGTAAAATACGATACCCATGATGCCAGTGGTGTCGGGGGCTGCTAACCTTGCAACACTTTTCCTTACAGTCATAGGGTATGTGAAACATAACATATGGAAATTACCCAGAAACACAGACACCAAGTAATAGAATCTTACCCGCATCTTCACTCCGCAAAACTTTCAAAGGTTTTGCTTCATATTCTTCCTTCAAATCTGATTTTGCTCTTCTACTCCCATTCGTGATAACTTTGTTATCATCAGGTGAAGTTTGAAACCTTCTTTTACGATATTTTATGCCATCCTTCAACTCATTCTCCTCTCCAGATTGCAATCGTAAGCTTCGTCTTGTTGGCGACTTCTCTGGGAAATTTGAATCAGGAGCTGAAAGATCAAAGAACAGTCTGTATAAGATTCAAGCAATGATGTATGAGAGATTTGAATACAGACTGGCAGACAGATAATATAGTAATATTAGTTTGTGTTGTTTGTTGTGTAAATAAATATTCGCAGCGTTTTACAATGCAAATTAAATTTTGAAACAAAAAATAAATGACAAATATCAAAAAATACATTTCTACCTGCTCTTGGAGACCGAACCCGAAATACTGTAGGAATCTCGCAAAATTCTTCATTGTGTGTACTGCGCAGTGAACGCTTTGCAATATCAGCAACACTGTTTGACCGTGTTCTTCGCATTTTTTATATTCTGATTGCAGGACTGAGACAGCGAGAGGCTCACATCAGTAAGTTTATAAATTTCATCTCTAACAGTCTAACAAAACAGGAACAACAATTAAATCCACACATCCTATTTAAGAATTTATTTTTATTCCCTGTAACTGCAGAACTGTAAGACACATCTATACGCAGATATGATACTATACTGTTATACGAAAAAAATTATTACCGAACCGGTATATAAGAAAAATTATATGTATTAAAATTATTATCAAATCCACAAGGCAGCAAGGTTCGGTTTTTAAAAGAAGAAACAAAATAACTGGCTAACTAATCCCATACGATACCCCCGATCTGAACTGGTAACCGGACGAGAGGCCGTGGTTCGCCATACTGCCATATGATTAAGCCGTCTTATCGACTTTCCTTTCCCCCGGGATAAATATGTAGTCTAAATGCTATCCTATCCTTAAACGCACCGTACGATCACTCGATCATCAGTACCGGTACAGCAGTGGTACCGGTACCCGGTACGGACCGCTGGCCGTACGCCCCCAGCACACAATTCAGCAATTCGCCTATATCAAAATATGATTCATCTAATCAAAATATACTTATTATAATTTACAGCAAGACCAAAGATAATAAACACTGGGTTTCATTATATCCGCGGCGGCGCGGCGGTGTGGCTCAACGGGCTAAGCGTTAGGAATACGCTCGCCACCGCACCTCTAATCACTCTGCATGGGTTCGCAGGTTCGAATCCCATGCGGGGATGGTTATGTGCGAGAGGATTGCTGGACTCCTCGCCGTCGTTGGGTGGTTCACGTAACCGCTGGTCGGTTACGGCTTCCTCCACCACCAAGTCCATGCTTCCGAAAACAAACAATACAGTAAAAACTAATCCCATACCCGACTTGGAATGGTAACCGGACGAGAGGCCGTGGTTCGCCATATGGATAAGCCGTCTTATCGGCTTTCCTCTCCCCCGGGATAAATATGTAAATCCTATCCTATCCTATCCTATCCTGATGCTGTGGCGATCGAGCGGTGTCGTCGCAGTGATACAACATACGGTAGCGTTTCGTATATCACACTTCATTATTTAAAACTTACAAAGAACCACGGAGCACAGCACAGCAGGCGAATCGATACTTACGCCACTGAAGGGCAGCATTGAGACGAATTCGGTTGATAAAAGGTGTGTGATTTACTACGGGGTAGGATTGTTAGAAAAATATCAGACAAATGTGCCAACTGCGTGCAATTTCTATACCCAACGGTGAAGTTTTCATATAGCTAACTTATTTAATGTTCTGATTAAAGCGACAAGAATCAAGCAATCCTATTCGGCTTATTCTATGTCGGGGACGAAAGTTTGCGTTCGACATATGGAAATCAGCCACAATCGCTAAGTACAACCTGTCACGATATTTTTTAAGCGAAGTGTAAAACAACTATAAAATAACGCTATGCTTGGTAATCTTTTGTGCATACTCAAATTTTGATAATGTGAACAGAATTTGACTAGTATCGCGTTCTTCATACCGTTTTGAATTAACTGCAACTAATCTTTTATAATTTGTAATTTTTGACGTTTGTTCTTTACACTGTAATTTTTGCGATAACATTGTTAATTAATCCGATAACTACTGAAAATATTTTATATTGAAATGACAACATGCCCACAAGATGTCACTATTCGACCGCAATTTTCCATCGGTCTGTTGCTCGCGTATTGGAGGTGACGCATCCATGTGTTGATCAACATTCCGAGACGGAACTGGAAAAACGGAAATAGAGATAAAAACCTGGCTGAAATTTTAAAGGTTGTGGGGCAACGTAAAAAGTAGGGCTCCATGATACTTGTTATTTTGTAAAGGACTATTGTGGTGGTCTGGAGGAGGTAACCCTTACGTTTGGGTGGTCGCGAATCAGGAAACATGGCTTCCAACAACGCGACCAGTAACGAGTTTTTTCAGCATGGGCAGCGAAGTGTCGTGTGTCACTTATTTGGGTGAGAAGATTACGGGTGAAGTTATTGCTTTTGATTACCAAACGAAAACATTGGTTCTAAAGCATCCATCAACAAGCGGAAAGGCAAATACGAACAACATCTTCATTGTTGAATTTGTCGAATGTCAGTGATATCAAGGTTCTAAAGGAAGGGGCTGATCAAGATTTTGAATTGTGTGCTATATCCCACACAAAATTAAGAAAACGTCTCAATCAGGAAATTCAGTCAAAAGTCAACATGGCGCAAGGTTCAAGTATGGGTGTTACCCCAGATGGACTGAAAGTCTTTGCGTTTATTTTCAAAACCATTGAGCAATGCAGGTGGAATGATAAAGTATATTAGTAATGGATGAGTTTTAATAAATCCACCGTACAGGTCTGAAGATTGTATTGCCAAAGATGGTAAAGAAGCAAAAGCACTGGACCATGTTAGGAAAATTGTGGAAAATACCACAAAGATCACGGAAACATAAGACAGGTTCAAGCAACCTGAATGCCTTCATAAGCAACAAAAAAATATTTTATTCCTTATTAGAAAATTTTTATCAATAAATGTGTCCCAGACTGAGTGTGTTATAAAAACAAGTCAAATATTTCAATGGTTTCGTCGTTTGAATGATATTTCCTCCATTTTATGTAATTTGGAGATAATTCCATTCATTGAATATATAGCGTCTCGAACATCAAAACTCTATTGTGATATGTGCTCAACTTTTATGGAAACTGCATTCACTCTATTGTAGTTAGCTGAGAAAACCAGCGGAAAGCTCGCATTTGATTGACCTATTCGTAATATGAAAACTTACAATTGTATGATAACTAAGGGTTAATGGTTTTTGGTTTTATTCAGTGTCAACATTATATTGATATTAAATTTACCAGTAAGAAAAATTACAATTCATAAAAGTGATGTTCAAACTGATGCCAAATTATTATATAAACATATGCTGAAAACGTATCATAACATTATGTTATTTACATTTTAATTGAAGGAATTTCATCCAATTTTTTATTGTTTTACAAGCATCATTGTAATGCATGTAATATCTGGATTTATGTCGAGATATTAGGAATAACCAAAACAATTTATATGATTGGCACTGGTTATGAATTTTAGATTGCCTCGATTTTGAATGGTAAATGTGGCATCAATCACTCATTTTAGCAATATTCGTTGTGTTCGACCTAATATACTTCGGAATGTCCAAAACCTAACGAGGAGACTTATTCAAATAAAAGTTTTTGAAAAATAATTCATGTCGATAGTCACAATTTTAAAAAAAGTTTGGATTTCGGTGAATCTTAGTTATTCCAAATATGAGCTGTTTTCGTTTCGTGGAAAAATTGTTCGGAAAACTTTTACTAATAATAGTATTGGTCAAATCATGTTATCTTTGTCAAAATTGTTAAAAATCTTTTCATGTCTTGTTTTGCTATCAATTTTTGTGTTGGAAAGTTGACTCCGCCCATATTTGTTTCCATCTGTTGTTTTAGATTTTATGATTAGGACTTGATAATTAGTGTCAAAATATTATGTGTGTATCATGTCTTAATATTGTTATTTGCTGAGAAAAATTGCAGCGTCAGGTATCAAAAAGTCAATTTTGGGCCATTGTGATATTGAACGCAGGATCTATTTCATAATTCATAAAGTTGAGAAATGAATCTTTTTTAGTTTTATTATTTTGTAGCCGTGGTGCTTAGAACTGTTGATGGTGGGATGTAAAATGCCAACTGTTAAGTATAATATTAAAAGCTAGTGATTTTTGAATATTTATCGATGTCTTCACTTAGGATTCCATGTCCGAATGAATTGATATTCTAGAACCCTTTTTTTGCATCTACCAATTGTTGAATAGGTAATGAATACATTTGTGATAGAGCATACATATCAAAAACATGTTCATATAACCTTATCTTACTCAGCCTCTATATTCTGAAATGAGTATATATAGTGAGCATTTGCAAAAGAAATACGAAAAAAAAATTGGTGCTAAATATATTGACTGAAAAATAATATTATCCTTCCAATAGGTTAGTAATATCTTACAATTTTTAGAAATTTCCATCAAATTATCAGTTGGAAATATTTTTTGTATTGCTTCATTCAACTTGCCAAATCAAAATTAAGGAAAATGAGTCTCTTAGTATGCAGAAAAATAATTGCAGACTAAAGTATATGTTTAGGGTCGGCTTCTCGTAGTGGTTGGGAATTTAACCTCATGGGCAGCAAGAACTCTGCCATTTGGCTCTGCTCTGCTGTGACTATAAATGTAACACTTTGACTTCTCTGTTTCGGAATAGCGAAAGTTTTTATCGAGCCACAGATCTGTGCATTTGTGTCTTAAAATTTTAAATGTACCGTACTTTAATGGTAATTATGAGTATTTTGTATTACTGGATTAAAACTATGACTTGCCTGTTTGTATTGGTTGCTGTTTTGGTTGAGTAGAATCCTCATGTCTGCTTTTGTTTGTGAATATTCTGTTACTTTGACCGATATCACATGCTCTTTACTGGTAATAATTCACAAATTATCTTATCGATATTGTCACAATATATAGCCTACAAATTTGAATATGATATACAGTAATTCCATTCTCATTTTCAATTTATCGAGTAATTTTCTGGCTTATGTTATAATTCATTTGACCATTTCATATTTTTTTTTATCACGTATGCCAAATATGCTATTTCAGATCTGGTCAACTGATCATCAAATTTGGCTCATATTAATTTGGATAATCCTGCTAAAATTGGCCAATAATTGTTAGCCAGAATGCGTTGACTTTTATAAAATTTAGAGCAAATAAATAATGATAACAATGGATTTGGATCAAGCTGAATGCTGATTAAAGTGCCCAAAACACTTTTATTCAATCTAATGCTGCTGTTCTAGTTTTCAGTAAACGTTGGAGACAGGAATTGCATACCTCACCCACACAATATCTATTTCAAAATCGTATAGAAATTATTATTGAAAATAATTTGTACGTTTGGTATTAATGGTCTTTTTCAGGCATGTGCTATGAATTTTCTGTGCCGTTATGGACCAAACAAATCTGTGCTTGGATGGTTCTATATAACATTCAACCCAGCTGACAATTATTCATTGAAATAGGTGAAGCTGGCAATCAAAGCTTCGTTTATAAATGAATTTTGTATTTTTCAACCATTCAGAAAGTCCGAAATGGGCCATGAGCTTCAAATTTCATCCATACCAGTCATGGCATTTATTGCCTTCTTGACAGACCTCATATTTTTACACACTAAGTCCTTTATGGAAACTTGTGAAAATTCTTGTCACAGAGTCATGGGTATCTGTGAATATTTTTCTGTTTGTGATTTAGTATGACCTGTGCCCAGCTTGTAACTCTCTTGGTGAAATTTTAAAAATAATATACTGAGAGATGAATTTTGCATTTGTCATGTTCGTGTTAGTATTTTGACCAATCCGTTAGCGAGTTTGCGGGATGAATGATATTTGCTAAATGCACCCCCACCAGTCTCAGGATTGAGGTCGCGTGTATGTGGTTGGGCCATAAAATAGGTTACTCTTAACCACTCTAGTACGTACGTACATTCCATTCCTGCGGGCCCGCGGATTTGATTTCGAAGCAAATGATATTGTTTGTCGATCAGTAGCACACATTTTTTAATTTGTTAGCAATCGTGAGAGGACCAATGGCAGGATATCCACTATGCTCTGAAGTTCTGAACATTCGCTACCTCTGTTGGACGCTGGAACTATAGTAGCACACTTTCAGCATTGGCATAGCCAGGGGGCCTTAGAGTTTCCTCAGACCCGGGTCCATGCAAAAAAAAAATTGTGGCATTTGCTGAAAGACCTAAATTTATGCGCCATTTCCAACACCATTTTGCTCTATTTTTGAACGATTTACTGGGAACCGGACGTTTCCTGCTGGCTTCTATCAATAATCCTTTCACCAAATGGACCAGACGAGATGGATGAAAATGCGCTATTATATGCATTGGATAACTTCGACAGCGAAGTAAGTCTGTAGGGAGATTCTCTAAGATATTGTTAGAGGTTCCATTACATTTGAACCCACGACAATAGTACCTGCATACTATTGCACCTATAGAAATGTTTTTTTTACGAATTTTCGAACCCATACTAACCTTAAACAATGGATTTTAGCACCCTCGTATAGATTGAACCCGCGGATATACTGGTGCAAATGTACGGCCACCATTGTTAGATACCAGTAGCTACTTTTATCTGGCTTTGTTCGGAGCAAAAGGCACGAGCGAGCGTCATATTACGTTTTTATACAAAAAAATATTTGGTCTTCCTCCAAAATCTTGAGCTGGCTACGCTTTTGACTTTCAGCACGGTTCGAAAATTGGGCAATAATTTAGCACTAAATAAAATGCTTTGTTTTTTTTCATAAATGAAAAATCTCACAGTTATAATTCAAGTAAGAAATTTGCCCTTATTTTTGAAATATGACTATTCTCCTAGTTTCTTGTTTCCCTCGCTGACAATTTATTATTTAGTTTCTGGCTTGTCAAAGTGAAGGTTTTGTTGTCGTGCAAGGAACAGGATTGCAGAATTTTGGGGCGATTATTATCATCGTGAATTTCTCCACAACTAATGGACGAATTGATTTCAAATTATCGGCACTCAAAGAAGACGGAAGTCGCTAGGCCGAGTCCCAAGGTAGCCGATATTTCACCCAAAACTTTGTAGTTTGATTTTAATTAAATGGGGTGCATCTATGCGCGGGCCTCGAGGTCATATATTTGAGTTTTGCTGCATCCTAATTGATTCTTATTAATAGATTCATAATTCGGTCTTTTATCGTAAAACTTTAGACTAGGCAAAGATTGGTACCAGCCGCCTAAATTCCTTGAAGCAAGAGGGTGCTTTTCTAAACGTCAACCAGGTAGAGGTGGTTGAGGCAATCGTTAATCGTGCTAAAACTCTCATCCATTAATCATGCTATAAAATTTGATTTCAACCATCTCCTCAAAATAAGCATAAAAATGTTACTATGTAGAATACTCGGGTGTGAAGGTTAGAAGTGAATTCTAACCTTCAGCCGGTTCAGAAGTTTATTTTTATTTTTTGAGGACACGTCAACATTATATACATCCAACTAACCAAATATATGATATGTAGTGTAATAATCACATCGTTTATATTTAACATTCTTTTCAAACTATCAGTCGTTAGAAAGCTAATAATTTTATGATATTTATTTTTCAAATGCCGTCCTATGGAGCTCGATATTTCATACTGAATTTTTCTATGAATATTGCATCACCTCGTGCCAGCGCCGTAAGACCACAATGCCTCCTTGTTCGAATTAATCACGCAGAAAACAGTAAGATGCAGGCACTTGAATTGTGTACTGGATTAATATATATATATTGAACCCAAATTCTATGAAATTTCATCCTTTTTTTCGAACCGAAATATTTCAATCTAGCTTCCACAATTCTGACAGCCACTCAGTTTAAATTCAGTTTCTGAAATTTGAATTCCTAACAGAGTGACCCGTGAAGTAATTCCTTATCATCGACCAGGCCTTCTTTGAATATGAAGTATCATATTTTTTTCCATGGGCTCACAGATACGAATCTCTCCATAGCGCCGCTGTAGGCCAATATCATACGCACTCGGCACTGGGCGCCTCAATACTCCGACCAAAGGAAATCCTCAACCTATGGTTTAAACTATAAAAACGTATCCGGTGTCAGTACCACAACTCTCATTGAAAAATCTCAGCCAACAACGACTCGCAATGGGGAGTTATCAAGAATATCAAATTTAGTAAGTATCGTTCCCCTGAGTTTTGCTGCGCTCTAGTTTACAACCGCGGAAATAGAAAGCCTAAATAACGGATGGGCTATTTACGGGCCTGGATAAGTTGCGGCCCACTTTTTCAAAATAACAAGCGCGTGTTTTTGCACGCGGTCACTAATCAATAGAGTAATCGAAGCGCTAATTCGTTAATTTTACTCGTATAATTTTGATAAGCCGCTCTTCGCGTGCTGACACAGCGCAATGTAGATTGACTTACGTAGTCCGGCCCGCCTCTGCATTTTGAATTTGCAATGCCAATGTAGCTCCACGGCAAAAAGAATTAGGGTATATACCAAGTTACAGTACCCGTACATGCATTTCCTTGGGATCTGAATATCCAGGGGTTCTCTCAACCATTATTCTCTTATTCATACCGTTTCAAAAAGTAAAATTTATGTTACAAACCTTTCAACATTTTCACTTCGACAAACACCTAAAACGAATTACTCATAATGGTGAAATTTCGCTTTAGTTAAGAATCCCTGTACTAGGTGCTAGTCATTAATAACATAAATATAAATTTTACAGATTTCATTTAAACGAAAATCTTGATGTTATAAGTTTGAAAAGGAAAAAATGACAAAATGTTTAAACCTGAAATAAAAGTAAAAATTATCTGCCCAGGCATTTAAAATTAAATTCGATCGGCAGAAACATTTTATATCGGTGATCCCTATGATATTTAATAAACTGAGCCAGAGTCATTCTAGCATTAAAATGATTTTTTCAAACATTTATGGGAAAGAACAAAGTGTGTTTGAACATTGCATACTTTTTACAAAAAAAATAGGTAACATTTAAACTTTCCAGACTCATGCCTGTTTATTCATTACAGTGTACATTGCGGAAGACCCATTTGATTGTATTTCAAATGTGGGACTGTCGAAACTATCCTCTTCAGAGTGCCTTGGAGATTCGTAGAAATGTGTTAGTGTTTCAGTATTATCTGCGCCTATTGATGAATACCCAGGAAGCTGAACGTTAGAAAAGGAATGTAGTGCGTCATATCCTTCTGACGTATTCAATGGACTTCGGGGTGCAATCTTCTGATCATTGGCATTGACCAAAACTGCGTCGTTGTCAACAGGCCGTACCGTCGCGTAGTCGTGATCTTCAATCTCGTTGGAAAATTGTCCTTCTGCTATTGTTTCGTTGCTACTAGCAACTGCTAGAATTTTTTTCCTATTATGTAAAAATGTACTATATTTATAATAAATTGAATAGCACACATTTATAATATTCTCTATTGTGTAGTATTTATTTGAAATTTATTTCCTTAAAATCGTTAAAATCACCGTTCAATAATTTTCATGATATGAAAAATAATCACTATTCCTCTTTACAGAGGAGGAAGGGAGATTGAGGAGCCGTAAGTATCATAATACCGAAAACTGGGTCGCCAACTTAAAAGTTGTTTATCTTATTTTCTAGTAGATTTTATTGTTTATTTTGTATTAGAAATCAAAGTGTTGCTCAATAGTAATTGTAAATGATTGTTTAACAGGGTGGGCCAAAAATATATTAGTCCATAGCGCCCCTGAATAATATACACACATAGTACTGAGTACTCCTACACCCCGACCGAAGAAAATCTTCTACATCTGGATTCAAATATAATAAAGTATCCGAAAAATATTAGTCATTCAATTTTGCAGCCATAAAGGCACCACATGATAATGCATGAGCACATCCCTAGGTCGATACATTTTACAAAACTTTTTTTAAATTTGGGTTGCTTGGAAAAAGGTTGTGAACCATTCCATTGGTACATCAACCACGTAATAAAACGATAGCGATCAGAGACCGCCGACGTATCGGTCTAGCGGCTTGTATCCTTCGCTCTGATTCAATAGCGACACCGCGTGCCCCATCACTAATGAATCATGAACTCGCTAATTATATGATATAATTCATCCAAAATCAATAGGCTTCTGGTCCGAGATATGATGAATTCACATGCAAAATTTGGAGCAGATTCAACCCCGCTTTCGTGAGATATCGCGTAACATACGAAAGTGAAACAACAAACAGACAAATACCTATCAACATCCTTACCGATCGAGATCGATTAGTAAAAACGATGTTAAATAGCAATAACTTTGTGAACTTCGAATTTTCGGTGAAAGTTTATAATATTATAGCTAACCTTCGCAATTCAATCACCACAACGATTATCACCACAATCAGAAACAAGACAGCGACTATGACTCCTATTATTATTCCGACTGTAACCAGGTCTGTAAAAATATAAATTCGAAAATCAAAGAAATTTACCTTACTTGGGCAGTACATTTATCAGTTCATAGATATATATAAAACGCAAAGGTTAGTAATCCTAATTATTGAATAATATATTTAGACTTGAAGTAATCTCGAAGTAAGATTTTAAAGTTTCTCCCCAGATTGAAGAACGTCTACGATTATGCAGGATCAACTGCTATATAGGATGCAAATTTAATTGAGAAATTTCACTTGAAAAGCAAGCATATTATAATAAACTTTACGCTTTTATGGTGAAAATGCATCCATATATACCACCTATGTATTCAGACGTAAATTAAAACTCAATACATGTAACATTAGGAAAACGTGTTGGTCTACTCTATAACGATCATACTAAAGCTGATAAAAGTTTCTACCAAACGATACAATCCTAACCCCAAGAAATATTACATTGCTGACAGTAGTACTTTTGTTCATACCATTTGAATGCCTTGACTTCTTATTCATGTATTGGATCATTAATTAAGCGATAATATTGACATCAATGAGTCAGTTTGAAGCATTTACCTATATAGCCGGGAACTCGCAAACCCGTTGTCGCTGTCTGATGATTTGATATCTTGTTTGTTGTCACATTCATAATTTCAGATTGTGTGGCAGTTGTAGGAATAGGAGCGGGTGTAGTTTCCTTATTTATTGGAAGTCCAGCTAAAACAAATATTTATCAAATACTTTTGTTAGTTTGTCCCGTACTGGTAATCTGGCTTAGTATAACATAGCTATGCCTGGAAAACATCTGTAAAGCAAAAATATATCTACAAGATTTTTTCACACTTTTTTCGAACGAGACTTTAAATACGAAACCACTAGAGGCGCACTATAGCAGGTACAGAGTTTGGGTTCAAGATCATAAATGTATTGAAATACGAATGGAATTAGGTGGAGTTGAACATCTACCATTGAACGGCGCGTTGTTGCTACACAGAATTACACCACAAATACAGGGAGTTTGCTTTGATAAAACGACAAAGAAAAAATATTAAGTTGGAGAAACGTTCTGAACTAAATTATCAAAACTTTTATTGACGGATTTTGAACTTTTGTTTATTTATCAACAATTAAAAGTCAGTTCTTATTTAAACTATAACAAGAACTACCAAATGAGCTAGTTTGCTAGGCATAGCAAACCAATTTCACGATGCTAGGTCAAGCTAACCTTCTCCCACAAAATGTATTAAATACCCAAGCTTAGGACAAAACAGGGAGCTTGAAAAAGTTTTGAATTATGATCTTACTCCCACGCAAGCACACGATTGACGAAATCACCGGTCCAAATTGTCAGATAATTTTTACAATCATAAGATAGATAGATATTGTATACATACATGTGCAGTTGAACAATTTGTATGACAAATGGAAACCGTAGTTTGGGCTCGTCGTTTCTCCTTGATGATAAATTATTTCTAAATTTTTCCAACCTTCCCGTGAAATAAATGCTGCATGGCTCGTACATCCCAAATTCTTATACATTGTCTCGCAGAATGTTTCAGGAAGATCGTCGTCTTGCATAAATGCGTAACATTCAGAAGACTTTGTCCCACAGATATTTGAGGCTGTCATGTATTATAAAATTAAATATTCAAAATTGCAATTTTCAAGAATGACGTCCGTTACAATTTATGTAAACGTACGCCAATTGTATATGAGGAAAGGTATATATAACTTAGTTTTTAAAACGATGTTACTACTCGCACAAAAACCTTTCGGGTGTAGAAATGTTGACTGTTTACGAGAAACACTAACATATATCAATCTTTGAAACATCAATTTCGTCAGTTTTTTTGCTTGAAGCGCCGTGTAGCTATTTATAAATACCTCAACATACCATCTGGTAAAGTTAAGCCTCCTTCGTTAGGATTACTGCAATCTACATTTGTAGAAACGACAAAACTGTATGTTTGCAATTCCGTGAAGTTTAACATCAGTAGAATGTATTTTCCTTTTGGGGGAGTTAAGTTCCATTCACACGTCTCACCAGATTTAACCGATTCACCATTAGGCCAACCAGGAGTCGAAATAGTTCCAGAGAAATCAGTGAGATTCAACGGGGAGTTCATTCCAGTGCAAGCTGAGGTAATTCTGAAAACTGAATACAACGTACTTGCTGACTAATAACCAAAATTTTAGAACATTTGTAATAAAGTATACCAACAGAATTAAAAAATGCTTGCGAGCAATATATAAGGTGAATTTTATTTTATATTGTGCCGTTATGTACTGGTTGAGTACGGAATTTCCAAGAGCATTGTTGGTATAAAATTTGCAAGTGATAATATGATGCAACAATTATTAATATGTTCTCATAAAAGAAAAAAATCAGGGGTGCTACTTTGGTATGCGATCTCGATGTCATAAATCTACTATGGTACGTGATCTAACTTGCTTAACGTGATCTCAATCGCATAAAGACATTATCATAGAATTCAGTACCCTACGTCGGGTGAGTTAATACTAAAATCCCTGAGATCACACAACTGCTATACCCTGAGATCGCATGCCAAAGTGTCACCAAATCAGGTTTATACTTAAGTCAGGGACCTATTTTAATGTCCGATGGGATTGATTGATTTGCAAAGCTCATGAAAATGAGATGAGATCTATAATTTCTAGGCTAAATAATTCAAACGATTTTACAGTTTGAAAATAATTACCGGTATGTCTTTACGTTATAAAAAGCCTATCTATTATTAGGATACATATTAAAGTATTCAATAATTTGAAACTCACGGAAAACAATGCAAAGAAGCATTTTGAGACTGTTGTAGTTCCGTAATCCAAGTCTCTTCCTTTTAAAATGTGTAATGAGGCAGCAAGCAGATTTGATACAGGCAGATATTAAAAGTGGTGCTGGTTGGTTATATCAGTGAAGTAATAACTTAAGATTACTAAAAAGTGGTGAATCATTTGTTATTTTTATGAGAAGCCATAGTTTCTCGTCGCACATCTTTTCACCATCATAGGTAGTATCTTACGAAACACTAATAGACTATACATATATATAAGGTATTTGTACATCACGAAGATCATTCACGCTGTACTTAAACGGAAATCTCGGATAATTTTGATGATTTCAGCAGACTCGTGTCGCAAATATGATTTATATGGTTGGCGATAAACACTACAATAACTAAAGAAGGAAGGAGAGTCATATCTTGAATACAAAGATTTCAGAAAAATTTGATAATCTTCCAAAAAGGCTTGGAGCTCGTTCCCGAGTTTGAAGTCGTGGTAAATTATGTTCCTTTAACATCATAAAAAAATTAAGTAACACATTAGGAAAAGTGATTAAACTTCGTACAAGAATCAAGATATTTCAGCTATTTCACTCGAAAGTAGTACAAATAAGGTAACCTGTCCATGGAGGCGCTTGAGCTATCAACCTTTCTTTTGGTGATCGTCAAAGCTGGACCTATTTTACGACTCCACACAAATGTCTTTCAGTCTCAGGCCCAAGATTTGAGGTCCTAGTCGAATTTATCCTCCATAAAGTGGGCTCGACTATAAATCTAAATTAAAACTATAACAAAATTTTGGAAATTTGGTTTAAATCACGCAGAAAGTAAAAACGAATCTATAATGTCAGTTCAATTAGGTTCAACGAAATGGATACAGAATTTAGAAAAAAACGGTATCGGTGATTAGATTAATCACTGAACACAATTAATTTACCGGTAATAACCGGAAATAACGAATTTAAAATGATTTCAAATGACCTTTTACAAATTTTACCAGGTTTACAAATCATGACGACTGTACATTATCTGAACGTACCGACTAGGCTTGCACGTAATTGACAAAAATCAATTCCGTAATTACGGCAAAATCAATTACGTAATGACCCCGTAATTGTGATATTTTTCCACGCATTTAAACCTATCATAACAACCAATTGAATCCACTTCTTTTCCGAATGGGACATTGAAGTTGGGTTTTCATATTCTTGGCAGTACTACACGCCATCGGCAGATGTTAAAGACAAATATCAAGGAGTGAATTCAAATTAATTTTATTCTGATTTTTATCTTTTGTGTTAGCTTTGATTTCCTTTATCACCTTCGCAAATTAACCGTCCCATTTTTATGCGATCAATTTTATTTTATCATTACCGACACTGGTATACGGTTATTTATGGAAACGATAGTTTTTTAAAACCACCTTAGTACTGAATAAAAATTAAGGGTTTCTAATTTATCAACCAACGACGAGCGTATTCACTCATTTGATTATACTTGCGATTTCCTCGCGACGAAGACTTGTTTTTGCAGCGTCTTCTGCATTATCCGACATTACTGCCTTGTTAGCATTTTATAATAATAATTATTGATGTCGACTTATTGACGATATTCCGATTACCATGCTTCATTTTACATTTAATCATTTCGCGGACTGAATGTTTAAAACATTATTTGCGATAAATTTAGATTAAATATTATTTATTTGAGTATAGTTTAAATATCGAACTTATATGATATGCCTTCTCCGAAAATACAAAAGTTATATCGCAAAACAATGCATTTTGTGACATTTATTTTACACTCACGACATTAATTTGCTAACTCAAGTCGGCGATCCTATCGGCCAAGATTGACACAAGTTTGGTCGAGTGCCGGTGGTATTCAAGTAGACGATAAATCAAAATAAGTTGCCGCATTTGGTAAGACAGTTAATCATACATGGCCGAAATATTGAGAGGAATTGTCCGGACTGATATATAACGATAAAACCGTTAACAGAACATCAAGATTTTGTAATAGAAAATGGATCTCGCACAGAATAAACACACTGGCTCATATTTGATTATATATGATAGCAGTTAAATTTTTTTGCGGTCCGCGAGGAATCCGTCGTTTTGCTGTTTCTCTGCCGTCTCAATCGCTTTACCGATGCCGAGAAGACGAAGTTGCGTTGGTTCATTACGCAATCTCTCTTTTGTCGTCATATTGCTATTTGATAAGCGCGACATTAATTATCACGGCGAGGTATTGGCGCGAGTGATCAATAGCTCTTTTGGCTTATTTGGTTCCAATTCGTCGCGAAAGCTCTTCGTTAAATTTCACAAAATCGTCGTGTTGAAAGGTTATGGATATTTTCCTGTTTATACCCTAAGTATGAAATAAAACAGCCAAAAACAGTATGATATTCCGTGTTCATATATCAAGTGTTGATATTAACATTAAAGAATGGTTAAGCATTGCTAATCCACACTTGGTGGGGAATTCCCACTATTTAAACGCGTGACCATAAAATAAAATGAAATAGAAACGGAACGTATATACCATAAGTAACGGAAAACTGGAACAAGTAAATAATAAATAAAAGTAAAATGGATACAAATGTTTGATAGACCATGTTTGAAAGATTGATCTCCTGCGTTCATTAGTCATTTCACCCGAAGAAGTTGAAACCGGGCGTGTTAGCGTCCATCGGTCTTAACACAATTCTTCCCCCTATCTACGGTTATTATGTACATTGGCCATGGCCATGCTAGATAAGATGCGAGAGAAGTTGAAACCAGGTGTGTTGGCGTCAATCGGTCTTAACGCAATTCTATCCCTTATCTACGGTTAAGTTACGGGAGAAGTTAAAACCAGGTGTGTTGGCGTCAAACGGTCTTAACGCAATTCTATCCCCTATCTACGGTTAAGTTACGGGAGAAGTTAAAACCAGGTGTGTTAGCGTCAATCGGTCTCAACGCAATTCTATCTCTTATCTACGGTTAAGTTACGGGAGAAGTTAAAACCAGGTGTGTTGGCGTCAAACGGCCCTACTCAGTTCTTCCCCCTTAACTACGTTAATAATTTACATTGGCCATGCCAGAGAAGTTGATAATAGGTTAGTGAATGGCAACGCGTCATGCCCTCCTTCACCTACGTAACAAGAGAGAGAAAAACGGCTGCGAATACCGGAACTCTAACTTCTACTTGTTGAGCTTTCATTTTTCGCAATCGACGAAAGTGACTGCTTTGAAGAAAGCTCGTTTCAATGCAATAATTACGACTTTACGGAATTCGTAACTTCCCTTCCGTAACTCAAAATAATTACGTAATTCCGTAAATCCGTAAATTACGTGCAAGCCTAGTACCGACTGTCTGGGCCATGCTCGGATATTGTGAAGATGTGTTCAACTACAGTTTTCTAGGTATATTCGAGTAAAATGTGACGTCACATGACGAAATATTGAGAATATATATTTTTACATACGTCGACTTTTAACGTCGCAGATTAAGTCATGCACCGCGGAAGGAATGTGATTAATATTAACGCGATGTATTTTTTTATTACGTCACTTATATTTTCGGCATATTTTACATTATGTGAATACGTTTATTAGCGAATAAAACACCTTAACGGACTCGGACGTGGAAACAGTCAAACTCATTTAGCACAGAAGATCTACGTGAAAATAGTAGATAAGAAAGAGTTTAAACTGCAGTTGAGTTAATTAGTCGAAGATATTTACAAGGCAATGTCGACGAAAAGATGGTAAAAAGATGAGACAAAAATGGCATGTGATCTCGGTGATAGTATCAAACCAACCGTAACCCAACGATGACAGGGTTAGGGTTAGAAACTGAAGTCTATAAGAATATGATGACAGGATTAGACAGGTCTATGAAAATGTCATTATGAGAAATTGGCACCAGTTTGATATGCGATTGAGATCAGGTTAAGCAAGTGAGATCGCATACCAAAGTCGCACCGAAAAGTGTATCCGCATTCGGAACAAACTGTATATATACAGTATAATTCTATTGAGGCAGTCATTACGCAGGGAGAATACACGAGTTGTTTTATTCTACTATGCTCTAGTGCTAAATTGTTCACGTTGTATTCGTTAAAATATAAATATATACTTTATCTCACAATTATGAAGTTACCAGTTACTAATACAGCGTCGAACCGCACCTGATAATGAACAAATAAATTACCGGAATTATTTAAATAACATATTTCGCTCAAAAATTGATAATATTAGCCATATCGCTTGAAATCCAAACTTGACGGGTACTGGCTAATAAAGTAAGTCTCGCACTTTTGATGTGTTGGGGAAATACCGTCATTTTGTGTTTATCTATGAAGTTGAAACCGACACAAGCATTAAGAATTTAATCCGAGTAGCGTTAAATCTAATCAGCGTTGCTTTTCGAAGGTAAAAAGAATCGTTGATGTTTGAACGAGTTTTTTGTTGTAAAGAAAATTTGATGTGATTTTAACCAGACATAATTAGTTGCGTCCAGGTAACTTAATTACTAACCAAACTTTCTATTCAAAATTTTTTTTTTTGAAAATGTAAAACGGGCATTCTGTCCAAAAAATCGAATATTCTCGAATTCAGGTAATTTTACAGACAAATTCACCTCATCATATATCAAAAGTGTCATTGCGCGTGTTATTGACATTTGACATTTAAAAAATTTTGACATCCCTATTTTTTTTAAAGCAATAACAATATATTCTCAAAGATCATTAAAATAGTTAGATTGCCAGCAATCCATAATTTGACAGTGATGAATAGATTTTTTTGTATCGATATTTTGTAATTTATAAAATTGGTGATTGTACGTCTTGCGCTTATTAGCGAGATATTTTATTGAACCCTTATAAACTTTCCAATAAAATGATTTTAAGCCCTTTAAGTATTTATTTGTGCATCAATCAGGCTTGGGTCAACAATTAAACATGGCTGGAAAGTTTGATCTATCTGTGGCCCATTTATACCATTATCGTCTAAATAGTTTTGGAAGAGAATGATAGCTAATGACAAAGGGGAAATGCATGCCACATCCGCATTTTATGGTATTTGAGTGATTGATAAAAGGAGGTTAGTATAATAGCGACCAATCCATCTAAATTGATCCATACTCAATATATCATACTCTATAATTATTTGAATTCATACCTCGGTTCTTCTCCTTTGGTGTTGCAATTGCAGGCACGGTCCCTGCAACATCAAATCGTTTAGCTGGTTTTGAAAAAGTGTTGATATGTGATAGCGAAAAAGATAAAAAAAAAAAAAAAAAAGAGACGAATCTTCGACAAGAAGAGCTAGCTGATTTGCTGGAAGTGAATACTTTCGCCATTGAGTGAGAAGGCGCAACTTGGGTTTTAGCCCGACTGCAGTTGATCATCAGTGGAAAAGTATTAGGAATACTTCAACAGCAGTGATCAATGTTACGGAGCTCTTGGTTCAGAAAATAAAATACATACTTTTTTACAGATTAAAGAAATTATTTTTATAAAATCGCACTCAATATGATTGTACATAAAAAAATTTGCACAATGTCAATTACTGTATTTCTATTGTTACTGTATCTCAAAATGATCACTGCATACAACGTGGAGTCCAGGATTGAAAGTACAAAATTTTTATTTTCTCCTGCCATGAAAATAAATGCAAATGAAAGCAGAACTGTTATTTTGCACAATAGAGAACCGTCATATTATGGTTATAAACTATCAATTGCGACCGGAACCTCGAATCCAAGGTTAGACAATTTTTTATGCCATCGTTTCTATATGAGTTTAATATTTTAGATAATAGTTGACTTGATTCCATGAATAAATCTGTTGGAAATAATAGTTGGGAGATACTTCATTGTAAATTTTTTAAATATTATTTTAATTTTAGTGTTTTCATATCCGCTCCTAAAATGACGAATGCTGCTGCGCCATGGGAGCAACAAAATTCAACAGACGAACAAAATATTGCAGGTAAACTACATATTATGAATAGAGAAAGCTTGCCGGCTACTACAATCCACAGCGCATAAGAATAAGTCTTGAAAGATTTATTGGCGACTGAATGTACAATATATAATTTTACAAATTAGTTGGTGCTCCCGAAGTATGCGAACCAAGATGGCGGACATCGGAATGTAACATGGGTAACAGGTTAGGGTTGGGCGATAATTTTTTTCCAATTTTTCTTATTTTAGTCTTATTATCAGTTCGAAGACTAGCCAAGAGCCTCCCGTAGTATTTATACCTAAAATTATGGCCTAACCCTAACCTAGTACACATATTACATTCCGATGTCCGCCATCTTGGTTCGCATACTTCGGGAGCCCCGATTAGTTTTTATAATAAAATTTAAATATCTACTGAACGTTATTGGACACGAAATGTATATGGATCGTTTTGATAATATGTTGTTCTTGTTCGTCACTCTTTTAGTTCCTGATAGCCATCCTTCAACTACCGGACCAATTGCTTTGAAAATTTTAAGCGAGTTAAGATTGTATTTTTCCCTAATAGGCTATTACTTATATCTCTTTCGAAAAATTTCTGTGGCATTAATGGGATTTTTTCTTGTGTGTGATGACGTCATTAAGAATTGCGCACCGTGTGGCCAAGCAAGTCGCGATGACTGTGGCACCGGTGGTCTATTGTGACAAATTGCCCATACTACCTCGTTTTGGCTTTCTTTACCATATATTTGAGCATCGTTCTCTTCTTCAATATTTCATATATATGTGAATTAACAGCCGATGGAACGGTGGAAAAATGCATCATTTCATTCATCAACGCTTCAACGCAATGTAATTCAGTCAGACTGCAAAACCCACAACCCGGCGACTCGTTTGGATTGGCAATGGATGCCAACGACGAAAACCTTTTAGTAAGTTGCTACGATTTTTAATTTTTGTGTATGTGCGACCGATGCGCGTCCTCCGTGACCATGTATTTGAGCAATGCTATCTTGTTTTAACATGACCCCATCATGATATATATTTTTAGTATTTGCAACTGACTCCTATGACTGTATATTGTCGTATCGTTGTCACCCAGTCATCCTACCGAAAACTGTATTGTATGTGTACTGTACTGTATGTGTTGTTTCATTAATATTTGTAACATCATTATGTTTTCTGGTTTGAAGAAATAATTCTCTTTCTCTCCCAATGTCACTTTGAAGGATCATATCATATGCAAATAATCCAGTAATTATAATCCTGTTTATACTTCAGGCATGTTCACCGGCAAAAATTCTCAACTGCACGTCAACTTTTATTACTCCAGGATTTTGCTACAAAAGTAAAGATGAAGGACAAACTTGGGAATCCACACGGAAAAATTTAGATTCAAGTAAATCAACATGAATATATACAGGGCGCATACATTAGTAGTGCTTTCAAACACTGAATTATTATTTTTTCATTGATCGAATATAATTTGTTCTATGTTTTAACGCTGATGCTTTGATGCTGTGGGTACACAAAAACCTTGCATATGGATGTCAATTTATTCCAATTTTTACGTTAACGACTATGTTATCTTTAATAATGCACATTCGCCGTGCTTGTGTGTTTTACATTTTTGATCATTATCAAAATATATTTATATATGGAGAGTGAGAAATAGATGAGGACAAAGCTTTTAATATTCAGATTGCCCAGTTCAAAATTTGGACATTATGTTCGTTTTGGATGGATCAGGATCTGTAACTGGGGGAAATTTTGATATTGTGAAAGATTGGACGGCTAACTTAACCAAAGAATTTGATATTGAGACTGGAAAAGTACATGTAGGAGTTGTTCAGTACTCCTACTGGGATGATAATGTAGAGTGAGTTTTTTTTATATATATATTGTGTGAAAGCAATCATACAGGAAATATCTGTATTTGATGTTAAGTATGACTTTGAATACCATGTGTGTAAATATCCTAGTTAAGGAGTGTGCAACAGTTAATACAGAAGGGCCAGATACAAATGACTGGGTGAAACCGCGGGCCGCACCGCGCTGTTTGCTCCGCATAAACAACTATCTGTTGTCATAGATATAATAATGACTTGAAAGTACTCGCACTTACCAAATTTAGCCAATTAAAAACTTGTTCTGCGGACTGCACACCATTCAAAATTAGCACTTCTTCGCGGGCCGCACAATAGTTACTTGTGGGTCGCAGTGTAAAACTGTCGACAGTGCGAAAATTTAAGATCGTGACTAAGCGACAATTAATTTGGAACATATGTACTGCGAAGAATAAAAGTTATATAGGTTTTAAGTAAAATGAAACTGAAATAATTGAAATCCAATATACATTCTAATCGCTAGTTATGATTTGTTTATTGTATGAACACTGGACAAAAAGTAAATATGAATGAGATCCTTAAATTGAGAACTTTCACTTTTTCAGTGTAAATAACCAACTATATGTGAAAACTGAGATTGGATTGGGCCAATATAATAATGAAACAGAATTGCTGGTAAGTAGTTATAATAAATTAGTTATTACAACAATATGTAATAAGCTGATTCAATGAGTTCAAATAACGTTCAATTGATTTTTATGATTTGGAGATATGGTCGTGAAATCATTAACTAATTTTAAACTGCATATTCAGTCTGTTATTTTTGCCAAATTATCTTTTGTTATAAAACTATTTGGAAGAGAATAAATTCATTCGAAACCCAATTTACAAGGGACTTCGTACACCATGCCAACAATCTGAGAAGAATGTTGCTGGCCGTGAATTATAGCTAGTAAAAATGATCACTATATGTTATTATGTTATTATATGTACTTGCAGGATGCCATCGGGAAAATCAACTATCAAGGTTATACAACTGCTACTTCTCATGCTCTCAACAAAACAATATTAGACTTCCAGGCATCGAGTCGATGGTCCGATAAGTCAACCAAGAAAATCATTCTACTATTGACAGATGGCGAGTGAGTAACGGCTGTTCATACTTGCGCATTTGACATTGGTTAGAATCATATTTGCGTAGTAGAGTTCGGTACCCCCGTAGTATGTGAACCAAGATGGTGGACACCGGAAGATAGTGCCTGTACCAGGTTAGGCCATAACTTTATTCCAATTTTTCTTATTTTAGTTCTATTACGAGTTCGAGGACTAGCCAAGTGACTCCCGTAGTATTTGTACCTGGAATTATGGCCTAACCTTACCTGGTACACATACTACGTTCCGGTGTCCGCCATCTTAGTTCGAATATTGCACGAATTCTACAGTTTCAAATTGATCGACACTAATCTTATATTTTCAAACAAATGTTTCTTTCAGAGCCACCGACCCTCAATATCTCCCACAAAGTGCAGATTATGTACGTTCTCTAGGAATCACCACATTTGCAATCGGAGTCGGAAACTATAAGGAAGAAGAGTTACGGGTACGCATATTGTTACCGTACACATTCCTGGTCCCATAACCATACCGCATCAGTTCCAAACATAGAACTAAAAATGCCCCCCTCCTAGTTCGTAACATTCAAAAATGAACCTGACTAATCATTGGCCATAGGCATGCATTCTAAGTCCTGTATTCAACCATTCAAATAGTTGGCTCTATCACCACACAATATTTGTTTTGTTACAAGTACCGTGTTTCCCCCCAAAAAAGACTGGGTCTTATTTCGATTTTCTTCCGAAAACACCAGGGCTTATTTTTTGGGGATGTCTTATATTTTCATTTATCAAAGACATAATTACGAAGTAGAGAATTACGAGATTTTCAAATATATATACAAAATAGGAAAAGCGATATCCATTCACTTATAAATAACGTTTTTATTCCAAATAATTGCAAAACATAGGTTGTCTATCATTTAAAACGTGTAGGAGAGATTTCTTGCAATTGACTAGGTAAAAAAAAATTCGCTTTATTGACCAGGTCTTATTTTAAGGGGAGAAGATCTTATATCAAAATCATTTTAAAATTCAGGCTAGGTCTTATTTTCGGGGAAACGCGGTAGTTCAATTCATAAACTTTTTTCTCCGTCCATATAATTCCAGTTTATCTTTTCAATAAAATCCTCGCAAGATTTTAAATTTATTTTCCTATATTTTCTGAAAGATTTATGCCATTGTGTTTTTAATCAGATCATAGCAACGGGAAACTTGACATCAAGAGAGAGGGTATCGAGTGTGAATAATTTTGAAGACCTGAGTGGAATTCTAAAGAAATTGAGATCAGAAATTCTTAATTTAGTTCTGGAAGGTAAAATTAATTTTGTAAAATTATCCTCTCAATCGTTTCGCAAAATGTTTTTCTTGTATAGGAAAAAAAAAACGTTTCTCCGAAACCGATGAGACCAATCACATTTTGAGTACTTGTTGAGTACTTATGACTTTCCAGACAATACATATCCATAAATTTGATTCCTAAAATATTGCAAAAACATTTTCATGAGAGTATATGTTATTGGCAGAACACTTTTGCTAAAAACCAGCTCTTGTTTTTCCTAACAAAAATGAGAGTCGGCTCTAATCAGGGTCTTCACGTAAAAACTTCCCAGTGCCTCAAAGATACTGTGATATATTCCCCGAGATTTCAACTAACTGGTCACAATCTGGTTCAAATCTCTATGCATATGCAGAATATATATATCGATTCATACAATATATTTTAACTTTTATAGTTTCACAAAATAGATAGAATTTGAGTAGTGGCATTAAAATCATTCTGTAATTTACAGGTGCTGCCAACAATAATTCTGTATCAAGTGATATGGAGCTAGGAGAGGAAGGATTTTCAATTACTGGCTCTAAGGTGAGAAGTTGTTTTGCCAGCATTCACTTGGTGTCGAATGAGAATGCTTATTGTGTTTGCTGTGACTGATTGTGTTGAGAGTGAATGCGGTTTCGTAACAGTCGTGGCGTGTTTTCCGGGTGCTCTGGTAGTATGTGCACCAAGATGGCGCACAACCTGAACGTAGTATGTATACAAGGTCATCTTGATGCACATACTACGGAAGCCGTTTTTCGTCATACGAACCAATGCGGTCGCGCTGGGCTCACCTTGGAAAGGTGCTTTACATAAGATGTACAGAAAATAAGAAGGTAAGCGAGTAAAACTGAACTTTTGAAGATGATGCTTTTTTGTCGAGTCGTAGCAACAAAGGCGTCTAGGTAACTTTTATGCAGCGTAAGTATGTTTTACAGCAGAATTATCTACCTGTCCTCAAATTTTACCAACTTAGGTAGCACTGCATATATATATAATATTTCTCACCTAATCCCAAAATATAAGGAAATTAGCGGAAAATATAAAAACTGTCTCCACAGGCAGGCATTTTGAGTCTTGGTAACTAGACTAGTTTATTTACCCAAATCTACCTAAAATGATTCAAGCACGTAGTTGGTGAAATCTACAAACATTTTTATTTTTGCATAATAAAATCCAGACAAAACAAATTTGTGTAAGTTTTCCCAAAGCATGGCCACGAGCCGACACATTGACAATAAAACTGATAAGCGGGATATAATTCTACAAAGAGCAAGATTTTGGAAACGACTTTAACCACTACAGCCGAAAAATACACCTGGCAGTTTTTGGTGACAACGAAGGAAAACCAAGGAGAGCTGCAGATATATTAAAAATGGTAATAAATATTAAAATAGGGAATTTCAAGAGTTGTTGTTTATACTGAAAACAAATGTTAAATTAAGCAATAATTAATATTATGTTTAATAATAAATAATATTCTGAGCCACATACTATCTTCCGGTTACCAGACCAGTGGGTGTGGAATTAATAGGCAGTTCCCCATTCATGGACGCAGCTGGTGACGATGGTCTTTCATGAAGATATTCCCAAATTGGAAAGCCCTTTACCATTTCATATAGTAATGTCTGCGGAAAATGCTACTTTTTTTATTTTAAATATAACGCCAAGGAAAAAACACCCCAAGCTCACAATGTAGTATATATCGCAGGTAGATCCCGTTTCAATTTTTTATCCAATGCGGCCTGATTCCACAATTTGATAAAAATGTCATCCCATCTAATATATATATATAATTAGACTAGCAATGAAATTCTTTTTCAACACCGACGATATTTCAAACATATAAAATAACACGCTAGTTATATTTTTTAGAAATCAGGAGAAAAATGAACTCTATGCTCAACTGAAATGCTGGAAATTCTGGAGCTCTACACAGACCGACTTATTTGATGAGGCCATAAACATGGGTGAATGCTCCGACACAAAACAACCCAGACACAACCACGGGCCAGCGTCGAAATTATACCACAAAGCATAAGTTATGGCTTCGTCTCGGATTTGAAGAAATGTACTCGTATAAAACATTTTGCTTCTGACGTCAGCACCGAGAAGAGAAATTCAAATAGCGAAAACTTCGACGTATGCAAGCCTTCGCAGAGTGTATTAAAGTAAACTCAAACTTTTCGAGTCTTTAAAAAAGTTTTAATTTATTTTATCAAGGTTAACAAATTGCCAGACAAAATAATAAAAAACAACTTACTTCCATTACGGTATTGCGTCTATTCATATCAAAGTATGTATATTGAATTAACTACCTACGTCCTTCAATCATTACATGCCCGACATCACGCAAGGGCTACTTAATTGTGCCCATGGTCTAACTGAGAGAACGCCCTAACTTGCTACACCAATACCCGACGGCCGACCGACCCTTTCAATCATTTCGCTGTGTATGTTATGGACTACTAAAGTGAAAATGGCGATAATGCCGTTGGCCGCTCATCATGCAACTCCCGGCTATCACAATTTTTATCAAAGTTCAAGCACCAATACCGAGACCCCAAAAACTTTTCTTCCGTGGGAATAGCCACCGTGGCCACCAGCTTGCTAGAATTGTCTACTCACCCATCAATCAATACAAATACAATATTCAACACGTGCCTGTTTACTCAGGACTCGGGGTAGGTATAACGAAGCGGGTTTCCAAAATGCCGTGTTCCACCTGTATGAATCTCCTTTCCTATGCCTACTCAAACCTTCTTGTCAAGAGTATGATAAATATACCAACCCGGAAAACAACAAGAATCCCACCTCGTATACTTACTTAAACGATTTGAACACTGGGTATAGATTTGCAAGTGTGCGATACGACGATATTAATGACAATTCGAAACACGTCTGCAACCAAAATCCTACCACCTTAAATCATAGATTAATTAAATAATTGAAAGCTAAAATTGCTCAGTTCTTCGACACGAGGGAGACGTTCTTGATGTAGAAAAAAAAAAGATTATGAAAAAGGCATTTTTTACACTTTTCATTGGACAATAAGGGCAATTGGGCAGATGAAATAAACTACTGATTTTTCTATTTTTAATGAATGAATATAAAACTCCCGACATTTGCACAGACACACACACACACACCAATCACAACACAACAACATATCACAAGTATTTCATACAATTGCAAAATTATATTCTGTTACCTGCCCATACACAACAGAGAAGCCAATCTGGGCATTGAGAAGATTGTCAGCAACGCCAGCACTGGTACCTGAATATTGAAAAGTTGAAGAAACTAAGAAAAAGAGTTATTATAAGATGTATTTATTATATTTCTTTAAATTCATTAATTTGCAGCTTCGATTTCATTTCATAACATATAATTTTTGATTTCACGTAGTTTTAAGCAATTGGTAGTATTTATACAATTATGTTATTCAAAGTATGGTATTAACAAACAAAATAGCAATGCTAAAATACATGAACACGAAAGCCAAAACTAAGAAGTACGGGTATCTCATCTTTCACAGTAACACAGTGTCCCCGACTTCGGCTGACCATTAGATAGTGAACGCGTGCAAAAACAATTATTTTTACATTTGACCAAGCTTGGTTACAATTTTGCACGCCGCGAACAACGCTCCTGGAAAGCGATCGTAAGAATGAATCCCCACTAAGTTACCTTCGAGAAAAGTGAGTTTAACCTGGTCCAACAAAGTGTCAACAATTTCTGGAAGAGAGTTAAAATCATTGACTGAGAACACACGATCGTCTGAAGCTGCAACGACCTGGAATATGCCGCAATCATGATTTAAAAAACTGCCAGGAATTTTGGAGTTTGACAGAAGTTTCCGGCCGGCCATGGAAGCGAAAGTTTGATTTGGGGTTTTATTGTATCATATCAGTAAACATGTCAAATAAGTTTGAAGAATAATACAAATTTTTACAATGCCGAGGTATATTTAGTTTTTAATGTTAGATTGGGTGTGCAAATATAACTTTTGGATATTTCAAAACACATACTTTCGGATTTGGTTTATGTGACAGAATTGGTTAAAACAGTAATTAATTAATTACTTATATATGAAACTTTTATACTCAACCTACATATTTTGAAAGTCTAACAACTTGATGACCAAACCTGTAATTCTTGCACTGCGGCGTTTTTCACTCCTACAGCGAAGCAAGTTATATTTAAAGAGCGTAGGATTTCAGCATTCTTATTTAGCAGATACCAGTCATTTGACCTACAAAACAATAAATAATTGAAGTTCTTGTTTCATTTTTAATTGATTCAGTAAATTTTCACGTATTTACCTTCCGTCTGTAATCAAAATTAGAATCTTCTTATTCATTGGATCATAGTAGTACGGAGAAGTTTTAAAATCTTCAACGGTTTTTATCAAAGCATGCGCAGTGAATGTTGTCAAACCTTGGAGTTTTATTTGATCTAAAGCTTTCTGTATTATGAAATAAATTCAGACACATTTAAAGCCTGTACAAGTTCAACAGAGTTTGATTTTAGTGATACATTTAAACCGATTTGAGTTGTAGTTTTCAATTTGGCTATGCTACATCCAATAAAGAACTAATCAGCGATTTATTCATCACCGGTTAGAAAGCAAGAGCAGAGATACATCCTAAATTCAATTGTGTACGTTGCTGGTGTGCCAAAATGTTATAAAGCAGCGTTTCCCAGCCATTTTGGTTGAATCCTTCTCTTAGCCTATTTAGAAACTGTTTATTCCTTCCTCTCACCCTGAACTAACTTATGTTTTCAATATCCAATAAATCATGCACACTCGCGTTTTTGTACAGTTTATGTGTGAATAAATAACTATTATAGTAATATTAATAGGGAAATAAAGAATATTAGTGCTACAGCAAATACTAAGCAAAGTTCCTCCCACGGCTGGGAAACATTGTTCCAAAGCGTTTTTTAACAGCAAGTTTGGATTTATTTAGACGTATATATACTTGGTCAAAATTATAAACGCTTCAAGTTCAATCAGGGTGAAGATATAACTAAATATTCACCTTTGTGTAACGAAAGTTATAAATGATGAAAGTGAAGTCATTTGAAATCAACTAAAAAAACTGTAAAATTTGATTGTGAAAGATTTGACTTACTGAAAAATCTTCTGTGTTGGTGTATTCTCCTAATTTAATTTCTGTCACCATGTTAGGTTGGTCATCCGGCTGCCTTTAAAAAATTTAAAAATGCAGCCACCATAAAAACAGCTTAAATACAATGCAGTAAACTCGAATCATCAAAAACTGAATATTCCAACAAATTTAGAATTGGCCGCTAATCTTACGTCAGTCGGCAATTAATGACCATTAGTCTATATAGTTTTAAGCTTTTACCCATATTGTTCGTCCTGAAGTTTATTCAGAGTCTGCGTAAATAGCCAGTGGCCCTGTTGAGAGCAATTTTTTCCAAGATCTTTGTATTTAAAAAACTTTATTACTTATTTTATTTACCTGTGAACATAATAGTGCGAGTATTGCACCACACCAACAGATACCTTTCCATTGGCTGAAAGACCTAGTCGACTTGTGACGTCACGGACCCAATTTTTAGCCATCTGAAAGTTATCCGGTTGATCAACGTTAACTGATCTTGAACCATCCATTACGAACATCACATCCATGTGTTTGTTTGGACAAGCTTAAAGGATGATACATATATCTGTTACAATGTGGTTTAAACAAAAAAGTGCCAAAATTTCTAACTGAAAAGAGGCAAAATTGAAGCAAAGCGCTAAACAAGCGACAAGATTGACCATTGGTCATAGATATAATTTATTCCTACTTCAATTTAAACTTTAGGGTTGATAATTTCAGTTCGACACTTAGTGAATGCTTGCTCGCAGAATGCTCCCAGCTTTAATTTTAGAAGTAGGGGTACAAATTCAGGGGTGGGTAGCTATTTTGGAGTTAGCGACAAAACTGCTTGTAATTTATTAGAACGTGTTACGTATTCGACAGTTGACTGGTCATCTGAATGGTATATATACACGCAATTTTCTGGATATTCAAATACAATTATATTTAAGTTGGGAATTTAAAATTAGGGGATGTTTACTCCTTGTAAGTGGCGGTAAAAAAATCACTGCAGTTGCTCGCAATGATTTTTTATAATGGAAAGTCGTTTCACTTAAGGCATGCTTGAGTGACCAAAGTTGTGACTTCTTTTAAATCTAAGAGAGATCCATATTTATTAAAGACAAGTGTTTTTCTATTTTTGGTGAGGTTGAGTAATAATTTACTATGTATATGACCATAACGGGCTACGGTTATAAAGCAGTTCTTAAGATCTGTCTTTCATTCATAAAATAGCATGAAATAGTATTACTCCCAGAAGGGTTGGGCAATTTCTCCAAGTATCTTCCATAGTTCGACATTTTGCATTCTCCGGAACTATAAACGGAATCTTGACATTCAAGCAAATGATGAGGAGAGCAAAGCTGTTGAAAGAAATGAAAAAGCACTCGACTTGTCAGTTTTTGACAGATATTTGGTTTGAGATATTATGAAAGTGAAAGATCAAAAAGCAATTCCTCATTATTCTAAATATTGGCATATAATTCGAAAGTGTAAAAAACTTGTGGCTTTATGATAAAAACTAGATCATCACACTAAATAACAAGCACAGTATACGAGATTTTGATAACGCCAAGGGAGGAAGTCCAGGGATTTCTCTACATCCGCACTATAGTGGGTGAACAGCCCCATAACATTTCATGATGTGAAGCCACACTTAAATATAATTGTATCAAAGAATATTTTCATGAGTTACAAATAGTTTTATCCTGATAGTAAAATATTTGCCATTTCATAATTTGGACCACCCGCTTAAAATAAACAGCAGGGGAGCATACTAGAGGGCATGATCCACTCTTATAGTGATGCCTCCTCTTTCATAGGTCAGTGTAGTCCTAAATACGAATACAGAACATTTACTTGCACAGCTAGGGTGAACATTATGTCAAATTATCCATATTACCGATATTTCGCCAAGTTGCCCAACAGCTATTGAAAAGCTGTTTGATGATATAGTTAATGCTACTTTCACGTGAGGCATAATTTCCGATCCGATTGTAGTTTCATTTATTAAAATTTGGTCACAAGAAATGATCTCATCAAATTTGTCAGTTTCCTGTTTTCCCTTATTTGCAACAAGTAGCCTGTGATGAAATGATTTCAAATGATTCAGACATTTGGTTAGGATATAAAAAAGCACAAAAATAATTTTTCCTATTTCATTAAATATATACAAGACTCCTGCAAAATTATTTCCATTTGTCTAATATAGTTTGTGAATTATTTCAGATGATATCAAACTATATATAGACATCATTAAGTAGCCTACTCGGCAACCAAGCAACAAACTGAAATATTTATTTGATTGGTTTAAGCCTTACGCGAAATTCGATATAAAAATGTTTATTCATCTATTCCAAGCCATGTGACTAATGGTGAGAACATTTTTACAACTGAATAAACGATAATGCTGATATGTTGTCCAGAAAAAATATCACCTTGCGCCTTCCGTCTCAAAACAACGTATAGATTCTTCTGCTGACGAGGATAGATCCAAAGAAATATAAGTACTGATATCCACATTTACTCCAAGTACAGACATATGAATGATGGAGTGAATGATTAAATGAAGAAATTCCAACATTCTCGAGATGAAGATAATAATGCAATTTTTTATTGTTCTGTTTTGTGATATGAAAATGTATCATATACTTCTTAGAAACCGATTAAGTTTGCCAAAGATAATGATGAAATGATGGAGCTTGAACGGGCTATTTCTCACGACTAGAGTAAATTTAATATCCATGTAGTTTGCTCTGATGATGGTTGAAATATTCTAGTTCTTTTCAATTGACAATCCTATTAGTGGAATCAATAAAGAAAAAAAAGCTTCTTCCTGAAATTCTTTTTGTAGTATTGGGCTAGTACTTCTTTTCTTAATCCAAAATTCGAATACTAAAGAACTTATGTTACCATTAGCATAAAATCTGGAACCTCATCACTATTAAAAGATTATGATATATAAAAAAAAAAAAAATCGTAAGTCGAGTGATAATGTTCATTGGCTTGAAGCGCTGTCCTTTAAAATAGGTTAAATCTTATGTAATACCGGTGTCTTATAGTATTTACACGATTCTCTATGCCATCACTTTGAATGATGAATCATAGAGTGTGTAATGTTGATATGGGTAACAATATGATCCGTTTAGAATATTTATTTGAACAATATCCGAATTCTAAATAAAATGACCTTGGTATAGAACAGAAAATCTGCTCACCAAAAGGTCGAATGTATAATTACTGCTGAACTGAATTAAATTCTGAATCATTTTAGTAATTCGTGTCTCGCAATGTTACTATACAGAATTGTGCGGTTGCAGTCTACAAACAAAAAATTAGCATACTGTTTAAAAGTATGAATGTTTATAAAGTAACAGCAGTTCCGAATTTTGGCTACCATGCCACATATGCTCAGTATCTATTTATTCAAGAACATTCGACAGACTTGGGCAAATGAGCTTGTTGATCCTTTTAAAAAGTATAGGCATATTGATTTTACTAGCAGAATATCAATTGTACGTCATTCTTTGTGATATTGTTTTTGTTATCCATTATGTTAGACTACAATTCTTTAATTTCGTTGACGAAACCAAATATCCTTTATTAAATATTGTTAATGACAATAACTTGGCAATATCATTTACAGAAATGTTCAAATTGCGTAATTTCATTTGTCCGATCATGTTGTTATCGCGATCTAGTTTCGCACTACATTTGGCGTCACTTAGAGCAGGGGTATAAAACTCGCGGTCCCATTGAACTTCCAATGCGGCCCTCGAACGCTTAACAATAATTGTAATAATTTGTAACCTTTTTTTTATTATCTAAATGTAATACATTTTTCCAACCTTTCAAACTGAAATTGATTATTCACACAGAAACCGATAATTTACAGTATTACAATTTTGTATTTTTTTTATCAAAAGTTTGTCTATCTAAAAATATGCTCCAAGTATACATTAAAAAATGTTTGCGGCCCTTGGCACAATTCCCAAAATGCAATGTTGCCCTCGAAAAACCACGACTTTGACACCCCTGACTTAGAGTGATTACATTTTCTCAAAAATTACCTTAAAAAACAAGTACACTTTTTATTTTTGTTTATAATCCGAATGGGTAATTTACCTGTTTTTTCACCTACTTACCGCAGGGCTTTTTAAATTTGGAACAGCTGAAAAAATCAGAGTCGAAATTCATGAAATGTCATGCTGTATATTTGGCTTCGATTTGGTCTGTTTTGCTTTACGTCATTGTCTAGTTTTTCTCATGTTTTGGATTTTGCGTTAAAAAATACGTGTACCTTATATGTTCTTTATATATAATTTTAAAAGCTCATTTTGCATTTATAATAATACCATGTAATACAAGAGAGAAATGCACAAATATGGACGCGAAGGCTAAAACAAAGTACTATAGTACTGGTATGAAATCCATAGCAGTACTGGTACCGTCGCAAACAACAAACTAATCCCATAGAACCCACATAATTTTTTTAAATAAATAAATGATAAAAGTAATAGCCTTCTAGCAAAAAATACAATCTTTAAGCAATGAAAATTTCAAGCAATTGGTCCGGTAGTTAATGAAAAAAGCGGATTTTTTCTCAAGAAGAAAGAAAATATAGACTAACGTTAACAACATAATAATACCAAAACGATTCATGTGTACACTTAGTGTCCAATAATACTAATGACAATGGAGAATTTGAGTCGGACCTTGCCCATAATTCTCACTGGAGTGTTACATGCCACTAGCTTGCCACTAGTGTTCACAACGTCCTTTTAGTTAGAATTTGATTCAAATGATAGTTACTAGGTTTTTCAAATTTTGAAGAGACTTCATGAAAACCCTAAATTATGGTCATGTAGTCTTCAACATGAATAATGCAAGCTGGGAATGAAAGGCAACGACATGTTGAAACCCACACTTGTTTCGCTTTTGGGAAATTGCAGTAATTTTACTGGTTATTTTTAAAAGTTTGACCCTTTAGTATAATTCTGTTAGAAACTAAGTTTAGCACGAATTAACTCTTATTTGCTTGAATGCGGGATTTTTGCTTTGTGTTTCGTGACGATTGATCATCAATTTCGATTGAAGCAATTAAATGATATAAATAATAATTTTTTTCATGTTTTTAAAATATTTGTTATGTGGAATGACCTCATATAAGTCATGCACGTTCGTCGTTTTATAAAAAATAAACTGATCAATAAATAAGATTTGAGTTCCTTATTGTTTGTTTGTAAATTATATTTCACGATCTAATTTAGGCAAATTTCATTCCTATTTAGCAGAAAATACTTCTATGTCCATTTTGTTCATACATACCAGGTCTCGGGGTCTGGCCATGCTTGATGTGCCATGCTTGGATTGATGATAAAACAGAAAGCTTTGTCACTTTTCAAAATAAATTCTTGGGAAGTCATAGAACTGTTCTAAATGATGATGAAATAGCAATGACTGTTTTTTTTTGTATAATTTGGCATCTTAGCTGCTATTTTGTGATATTAAAAAATGAAAATAATTCAACGCTACATTACGCTATGCCTATTAGTGCGCGCATACCTGAACACACAAATAATTTTTCTTCATTTCTGATTTTCGTTGCTGATTTCCATGCCACTCACATTTATAATTGATCATTTATCAAGACGGGTATCGTCAATTTTTCAGATTTTGCAGATTAATTTTACCTGTTTCTTGATAGCTGAAGATAATTCCCACGACAAGCCTGCATCCGCGCGTAAAATATTGTCCTTAAGACCGATGTGTCAACAAATGTCGACTTGTTACATTCTTACCACACTTGTTCCAGTGTGGGCCACGAGATTTGAGATACTCCTTTACAGCTGCGTTTCAATACTTACCCCGAAATCAGGCTGCGGCTTTCTCCAAATCAACTTAGTTCTCAACTGATGATTGGCCCGATATACGGTCGGAATGACGAGACGAAACGAAACCCTTTTCGCAAACGAATTAGTACGTGCGGTATTCGAGCATAAGTTGCTCTAAAGAGTTTTCCCCGCATGTATCTAGCTTAAATATAGCTAGCAATACCGTACCGCAGCTGCAATTATCATACAATCACACACGACGACAATCACAAAATTAATATCTCACACAAAATTATACTTTCATGCACGTTTACACCGGGCATTATCATTACGCTCACCTTGCCAAAAGTCCCACCAAGACCAGTCTCTGCATTCTGTAAATCGTTGGTTTCATTCCCACTCACAGATCCTAAATTATCAATAAATGAAATCGTCAATGAATGCAAAGTTATATTAGAATGCTGAACAAAAATCGAGCAGGCCATTGCCAAAGACACATAAAATCTAAATATATTTAAGAGCATTCAGGAAAATAGTAATGCTGCAACAATTACAAAGCAAAATTCATCTCTGAGGACGACAAAATTTCCCACTGGGGAGAAATTCCTGTATGACACAGTGACTCTTGTTAGCAGCAAACTATTAATAAAGAATAAGCAGCAGGAAAAACATTTCACCTTCTAAGATACCAGTGATACTTTTTTGCAATGAACCCACAATCTGTTGAAGATCAGAAAATTTCTGTAAACCATAAACTCGTTGATTATTTCCAACTTCACCAGTGGCAATGATCTGCAAATAAGTTGAAAATGGTATTTAAGAAAAGCTACCAAGAGCATCATTGGATACATTATGTAAAACTCATTATATCGAAGTATCGCAATTATATAGTTTGATTTCTTGGTACTCAATTGATTGAAGAGTCAGTATTCGACAGACTAATTGTTACCAAACAAATGAGAAGTTGTGTCATTATGATATAAAAACGACGATTGGATCAATGTATTCATCCGTATTAGTAACTGTTCCATGCAGGTATAGTTATTTAACTTTACAATACGTTCAGATGTTATTTATACAGCGCTTACTCGCGTCATTCGCTCCGTACAAGGCCGTTAACTAGTAGTCACTGATACCACACAATATGTAAAAAGCTACTGTTAGTTGAAAAAAAGATCAGGAATCTTTCCGGTTCGACATAACCTTCTCAATTTATCACACTCTGGGCATTTTGTTCACGACGTGTACTTCGAACAACTGCAATGCAATGCAAAATCGCCTTTCTCAATTACTACTGAACCAATTGCTTTAAAATTTTCTACTTTTTGTTATTTCAAAAATTCCTGTGGGTTCTAAGGGATTCGTTTTTTTGTTTGTGATGACGTAATCAAAAGTGAAAATTGCGCACCTTGTGGCGGTTCCGCGTTCGCGGATATGCGGTCAGGCGAAGTCGTGAACACTGCGATGCCGGTAGTCTATTTCGTGTCCATATATTTGATCATCGCTTTGTTATGTTTTGTAATGATCAAATTTGTGTGACTATTATTTTTTGAAAAACGCCACAATTGTTGTTTGATAGAATTGACGTGACGCCAAAATACCTGAAGTTCCTTTTCACTGTATCCTGCTACTCCGACAGCGAAAACCGTTATTCCAAGTGATCGAGCGTATTCGGCACTAACTGGTAGATCCACAACATCGTTTGATCTGGAAAACATAGGAACTTTGTTCAATATTTGAATCACTATGGAGCAAATAGAAAATTATATCAATAGACAACATTGATATCCAGGAAAGTTGTATAAATTACTTTAAACAAAATTGAAATAATATTCTGAAGCTTTTTTCAAATACAATAAACCGGAATGACTATTTTTGCAACATTTTCCAAGGTCAGACTTCTTCAGGCATACATAGTTCATCGTCTGAAGAAGTCTGACCTATAACTATAAGTCACACGAAACGTTGCAGAAATATATTTGTGTTAGTGTGCAGCAAGACTCTTGAATCACTTAACATATATTCATAATGATTGTAATATTTAAAGTAGAATTCAAAATGAACATTAAAGGAAAATTCTCGAATAGCCAACTATTCGAAACTCGGACTAGTGGTGGCAATGGGGTTTGGTCTGCACAGTTAATTCCAACACCCATGTCATTACGCGAGCACGTCATGAAACCGTAATTGAATTTGTAGATTTTATTTTGATAATTCCCATTATATTCCTTTTTTTATGAATGTACACACAAAACTGTATTCACAGTCTTACAAAGAACCAAGGTTCGAAGTACATTTTCATTGATATTAATCTGTATCTGATCAATAAATCAATTATATATTGATATAAAGAAGGTACTTATCGCATAGGTTAATTATTTAAATTACCGAATTACATTTACCTCATATATTATTATATGGATAGTTACGTGTATATAGTATATATCGATATTTGATTACGTATTAAAGGGGATTCGTTTCCAGTAAATCCTAATTAATTAGCGTCAAATGTGTCTGACTACTCCCAAATATCAGGGCATGATTAAATCACGAAAATATATTCCAATATGAAGCAATTTACTCTGTATTTTTCATCGTTAAAGTAATACTCAACTATTTTATACAACTCGAATAAATTTATACATGTTGGGCGCTCCAGAAGTATATGTACCAATAGGGAGGTATCTATTTTTGCCTACTTTACATCAAGTTGTGTAAAAGGGACTGAAGCCTAGGGGCAGGGGGTGTATTCACTTGGCTAACACAGACAGTCCCGAACTCTCAATAGAAACAAAATGAGGGAAGAGCGGAATAAAATTATGACCTAACCCTAACCTGGTACACATACTACGGGAGTACCATGTTTTGCATCAATTAGAATTTCAGCATTTTATTTATTTTAAAATCGAACTTGAGGTTGATCTTGACACATTTCTGATTATGTTAGCTGATAAATTTGAATATTACATCCCCTCGTGCTAATTTTCGAAAGCATTTATTGGTAATGAACGTGAGACATATCAGGCAATGGCAAACCGCGAATGGAATATTTGCCCTTTTCGTTGGGTGTAATTCAAATGTCCGGACATAGTTTGTGAAAAATTGTTGATCTTTATCGCACGATGTTCATGTTTATTATTTAGAGATTGAAACTCTGATTTTATTTGTCAGAAATATTAAAGTATATTGCACTGTAAAAGTGCGATGGAAGCTATTTGAACCCCTAAATATTAGCAGTTTTGATTCTTGCTACGGTATTTTAACGTTCATATCATACACCAAAACAAGATTAGAGAAAAGGGTCCATTGTAGTTAAGTGCTACTCCATTACCCATGTATCGCATTAGGGATATTTTATTAATCATAACAATCACTACACTTTGTTAAACAATTAAAACGAGAAAAATTTAGCAGCTTACTAAATATATTGCACGTGTCATTGACTGGTTTCTTACTGCGCAATTTTTATCTCGGAAGTTCGCAAAAACCCAGTTATTTTTACAGCAATTATGGAACCTTATTACTTTTGCTAGCATTCACCGTGATAATGTGATTGTTTCTTGGTGTTGCGGATTTATTGTTTCCGCTCTCCGAGTCCAAATTGAAATGCATAAAATATCATACACCTCGCATAAAAGAATTAAACACGGTGCCAGGTGTTGCCAGCTGATGGTACATAAGCGGGCAATCGTCTTGTGACAATTACATGAACAAAGCATTAACTTAAACGGCACTTTTTTACAGTGTAATTTGACGGATCAGCACGCAATATTGCTTTGCTGTTTTATTAAATGAGACAATTCCAAGTGCATTTTGGCCAGACAACAAAAAATTGCAAAAACTTGGGAAAAAAATGTAACAAAGCGCAAGTGAAGTGTATCGTTTTCGATAATTCAGACAAGACCACGTTTTGCATAAATGGCGAGAGCAGTGGGTGCTGATTTTATACAATTTGGAAATTCCTTTTTTTGATAAAATTCGCATGATATATTTGAAGGGATATATTTGAGTTAGTTAATGCGTTTGACAAAGTCTGTTGTTAGCTTTTCAAACGTTGGAATTTCTTCAAACGTAAATATTACCATTAATTTGCAGGTATTATAAGCACGCCAATCACTTATTTTGCATTCAATTATTTGTGTTTACAAAGAATTGCATTTAATTTTATGCGTTTTTTCTGCGAGTCAATGCCAGACAATATTTTTTGCAGTCACATTTATTGATATAAAAAACTCGTGCTAATGATCTTGAGTATTGACACCAGTCACGACTCATGCTTGAGAAATTTTCCATTTTGTTTTTTTTCTACATAAAGAAATATTAACACAATATATATAAAGTGTAATTAGATCTCAATCCAAACGTATTTTCTTCGTCTATTTATTCAGCTGATACTCAATCCTATATTGGAGAGCTCAAGTCATTAACGAGAATACAATTTGTATGAAGGTGTTTTACTGAATAAAATAATTTCGAATACAAACCGACAAATTTTTGCATCATATTTCAATTTATTTCAATCGATATATGATATTAACACAGTTGTTTGTCAATGAATTGTAACCTAAGTCCACAGCCCACAGAAGTGATATTGGATGAAATAATTGCGGGAATATTAGGCTGAAGCTCTTACTAACTATTGTGTAATGTTTTTGCAATTTGAAAAATTATCACCAGTCACCACACAGTCTTCGTTACAAAATTAGACAATTGTCTCAATCTGTCAATTTAACAATTTGTCGTCATTTCAAAAGAAAGACGTAAATGAGTATGATGTTGCCCCTTATAATGTGGTATTCTTAATAAAAACAGCAATTTATGGTCGTTATGTACATATACGGTCGTTATGTATATTTTTACACCCCAGGGATGATAAATTTTAGTTGCAAAAGCGAAACGAAACTTGAGCCTTTCTGTCTAGCTCATAGATAGATACCATACCCCAGAATACAAGCTTTATTTTCATAAGTCACTCACAAGTCCTTAAAATAAAAACTTGATTTCACATTTAGGTGATGATTTCATGATTGTTATGATTTTCTTTAATTTGTTATCCAGAAGCTCCCCACGAAATGCGAGTCATATTTCTTTTATTTCCTTCATTTACCAAAGTTATCTTGCTTTGTGGGAATTTCGGTAATTAAATATTTTTATTTACTTTGTTATGACTCTCAAATTATTCCAGGTGGGAAAACGATGTTAAGTTGGCTGGTGCTGTTTAATCCAATTTCATTACTAAATACAGTATGTAATTTGAATGTGATAAATAACATAATATACCGAAACAACTAAGTATTTAATATTGTCAAATTTGATGGAATAAGTAAAATAATGCCAGAACAACATGATATTTTAGAGTCAGACCATTGCACACTTAGACTTTTCAATTAATTTGATTTATGATGAACTTGAATTTTCTATCATATATACACAATCAAAAAACGTTTCATGCTTGATTTCTCATTCAGTAGTATTGAAACAAATACCAACCTTCCATCAGTCAGTAAAATCAAAACTTTTTTGGCAGCTGTGTCGTTGAATCGTTCGGAATCCATGAAATCATCAACAGTTTTATTGATAGCGTGAGCAGTATATGTCGTGTATCCTTGGATCATTATTTTGTCGACAGCTTCCTGTGAGTTTAAAGCATAGTTTGATTAGATTTATACATCAGGTCAGGGATGGCCAAAACCGGATATTTCATTATACCGAATACATCATGAAAAATATATTTTTGAACATGAAATATCAAATAGATTCTAATTTGGGGTCAAGTTCATATGGAAAATTGCATATCTTTATGTTGATCACAATCTAAATCTAAAATGACACAAATGTAAATGTCGTTGTTTACTATGTGTTGTTTTTTAACCGGTTTGAATGATGTAAGAATTTTAGGTGAACTAATACTCAAGTATCGTTCAGATACCTAGATAATCATATGGTCTTACCCATTTTAATTCAATATCAAATGGGCACGAAATATATAATATTGAGCAACGAGATGAATTGAGTAAACGTAAAAGTTCGCAAATAAATGGCTCAAAATACGCAACAAATCTACCATAGGAGGCATATTTCCGATCTAGCAAGCTGAGGAATACGACGGGAACCAAGTCATATCCAGGCGGAAATGACTGGTCTTTATTGTATGACGTTTGCAATATTGAACAGAGCAATTCTGAGTCATATGTCAAAGTTTTTAGTGCCATAGGTCAACTTCCTATATAAGTTTGTCTCATTACCAGAAAGGATTAATATCGACACATCTAGATTACGAACCAATAATATCAAAAACCTAACTTGTGTATAAAATGATTAAGAATTAGAGGAATGTACACACATCCAATACATACATAATAATCAATGCGTCCATAAATCTCCGCGTATAGACTCAAAGTTGGTCGGTGTCTGCATTACTACAGAGGAATAAATTGATGACACATGGTACTTCGTTAAGTTTGAAGAAGTATTGGACTATTCTCTCATAACCGAAAATGTATATTCGACACTTATCCGGCAATTATGTTTTGCTATATTTCATAATAACATACCTCAAAATCTTGCTGATTTGAATGTTGTCCGAGTGCAATTTCTGTTTTGATGTAAGGCTGATCGTCTCTAGAATGGTGAAAAAATTAATATTTCAAAAAATAGTCATAATGTAGCAGCTTAGATTGAAATTGTAAGTCATCAGTGTGAATAGGTATATATGCTGGTAGAGAAATATGTTTATAGGGTACAGACTTACGGCAGTTTTTTACTTCCATTTTGTATTATACCATATATGTTCATATGCAATGTTCCAAATCAATGAATGAACAGATAAAATAACGTAATTGAATTTGAATTGGATGTGTTTCATATATATTTGCATATCTCAAAGACATTTTATACAAAGACAATTACATATGGACAAATGCATGAACAGATAAAATAACGTTTTTGAATGAAAGGATGTGTTGTATGCATATTTCCATATTTCAAATAAACTTTATACAAAGACAATTACATAAGGACAAATTCTGACTTTGAAAGAATAGAATGAAATCTTACCTTCCTTTATACCAATGAGAGTATTGAATAACTCCAACATGTGCAAATTCAGTTAAATCAAACTTTCCAGCTACTGTTTTCACCCAAGTTTTAACCATATCAAAGTTTCCGGGATCGCTACTTGTCACAGATCCTGATCCATCCAAAACGAAAATGAGGTCCATCATTTGTACTGGACATTCTGTGAAACAAAAAATAATTTTTTGCAATAAATAACTAAAACTTAGACGATTACAATCAAGATTTGAGACATAGGATTGCGTTTTTTGAATCACTAAAGTTGTCAAAGATATGCAGGTATTGAATAGCAATTGCCAAAAATTCTTGGTAAACATCGATTGTGATTATTATAAAATATCCAGTTCAATTTTTTATCATTCGTGTTGTTATTCATCGTCATAAACATTCGCTCATAACACGCAATTGTGCAAACATCCTATCAAGAGTGTGCGTATAATAAATATGCAATGAGAAAACTGTTTCAACGTATTATCATTTTTTCATCCTAGGTTAACTGCACTAGACAGAATTAGAACTCGGGGTCTTAAAAATGCGATGCCGGAGTTATGAGCATGTAACATATTCGAATATTTTGCGTAGTCATACAAGAGTAAATAATGATGGCGTGGCTTACATACAAAGAGTTCAATTAGCGGCTACTGCCCGATAAAACTAATAGTATAAATTATTTTATTGTAAAACGTTGTTGATAAACTTACGTAATGACGCTTGTTTTGTTTCTTTTGACCATTTCTTCCCGCCATCTTTACTTGTAAAACATACACCTTGTGTGAGATAATCAGAAGTACAGTTTCTTACACGGAGTGGAGCGCAAGACTGTGAAAGTAACAATTAATTATTATTCATAACTACGAAGCAAACATACCTATATTATAGGATGAAATATTTTTGCTCGTCATGCCAAACAATCTACACTTTAAATAATATGTACATTGAGATTGAGACAAGACCTTATAGGCATTCTGTGCAATATGCATTCACGTTCTGTTTTTGATACACGCAGAATATAGTACTACAAGCCGAATCGAGCACTTATAATCATAGTTGTAAGAGAGTTCCTATTTTGAATGTTCGTATCTGTGCTAAGCCATTAAACACGCTTTGAAAAGGGTGTCTCTAAAATGCCGTATCTCATACTTGTACAAATCTCACTTCATAAGATTACTCTGATAATTTGCATGAATTTTTTTTTTTTCAGCATGGTTTAAACTTCATATACTCACTAAAACTATATTTCGAGTATTATATATACTCTAACTAAAATCAGCTGTACAACAGGATAAAGTGGTACAAGTCTGATAAGTGCGGTACAAACGTAGAACAAGTCTCACAACAGGGAAATCTGTCATAGTAGGGCAGGTGAGGTACAAATGTGAGACAAGTTGTACAAGCAATGCACATGCGGAAAAATCGTGGCACCAACGTGGAACAAATGCTTCACACAACTGTGATACAGGACGCGGACAAAAAGTTTCACAGACATCACTTACAAAGACGAAATGATAATTATACTCACAATTAAATCATTAGACTCGGGATTCTGTTTAACAAGTTTTAATCCCATTGAATCACCATCTATCATCAGAGCTGGATCATCAGGTACATCGTTAGCTGGATTAATTGATTTGCAATTGGATTCTCCACCAGTAGAAGAAAATCCACACGAGAAAAGGTCGCCAGGTTTATTGGGGTTATCTTCCAGTTGCTGCGTTGGTGTGACTCCAGGTATAAACCAGGGATCCAATGCAATTCCTCCTTTAGGCGAACCAATTATAAATCTGAAACCATAATGGCAATGAATTAAAATCAAATTGGAACATATATTTGTGCTATCGCGAGTTCGCATAGTTGCATGGAACAGCTTTCTACTGAACAATTTTCAAAATTGACCAATTCAACAAATTTTTTATACTGAACGAGCAAAGGAATAGTTTTTCATATTTGTCGTTTTTTTGATATAAGAAATAACTTTTTTAACTTAATATGGCAGATGATAATGTTGACGAATTTTTCCTGAATATGAGCATAAATAGGTGTTATCGTAAAAATAAAGAACTAAAGAATATTAGCAGTACTGCAGCATGAACAAAGCAAAATTACTCCCAAAGAACGACAAAATCCCACCCGGTTGAGAAACGTGGACTTCTGCCATGAAAATTGATAAATATGTTATTATAATTTGCAAAAATATATCCTAATATTCCGACAGGGATTTCTTATTTTTGTCAAAATTAGTAAAGAACATAAGTCCCACACGATTGCAAACAACTAGTTGCAATACATCGAAAAAATCATAAGGAATTGTGAGATGAACCATGCTAAATAATATCTCGAGAGTTATAAAGCTATGGCATGGTCACATGGACACTGGCACGGCGTGGCATTTCAGGAAAAACTATGCGGCATTTACGCATGCAGTAACAATATCTATGTATTTAGTATTTTTCCAAACTTTCGTACGATATCATGTACTTTGAAAAATTCTATATATAGAACTAAATACATTTGGCGACTGATTAATCGTGTCCGGTCTAGCCACGTTTAAATAAAAATTAACTAACATATAGCCACGTTTAATTAAAATCAACTAACATATAACTTTCCATAAAATATCGAATATAGCGAGAAAAGGGAATTTTCGATTGTTTAATGTAAGTATTTGGCGTGCTGAATTGCGAGTCGGTGCTTAAAGAACGTAACATCTTTGCATGGTATAACAATCAATGTTTGCAAGACGGGCGTTTCCTCAATTGCCGTGATTTATGGGCCATATGGCGCACTTTAAATCTATATTTTTCTCAAAAATCTATCGTGCACTTTATAAACACGTGCGCCTATTAAATGGGATATGGTAGCCTTTATGCTTTTTTCGCCCACTCTCAAAAGCAGTACAGGTTCCATTGTTTTATAAACAAACCCCGGTTTTGCGTTTTCTTTGAATAAAATAAACCATAAAAAAAAATTTTCGTTTAATAAGCTTTGTACGGCAACCCCATACCCCAATCTAAGTAATTTATTGACTGCCCACCTCGTGGTCTGTAACATATTTTTAACGTTCCACAATTTATAGTTTTTGGTGCTTTCTCTGTGCAAACTTCTGGATTTATTGTATTTAAATTATTTCTCAATAAATGCTGAATTTTAACAAGATCTATTAGTTGCACTTACATATGAATAAGTTGGCAAGGCAGGGGAAAACCATCAAATTCTTTGTGAATACCGCGAATCACACAAGTACATGAATGCAAAATTGATAATATAATAATAATTACTCTTAATTTAATTTTATTATAGCAGCAAAGAAGATTTAAATTATAATTCCTTAAAAAAGTAACGAATTATCTGGAAATCTATTATTCGAACTAATATGGAAAATATTAATTCAATATAATTCTTTATTGACTAGAGGCTGTTTCAAAAAGGATGAAATTAGTGAATAAATTAATTCTATTCTATCAGTCGAATATGAGCCATTCATTGCGTTGACGCAAAGCAAAAACTCGAGGTACTTTCTGTCATATGATGTATATAAACTAAAATACATGCAATATCCATCACTGTCGACGTGACGTAAACAGGTAAATTCTGACCGAAAGTTTGAACTATGACGTTACTGATACTTTCGTGACAGTGACCTTGACAAGTTCAACAAATTTTTAAGCATGATGTAATGTGATTAAAAAGGAAATGAATCACAGACATTGTAAAAATTTGGGCTGGAGGCCGTGGAGGGTAAATTTGTCATCAGCGAAAACCTATGCTCAGTAAGTTCGGTAGATCTACGCATTAAATACCATCAAGGGTGCTGTGTGTGATCTCAGTGATTTTAGTCAGGGTGGTGAGCTGAATATTATGAAAATAGGTTTATGAGATTGAACGCTTTATTAAACGATGAGCATGATGAGATCGCATACCAAAGTGGCACCACCGCATCAAGCACAGTATTGAATATGATTACTTTTTTGCAAAAACATCGAATATGTTAGTGCTCTTACGTGTAATGGGATCTGGCGATAAACAAGTGATACCAAGATAGCACTGATATTGGTAATTTGGTATCAAAGATGGATGAAAAACATCATCATAAATTTAACATATTAAATCGGATGAAGGCAAAATTTATCGACATTCCTTTTTTTTTCATACAGTTGTTGTGTGTACGGATAGCGATGATTAACACACTAATGATTATTCACAAGTCGCAACGGAACATTTTGTAAATATACCTAGCTATGTTGCCTTGAAAAAACGTGATTTCAAGTTGTGACATCATTATGAGAAAGTTCTACAATTTGAGGAAGGTGGTGGCTATCTCTCTTCCGTTACAATGATTTATTCCTACGTACATCACTTGGTATGTAAATCATATCAGGGTTACGTCATTCAACAGGTGTCTGAAGATTTGAGCTTGCTTTATTTCGTTTCTTATTTTATTATACCATTCTGGACCGCGCAGTAAATGTCATTCAACATCCTTATCACGTAAATGTGTTACAATGCATAGGTATGTCTAAACTCTAAAGTATGTAGCGCGTGGTGACACACTAACATTCTGCAAGGTATTCCAGCTCCACAACTCATTTCACCTCGACTGGTTATCGTGATCGATAGAAATGATTTGTCCGCACGTTCTCAGAAAATCTTTTTTCAAAATAGAATTATGAAACGTTGTGGTTATAGATTTTCATATTTTGCTGCTTAAATTTCATGAAATGATATAATCAACATCATATATAACACAATAAAGTTTTACAGTTATATTGCATTTTGAAAAAAATGACAAAGTTGGTTATTTCATATTAAATCTGACCACAGAAAATAACAACGCATGTACCTAAATGGCTTTTCACTTAAAACTCATTTCACTAGTGAAATACACGTCGCTCTAGAGCTTGCATGAGTAAACTACGGCCCGCGGGCCAAATTCGTTGGGTAATTCAATCCGGCCCGCCTGATGCTGCCACAACCAAACTAAAACCAAATTTTGATGTTTTAGTTGAAAAATAGCTCAAGGAATTTGTTGAGATTGCGAATAAATTCAGGGTTGGCGCAAGGATTATTGTTTTCCACTTTTTTTTGTAGCAATGCAAATATTGTTTATGAAATGTAACTTTTTACGTCACCCTTACATGGTCCGCCAGTCTGGGTGGGCAACTTCTTTGGCCCTTGGTTTAAAAACCTTGCCTACACCTGCTCTAGAGGCTCATTCTGAACACAATTCTATGTAAACGTTCATCCTAAATTACATATGTTATCCTCCTAATGAACAGAAAATTACTGGGAAACGTTAGTATAATTGTATAAATATGTACAAATTTATTTTGATAGTACGGCATTTACTGCATGGGATTGCCTTAATTAAATCAATAACCAATAATAATTGCCTTGAAAAGGTGCATTTTAGTCGAAAAACATCTTTGGTAGTTTTTGTATGAGCATTTTATTCTCTTAAATTACATGTCAGTTTTCATATATCTTTGTTTGAGACGAATTCAATCAGTCGTTGCTACATCGAGGTAATGAAAAAAGGGGGTTTGAGGAGTTTTCTGTTTGGACTGTTATTGTTACCGGTTTCAATGAAACAATAATCTGTGTTAACCGACTCTATTGATCAGTGTATCTTGAATGTGATTTACTAATTTGTTTTGTCATTATAACTGATTTTTGTGAAGACACCAGTTATCGTGAACACGATCAAAATTTAACAACGTCTATTTTGTGATGCACAATCGAAGCAAAAACACTTATTTAAAAATTTATTAATGAGTTTGGCGAATAAAACATTTCATATTTTACCATAATGCAGAATCAATATTACAATGTCCGGTCGACCGGAAAAATTTGAAAACCAGCCAATCAGTAAACGCTAAATTGAATCAATAAGAACGTCATAATGACACGGACGACAGATTGAGATTTAAACAACATACAAAAAATCCCGTTATTATAGACTGCTCAAATTCGTCCATAAGCAATTGGTTGGCTTTATAACAATACTGCTAAGTAAAATGCATGACAGCAATTAGCTGATCACATTACCTAACTTCAGGAAATTTATCCATGATAACCAGTTTTAGCGAAACTGCACTAAAACGTCACGTACTTTAATAATCCTGTCGCATAATTTATCAAGGTGTCAACAATCTATTGATTAGTTGATCATATTGAAATCAAACAACCGAACATTACAGCTCTTGCCAAAATACTAAACAAATGTTTTCGATAATGCATGTAATTTCTATATACATTTTGAAAACATAACAAATAGAAATTCCATATATGAGCTACTCGGAACTCAGTAAGGGTTGGTTTTATCCATTAAACAAATTTGGAATTTTTCACAATTGGGAAAGTTTCAAACAATGGGTAAATAGAAAATGAAAAATTGCTTTCTCAATGAATCTTTCAATATATGATTGAATGGTATACCCAATTTTTCGTTTTATGCTGGTTAGCAAATATATGCAAATAACGAACTATGGATTTTGATTTTTGTGCAAACCACATGAAACAATGGCTATATACTATATAACATCACAAAATAAGTTTGGAAATTAAAATGTAATTTGATGGATTTAAATTGATAAGGGCTTAATAAAAAGATTAGCCACCAAACGTAGTAGGTGGACGTAGTAGGACAAAAAGTGTCTCATTGAAGCGGTTGGGCATTTGACCATAATTGAAATGACGGTATACGATGATGTAACTGTATTACGAATACAAAGATACTGATTTTCGATTTTCCTATTCTGATTCAAATTAGGAAATGTCGTGATGAAACTAATTTAAATTCGTATCACCTATAGCTTACAAAATTAGACTGTAGTGTCAAAGTGTCTGTACATTACTGTACATGAAGGGCATTCTATCAATAGATGAAATGTCATTTCATCAATAGATTCCCAGAAGGTGAAATATATTTCCTATACTGATATAGCAAACCTATCATAAGTAAGTCAGATATCGCTGTATGTAAATGTACGTATTGCATTAAAGACACTTACTAAAAAAACGAATGTTCTTAGATACCACGCTAAACTTTTATTTGAACTATTTGAAAGTATACCTATGAATTGTTTTTACATAGCACGCCCTGACATGCACTGTAAATTAATTAAAAGAAAACCCCGTTTGATCATTCGATATGTACAATAGCTTTAATTACTTAAACCACTCACAAAGTGCTTGTTAACCGGTTAGTACCCAACTAAGTTGATGGGCAGAACATCTCCAATTTAATCGAAGTGTTGAAAAATTTGTCAATTTTTGTTAGGTTGGTAATGTACCCTCGCCAAACGAATGAATTGATATTTATCTATATATATGTCCAGATGTTGTACAAGATACTTCATTAATTTACTTACGATATATCTTTTGGGTTCTCCTGGCCCTCGGAATTCATGACGAAATCGTATCCAAAAAATGCAGGACCGTCCGATGTGGCTGCTGAATCATTAGGTTGTCGTATAAATTCCGTTCCGGATGTTAGTATATTGAAACCATTCGCAAATGAGTTTATCGTCCATAACAAAATACAAAAGATGTATAGAATCCTCCGAACTTCCGAAGGTTTAAAAAGCTTTATTCCGTTCGCCCTAGTGCAATAAATACCATGCTCCGTCATAATCTGAGGTTACTCGGTATAATAGACCTAGAATAGTAATTCGATAAAGAATAGAAAATAACAATAATACAGGCCAGCAAGAGGAACCTAAACATACTAGCGATAAAATGAAACAACACGCGACACAATTCCCAAAACAATCATGCGGGACATTTAGTCTGCGTTTGTAATTAATTCGTGACGTGATGAGGGAAGGAAAACTTTTTTACTCTTTTCTCTCTCTTATGCATGATGACAAACATCGAACATGCGACAACTAATATTTCGCTGTAGTTTAAGCTTTCGGATCACATTTTCAAATTGAAGCATCTACACTTAACGTGTAGTTGGTACCTGTCTTTTCAGTTGTCAACTCACTAAAAATACTGTTATGTTTTCAGTCGATTCAATCTAAACTGCATGCACAATTCGCATTTAATACTTAATGTAACGTGTTCTTTTGCAGAAATTTAATATATTTAACAACTTATCGTTTATGTTAGATCTCCAGCGCCGGTAGTGTCTATTTCTTTATTGCTGACACGTTTGCATCTTTTCGTTTGTCAACGTCGCAAACGTCTCAATTCATTACTCGCATTTGATGTGTTTCTTTATTATCTGTAGACCGAGCCGAGAAGGTTTCTGTCTACTGCAATTTGCGTGTTTACATCGTTATTGTATCGCCTGGCGTTAGAGCCGAAATTATAAATGTGCACAGCCAGTTTGCTGTTGCAATGCGTTACTTCTATGGCGATTTATCATTAGGAAAGCTGTATCATATTAATTATAGTGGGCTAATTATGGTTTTCTTTGTTTCATGCTTATTTAACTTGCTAATAGTTTAAAATTTGCTGCATTGAACTCTGGATTATTGAACTGCAATTTGTGAATCTGTCCTGCGTTTTGATTGTTTTGTGAACAATTCTTGGTGAGTTTTCTGTATTTCATTTCATTTGGCTTGTTATGTAGTAGTCCTATTTGGATGACATACTGTTGGTATTATATTTATTGCCACAATTAATGCTGTAGGGTTAAGTACTGTTACTGTAGTGCTTATTTGTTCGTGTTTATTTCAGTGTTCTGCGGTTACATAAAAGATTCGATATATTGTTGACCTTGGCTAAAAACAGGCGGTAAGCGATATAATTTGATTGCATGTTGGTTATTTATGCGGCAAATTCATAGTATTTATAGTGTATTTTGTTTTCTTTAGAAAACCTCTCTCTCTCTCTATCTCAACTCAATCTATCTGTATTCGTCATCTGTTTACGTGATCTATTTGGCTCCATCTGACATCTCGATTTATAATTTGTGCTGAGCAAGTGCTTGATATTTCCACGACATATTACAATTCTCCTGTGTTTGAAGTTGTGTATTGTGGGCTTGTGGACTTCAGCTTGCTTATCTCAGTTATAAGGCAGGGATAATTTGGAGAGGATTGTCTGGACCGAACATAGACTGATATTGCTGTATTGGGATAGACTACTAGAGCGTTTAGACTGGAAAATATTGGCGCACGGTTCAGCGCCCTTCGTCTTTGTGTAGCAAGCAGGGTGCATAAGGTCACACCCCGTCAAGCTTCTACATAAAAAGTTTTCGACTGGTGCCTTTTTGCTGGGTGCAAAAAGTTTTCGACTAAGATTTCGACTTCTGCAAGTTTTCGACTAGTGCCTTTTTGCTGGGTGCAAAAAGTTTTCGACTGAGTTTTTCGACTTCTGCAAGTTTTCGACTTTTCCCTTTTTGCTGATTGCAAAAAGTTTTCGACTTATTCATTGTGTCTTGCAACAAGACGTCGATAATTAACAAGATACTGTTCAAGGTTGAAAGACTTTCATCGTTCAAGCTATAATGGAATCCAAGGCAAAGCAGCAGTTGGACATTTTGCGATCTGCTTTGCAGGAAAAGTATTTGATAGCTGAACGTTTGATGCTTCAACGTGAAAACGCTGAAAAGTTGTCAGTAGTAAGGCTAGAAGTTGATGAAGTGTTCCAGCAGCTAATCTCTTTAATTGACATGATTCCTGAAAGTGCAGGTAAAGAGATTACTGACTTTCCTGTGACTAATGATTTGAAGCGTGAAAAATCGGAATTTGATTCACGCATCTCGGAATGGTTCAAAAAATTGAAAACGCATTCAACTGTGCAACCAGAAAATGTATCGTCAAAGTATGCGGGTAGTATTTGTTCTGACAATACATCGAGAGCTTCCTTCAAGAGAAGATTGCAGTGCAAAGTGAAACGCGATCTAGCAATTGTACAGCTTCGTCACACGGAAGAAAAGCTAGAGGAGGAAGCTTTGAAACGTAAAATGGAGCTTCGTGATGCACAGCGTAAAGTGGAATTGACTGAAGTGGAATTTTTATTGTGGGATACGAAATCAACTGGTGATTCAATAAAAAGGTGATGGAGATTTCAATAACTTGAGTCCTATTAATGTGTTGCCAGGTACGAGCAGGGCAAGTGATAAAAGCCTTCAGTGCCATTGGCGAGCCCGCAGAGAAGAGACTGCAAGTAATGAGCAAAAACCTTCATCACCCAAATTGGTGAACTCCTTTCAAGGTTGGTGATAAAATTCCCTTCTACAACTGTGCATAAAAAATGTAATGCCAAGCTGATGTTTCATCATTGAACAGGCGTCGATCTGCTTCGCTACAGAATGAAGCCACACATACTAGAATAAATACCAACCATGATGGCTATGCTGCCTCTGATTCGTGTCATGAACGAGTACGTTTTGCAAGGTCGCATAATGTACACACATATTCTCAGACTCCATTGAGTAGAGATGATAATGCTGTTCCAAATAGAACTAGAAATGGTCAAAGCTATAACTTTCAGCCTGTGAATCGTGCGATAGCTCAGGAGTGTTCATTTGCGGCTGAACCAGATGGAATGGCTGGCCGTGAACACCATCACGTTTTCCGAATAAATGAAAGTAGTGTCAATGAGTTGCCAGATGTGCAGACTCGTGGTTATAGGACACTTCAGGAAAATCGTGAGTCGGTTAATGATTATGTTTATGAATCTGGGCCACAACATTATTCACAGCGGAGAACAAGAGAATCATCTCCAGTTATACAGCATCACCATTATCATGGACGTGAAGAATTCTTCTTTCAGAAGCCAAGTTACCTGTGTTCAATGGAGATCCTTTGAAGTATATGTCTTTCATAACAAATTTTGACATCCACCTGGCACCGAAACTAGAAACAAATAGCCAGAAGCTTGTGTGTTTGTTGCAATATTGTGAAGAGAGAATTCGTGCACAATTAGAATACTTCACAAAGAAGCCTGAGAATGGATACAAGCTTGCTAGGCAGAGGCTGTTTGAAGAATATGGTCAGCCTCATATTATCGCTGGTGCATGTGAAAGAGTTCTAAAAGAGTTTCCAAGTGTGCGTGATGACAAGCCAGAGCAGCTATTGCAAATATCACAAGTAATGGAGCGATGCCTGGGAACTCTAGAAGACATTGATGAATTTGCAAATGTAAACACCCTGGACACTATGGGAATGCTGATGGCTAAACTTCCTGAAGATGTTCAGGATGGCTGGCCACATGAAGCCCTCAGAATTCAAAGAAAGACTGGTCGTCAGGCAAAATATTGTCACTTGGTCGATTATGTTTGTAATTGGGCGGATGTGAAAAATTCAATGTATGGGAAAAAGCTTAATGAGATTCGTCACAAAAAGATTCCTGTGAGTGTGAGGAGAAACAGAGCTGCAACCTATAATATTGATGCTGAGGCCAAAAGGGAACACATTGATCAAAAACGGGATTTGGGATGTGTATGTTGTCTCAAACCGCACAATTTGTGGAACTGCCCGGACTTCAAGAGTAAATCGCATGAAGAAAAGGTCAGTCTTTTGAAGGAGCAGAAATTGTGTTTCAAGTGTCTGTCTCATGGTCATCTTGCTCGTAATTGCAAGAAGGCCAGTCAGTGCAAAGTACATGGATGTAAAGGAAATCGACATCACACACTGCTTCATAGATTTATTGAAATTCAGGAGAAATCGAAAAAGCCTGAAGAGGGACCTGCTGTATATTCATTGGCAAAGTCGTCAAAGTGCAATGGGAAAAGTATCGGGCAAGATGTTTATTTATGTGTGGTGCCGGTCAATGTTCGAAATGGTGAAAAGACCGCTCAAACATACGCCTTGCTGGATCCGGCATCTACAGTTACTCTGTGTAGTGAACGTTTGATGGAATATCTCGAAGTAACAGGAAATACTAGAGATATCACATTACGCACAATTGGACAGAGGCCAATACAATACAAGGGTATATCTGGCAGTTTAGTTGTATCGCCGCTAGATGGTGGTGCTGAACATGAAATCACAGATGTGCTCTCGGTTGAAAAAATTCCTGCTAAGCCGAATAAAGCGCCCGATCAAAGGTTCCTAAAATCATGCCGCATCTTCAAGATGTAAGATTGCCTATCTTGGAAGGAGGAACAGTGAATCTTCTGATTGGGCTGACAATGCGGAACTCGTCTGTTTCCAAGATGTTCGAAATGGACCGAGGAAAGCACCTAAGGCAGTGAAGACTGTTCTTGGCTGGTCGCTGTTCGGACCCAGTTTTGAGTCGCCATCAGATATCAGAGAAGTTCATTTTACATCTGATCACTATGTCAATTTCGTCAGGTGTAATGATTTGGAAACACAAAAGGAAATTGAAACTCTGTGGACAACAGATTTTGGCAATGAAACTTCAGTTCTTGATATTCCAAATTCTCGAGAAGATCGAGCAGTGTATGAAATTATGCAAAATTCGGTGAAACATATTGGTGGTCATTTTCAACTTCCTTTGCCATGGAGAACCGGGATGCAGTATCTACCGGATAACAAAGAGATGGCAAAGAAAAGACTTTGTAGCCTCAAAAATAGACTGATGAGAGATTCCGATTTGCATAAAAGGTATGTCGAAGTTATTCAAGGATATATCAAGGCAGGATATGCCAAAAGAATTTCATATGCCGAAATTGATACGTCTAATACAGTTTGGTATCTTCCTCATTTTCCTGTCATGAACCAGCATAAGCCGGGAAAGGTTCGTGTAGTTTTTGATGCTGCAGCCAAATATGGAAATGTGTCTCTGAATGATTGCTTAATGTCCGGACCAGATTTGGTATCGTCACTCCTGGGTGTAATTTTGAGATTTCGCAGGGGACGAGTTGCATTGGTGGCAGATGTGGAAGCAATGTTCCACCAGGTTAGAGTGGCACCTCAGGACACGGATGCACTAAGGTTTTTATGGTGGGATGACGGGGACATCTCAAAGGAACCCGTTCCACATCGTATGCTAGTTCATATATTTGGGGCTGCATCGAGTCCGTCTTGTGCTGCATTTTGTTTGAAACAGACGGCGGTGAAATTTGGAAATGAACACAAACCTAGAATTTCAGAAATTGTTAATGAAGATTTCTATGTCGATGACTGCTTGACAACTGCTGAATCGGTCGATGAAGGCATAGAGATTGTCAAGGAATTGACACAATTGATGTCAAAAGGAGGATTCAACTTGACTAAATGGCTCACCAATAATGATGAATTACTGTCTATGATTCCAGAGAAAAGAGAGCTAAATGTGTTCAAAATCATGTCATTGATGGCAATGTCAAAGAACGAGTTCTTGGTATTCAGTGGAATGTGGCAAATGATGAGTTTGGGTTCAAGGTTAATATTGCTGACAAACCAAATACCAGGAGAGGTATACTTTCAATTGTAGCATCTGTTTTTGACCCACTTGGTATAGCGGCTCCAATAACGCTACTTGCCAAGTTATTGTTGCAAGAACTTTGCAAGCAAAATTTGGGATGGGATCAAGAAATTGCAGATGATGATGCTGTTAAATGGCGAAACTGGCTACATCAACTGCAAAGCTTAGAACAGGTGAAGATACAGCGATGCTATCAGCCATTTGATTTTGGAAAAGTTGTTTCCTATGAACTACATCACTTTGCTGATGGATCAGAATTAGCATATGGAGCTGTTTCATATCTACGAATAATCGATAAAAATGGCCAAATTCATGTGGCATTTTTGGTTGGAAAGGCAAGACTTGCTCCATGTTCTCGTGTAACTATACCCAGACTTGAATTAACAGCTGCAGTTCTCGCTGTAAAGTTGAATCTTGTCCTAAGGAAAGAACTGAAGATGAATGAATGCAGTTCAACTTTCTGGACTGATTCCACAGCCGTACTTCAAAGTATAAGAAATTCGAAGAAACGATTCTCCACATTTGTTGCTAATCGTTTAGCAAAAATTGATAGAAATACTGATGTATCACAGTGGCGCCATGTTCCAACGAAGATGAATCCAGCTGATGATGCTTCGCGTGGTCTTAGAGTTGATGCATATTTAAAGTCAGGACGATGGATCAATGGGCCCGAGTTTTTGCGTCTTTCTGAAGACAAGTGGCCAAAGATGCCGGACTGTTTTCCTGATCCACCGTCTGAATTTTGTCCAAAGCCAGTTCCAGAAATAAAGTCGGCATTTGTAATAAAGGAAGAGTCTTCTGTCATGGACAGGTTCATAGGATTCTTTTCTACATTCTACCGTTTGAAGAAAGCAACTTGTTGGCTCATACGATTCAAGAAATATTTGTGTTCTCATAAGAAGTCAATAGACAAGCTTACTGAACTGCCAGCAAGACTGACTGTGCAGGAACTGAGCTATGCTGAAAGAGTTATTATTGAATATGTTCAAAGACAAAGCTTTCGTGAAGAAATGAAATGTATATTAAATGGTAAATTATCAGTAAAGGTGATTGCTCTCGCCGGATGTTGAAACTTAATCCTGTTCTAGAAGATGGTTTGATGAAAGTAGGAGGACGCTTGGAAAATGCACCAATTATGCATTCATCAAAGCATCCCATCATATTGCCTCATAATCACATCTTACGGATCTAGTCATCAGGGATCATCACAACAAAGTTGGTCATTCAGGTATGGGTCATACATGGACCTCATTAAGAGAAAAGTACTGGATATCAAAGGTGGAGTTGCAGTAAGAAGGGTCATCGGAAATTGTGTTTCTTGTCGAAAGCGAAATGCCCGCCCTGGAAAACAATTTATGGCAGATCTACCTTCCTGTCGACTGAAATCGGATGAACCAGTGTTCAGTCATGTTGGTGTTGATCTATTTGGACATTTTCTTGTTCGACAGGGAAGGAGTGATGTGAAAAGATGGGGTTGTGTGTTCTCGTGTATGACAACTCGTGCTGTTCACATCGAGGTGGTAAATAGTTTGTCTGCTGATTCTTTCATATGTGCACTCCGACGATTTATTGCTCGAAGGGGTCATTGTACTCATATATATTCGGACAATGCTGGTAATTTTGTATTGGCAGAGAAAATACTTGAAAATTCCTTGAAGATATGGAATGATTCTCAAATTCATGGATACTTACGTCAAAAGGGGATAACATGGCATAAATCACCGCCTACAGGTTCAAATCATGGAGGTGCATGGGAACGAATGATTCGGTCAATTCGTCGAATTTTCAATGCTGTTACTCAGGGTCAAACTATGACAGATGAAGTTTTTAGGACCGCCTTGATCGAGTGTGAATCATGCTTGAACAGTCGTCCAATAATTCCTGTAACATTTGACCCACGGGATGAAGAGCCTTTAACGCCGAATCACTTGTTATTACTTCGGTCAAATCAAAATGTGCCTCCTGGAGTTTTTGACAAGAATGATTGCTATGTTAAACGTCGATGGGCACAATCTCAATATCTCGCAAATGAATTTTGGAGAAGATGGATTCGAGAGTATCTGCCTACGATTATTGAGCGACACAAGTGGTTTCAGAAAGAGAGAAATTTCAAGAAAGAAGATGTTGTCCTGGTGGTAGACGATTCTCAACCTCGATCAAGATGGGCAATGGGAAGAATCGTGGATGTGTATCCAGACAAGAAGGGACTGATACGAACAGTGCTTGTTAAAATTCGTAATAGCTTGGTAAAGCGTCCCATCACCAAGCTAGTTCTTGTTGTTGAAGGCACTAAATGACTATTGAGGCTTGGAGATCATGTTGTGTTTTGAAATTTATTTCCTATGTACATAAATTTGTGGGGGGGAATGTTAGATCTCCAGCGCCGGTAGTGTCTATTTCTTTATTGCTGACACGTTTGCATCTTTTCGTTTGTCAACGTCGCAAACGTCTCAATTCATTACTCGCATTTGATGTGTTTCTTTATTATCTGTAGACCGAGCCGAGAAGGTTTCTGTCTACTGCAATTTGCGTGTTTACATCGTTATTGTATCGCCTGGCGTTAGAGCCGAAATTATAAATGTGCACAGCTAGTTTGCTGTTGCAATGCGTTACTTCTATGGCGATTTATCATTAGGAAAGCTGTATCATATTAATTATAGTGGGCTAATTATGGTTTTCTTTGTTTCATGCTTATTTAACTTGCTAATAGTTTAAAATTTGCTGCATTGAACTCTGGATTATTGAACTGCAATTTGTGAATCTGTCCTGCGTTTTGATTGTTTTGTGAACAATTCTTGGTGAGTTTTCTGTATTTCATTTCATTTGGCTTGTTATGTAGTAGTCCTATTTGGATGACAATACTGTTGGTATTATATTTATTGCCCAATTAATGCTGTTAGGGTTAAGTACTGTTACTGGTAGTGCTTCTTTGTTTCGTGTTTATTTCAGTGTTCCTGCGGTTACATAAAAGATTCGATATATTGTTGACCTTGGCTAAAAACAGGCGGTAAGCGATATAATTTGATTGCATTTGGTTATTTATGCGGCAATTCATAGTAATTTATAGTGTATTTTTTGTTTTCTTTAGAAAACCTCTCTCTCTCTCTATCTCAACTCAATCTATCTGTATTCGTCATCTGTTTACGTGATCTATTTGGCTCCATCTGACATCTCGATTTATAATTTGTGCTGAGCAAGTGCTTGATAATTTTCCACGACATATACAATTCTCCTGTGTTTGAAGTTGTGTATTGGTGGCTTGTGGACTTCAGCTTGCCTTATCTCAGTTATAAGGCAGGGATAATTTGGAGAGGATTGTCTGGACCGAACATAGACTGATATTGCTGTATTGGGATAGACTACTAGAGCGTTTAGACTGGAAAATATTGGCGCACGGTTCAGCGCCCTTCGTCTTTGTGTAGCAAGCAGGGTGCATAAGGTCACACCCCGTCAAGCTTCTACAGTTTAGCATACAAAAACTTCTGAATAAAACACTGTCCTGTTACTGCCAGCACCTAATCTTAACTCAACGTAAAATCAACAAAACCGGAGAAAAGTGGTGGGTCATTAGCAACAAAAAGTAGTTCGGTTAAGAGATTTCTCTTTTTCCTTAAAAAGCTCACGCTTCTTATATGGAACTATTTTATTATCAATTGCTGGTTGCACTAAAATGTATCCACTTCTGCACTGTTTATTACCCGACAATGGTAAAGGTTCTACCATCGCAGTAATGAGTAATATGCCCGCCAATTGTTTCCTATATCGAAATTCTAATTTTAGGTCAGCGACTGAAAGTGGTGCGGAATAGTCAAAATCGCAACAATATTACTTTCCTCTTGAACCGTATTGTCGAAAATTCCAAATCATGTTGAACAAGCCGTCGTTAATATATATATAACCGAAAGATTGTTCAACACGCCTGGCATGCGTAATTAGTGCTGCATGAAAATCAATAGTATAATCGTTTCGTGAGATAAAATACTTTCAGCCAGTTATCCTAACTAGGCTAATCAAACTTCAAATCACGACAGTTAAGATAACTTTCATACATATGTATCTTATTTTCTTCATTGTTTTGAGTATGTAGATGGACAATTTCGGTATATTTAAGGAATGTTTGTAGTGTTCATGACGGTTTATTCATGCAGCTTTTAAGACTCAACTTTTTATTATCAAACTGCAAATAAATTGATTTTTACCTATCGCATGTTTCATAGCTACGCAATTCCTCGTTACGTCATTCCTAGAAATGCAATCAGAGCATCGGATCACGGTTTTCTCGGTCATTGTCGCGAACGCAATTGCGTGCACACTAACTTCCGCGAATGAGTATTTTATCTGTTTTACCTGGTGCCGTCGTTCCGCAGTACTTCGAACAATTGACATTTCACAGAAGAGCGTGATAAAGTCATCCACGCAACTCCTGGCGTTTTGCGTGCTAATTCTGGTCGTTACGTATTGGTACCTTGATGTAAAATATTATTCACTAATATCTATGAACTCGCTTGGTTGATAATGAACTTGAAATTTAAATAACAGTAAACTTCTTAAACGAGAGAAACGTTTTTGCCATTTATTGGTATTGGCGTGGTTAAGTTGTAAGGAAATAATTTACTGCTATAACGCTTTATCAGTGTTTACGTTGCCTTCTGCTCCTTATTTGCCGCTTGTTTTTCGACTAAAAGCAAGCATATACAGTTCAATACACGATAATTATATATTGTTTTGGAAATGCTGCTGCTGTTTTTATTCCTTGCTCGTTAAGATTCAAGCATGTCAAATATGTAAGAGCGTTTCACTTTGTGTCGTATAAAATTAGTCCGTAACGTAAGGTGGAAGTTGGATGTCTTGAAAAATTGATACTGAAAATTTCCGCCAAAAATTATGCGACTGGGCTCCTGTTATTTCTTTATGAGATGTGGGTCTATTGTTATTCACTTATCCTAGGCCTTTCATCAATCATTCTCACTAAACGAGATACAGAGCAATCAAAATTTATATATATATATATCATTTTAACCTGCTTGGAGTCAAAGAAGTTAGAGTACTTGGAGTTAGACGGTTACGCATTTTGATATGTGCTCTATCGCGTTGCTGGATATTCCACCTGCATTCGCCTTTTTAAATTTCGTGTCCAACATTTATGTGAAAGAGGATTTAGGACTATTCTCCGTCACAGGATGGCTGACATAGAATCCGTCATGTATATGGCCAAGTTAACAAATTAACCCGTTAGCTATTCCAAATAATAGCTGATAACCGGGCGTGAGAAGTTTAATATTTTCTTATTGGACACGGAATTTACATCGTTTTGGTACTAGTACTAGTTTGTTGTTATTGTTTTTCTTCTTATCATTATGAAAAAATCGCAGAACCGCTACAACCAATTTTTATAAATTTTGAATTTTTTCACTTTTGTGTGATGAGATCTTCAAAATTTATAAAAATTATTTGTAGCGGTTCTGCGACCTCTCTTGTGCTACGAGAAAGTCGGAAGTTTTTTGGCCGTACCATGCAGCAGACTAGGTAAGGTGCTGTATAAAGTAGACTTAAACTTCGCTTTGGTCTTAGTGTTCATATATTTGAGCATCGCCCTTTTGTTAGGCTGTCGTTCGGCTTTCTCGTTCTCCAGGATGTATAGGAAATACATGAAACATTCCTTAAGGTTCTATATTTGAAATACTATTTCAAATTTTGTTAATAAATTCAAATTAAATCATACTAGGAGTGATTGTTGGGATTGTTGGGCATAGAATTTTTTCTCCGGGACTGTTAGATGCCAGACATGACGGTTTCATCGGCAATTTATAAACACGTAAGATCTTCACCCCATTCGAACCAAACGAGCCCAAATCCGTTGACAGTTTTATAATCATATGAAAAAATATCCTATACAAAGCAAATCGCAGTCTTCAATTGCCTTACTCTCGCAAAAGCAATTATGCCATTCACTTTATTTAGGTCAAGAGGTTCCTTAGCTTGCAAAGTCACAGGCCAGTTTTGATTTGGATAAACAGATTTTATTTTAAACTAGAGAACAATGCTCAAATATATGGGCACGAAGATCAAAACGAAGCAAAGTGGTCTTTGTCTTTTGAGGTACAGGTATTGTCTTAAGACTTCCGACTTTCTGCATAGAGAGAGAGTATCACGAGGGAAGTCGAGGAACCACTACATAAGATTTGTATTGATTTTCAAGCGATCGTCGAACAAAATTTCGAAGTGAACAACAAATGAGCCTACAGAAAAAGAGAACCCACAGAAGGTTTCAAAAAATACAAATACAATTTTCACCCACTGAAAATTCCAAAGCAATTGATCCAGTAGTTTATGAGAAAGACATATTTCATACGCTTGCAAAATACCAACAACAGCAACATAATAACAAAACGACCCATACAACGTCCAGTCCGTGTCTAATCACTCAACCCAAAAGCTGTGTTTGAGTTTTTATATAGCTCAGCAACGCCGTATAGTGTAAGAACCGAATTCGTAGACTGAGGACTGTGTCTTTGCTTTTTTTTCAGTCAACCTCATCAAGTGAACAAACTGGATTGATTTAGTTCATTTTGATCATAAAATGATTGAGTGATCGGCGGTGAAAAGATATATACCTGAGGAAAGTCCTCGAAGACTCGAGCAATCAATTTCTGCGCACAAAAGTTTGTTGAAACGCTGGTTTATGCCATGACGACAAGAACTGGCTGTAGCGAATAAGTAAAAAAAAAACGTGGTTCAATGTGTCCGCAGAGATAATTTATGGTGTGCGTTTTTATCTGATGAATAATAGAATGATATGATGGGTTTTTGCATCATTCACCTTTGATTGATATATTTTCTAAAGCTCAGCACGAAATGCTATTTTGCAAAGTGGTTTGTATTTTTTATAATGAAGAAAATATAGCCCAAAAGAAGCATTTGAAACTAACAAAATTCATTCAATTTTGTATTTAAAAAGACTGTTTATTATAATACATCGACGTTGTTTTATCTATGATTCATTGTATCAATTTAAGGGCATTTGTTTTTGTCAGATCTATCCTCATTGTTATAAGATTATGCGAGGCTATCTATTCTTTTACATGGGACTACCGGTACCCTAGTCTTCGGGACCTCGCCCCACCATTAAATAGGATCGCACAAAGTGCGCAATATTTGACGTCACACATAAAACGATTCTCATAGACACACAGAAGTTATTGAAATAAATAAAGTGATAGCCTTCTAGAGACAACAACAATCTTTTACAACAAAATATTTCAAAGCAATTTGTCCAGTAGTTGAATAGAAAAGCGACAGAATTTTTTTTCTACAACAACAAGAGGAAGAAAATTATTCATGAGTTCATTTCGTGTCCAGTCGAAGTCAGAAAAAAATAAATAAAAACAAAGAGTCGAAAACAGAAAATTCACTGATGTCCTTGTATCTATCATTGATAACTATTTAAAAACGAAGTAACACAAGATCGATTACCATTTCTTTTCATAATATTTAAAGTTTACATCTGCGAATGTGCTCATTTTTCTCAGCCTTTACGTTTTATAAATCAATGAACAAGTATAAAAGCTATTTCTATTTTTGAAATACGTAAAAACTAATTCTATGTAATCTTAATCTATTTGAAAATACATCGTTAAATAGTTGGATGAATTAATATTTTGTGTAGCGATCTACAAGTATTTCTTCCTTGTTTACTGTGTATTTCGGATCGGCACGCCACATGCGTCGCAAGAATACTGAACGGGATAGAACAATAATACCGAAACAGAAAAACAAGGGCAGGATATCATTATATTTCCCTGAAGTATGTTTTTCATTGACTATCGTTTCTCATTGTTATTATATTCGGGTTTAAGTTCATGCTGAAATTTGTGAGTAATATATATTATATGAATATATATAGTGTTACAAATTAAAATTCGTTTAAAATAAATTCCTATACGAGTTTGTAATACCGAGAAGAACATGACTCAAGACTGCCTAGCGGCGATAGACAGAAACGATCTACCGGTTTAGCGCTGTTTCTGCGTGATAAGATCTTCGCAGACTATTTCCCGTCCTGAAAGAGAAAATGCGAATGATCCGCCTTTATTGATGCCATCTCCAGTCACGAAGTTAGAACAACAATACAGCTATAATACGGTCTTCCTCCGTGTACAGGTACAGTTCCAAGAAGGTGTGCGACTTCAAGTTGGGCATCGCTATGAATGTTTCTTGCATTTCAATTATTGTGGTGTAATTGTACACCTCAGGCGGAGCATATGGAAATGAAATAACTCATGGGAAACGTGCTTGGAGAAATAAAGTTACATGACCAATTAAAGGTAAAGGGCAAAGTAAAATCGTCGTTTTTGTTGCATTCATTGTCGCTTTTTGCCTACACGGAGACTATTTAGTGTAGACGCTAGTGAAAGGCGTGAAAAGGGTTTATTAATTCAGTCATTCCACATCACTTTGGACAGCCTATGTAATGAATCGTTAAGCGCATGTGGAAGGACATACAAGATGCGTAGGGAGTACTGATGGAGGAGTCGCAACTCGTAATTGACCACACTGACGCGATAACAATATTACTTAGGTTTATTGCTCATTCGGAGTTATCAGTTGGTACGGCTGATTTCAATTCAAACAGTTAGTAATGTAGTTACAAAGATACTATATAACATTCAGGTCCAATGTATGTCTCGCATTGCACCACTCAGTAGTCTTAAAAATCGGCCCATCTCATTGTTGCAAGTCTCGGCTACATATTACTGCCGGAACACTCTGCCGTTGCCGTTCATATGCGCGTTGAGAAAGAAGTAAAATAAACTTTTGACTCTCGTTTGTGATTTCTGAGTTGGTGAAACTGTTATTGCGCTTGAAGAATCAACAGCTATTCGGTGTAAAAAAACGACATTTTTATGATGATGCGCAGGGCACTCGCGAATAAACGGTCACCGGAAATAATTGATTATTCAACTTTCTTCGTGTGTATGGTTATAAACACCTAAACGTTATGTAATATGTTTGATTAAGAGTTTCATTTATTATATTGCTGGTAAGTTGCAGTACAGTAATATTCTTGGTTTGCAAGATTGCTCAAACCCTCCGCTAAAGAATGGACGAAATAGCCTCTGTATCGAAAAAAGATTTGGGAATTGCAGATTATGTATCGTTTGCTGGTAGGTTTATTACTATACAAGTTTTAGGCTAAGAAACAAACAAAATAGTAGTTTTTGCGACGCTGATTCTTTGCGTAACATATACTTTAATAATTAGATTGGAAATGAACAAATAACGGCTGGAAACAAATCTTTCCTGTTGAAAATGTAGGTTTTAAAAATAAAAAATCATCCGCGAGTTATCATAAAATTTTAGAATTTTGAAACACATTCAGCATCTTGAAACTATATGAAATATATATGTGTTTGAAATGCAATTAAAAAACCCATATATTTAAATTGTTCTTAATATTGCCACAAGTGAAAGCGATAGTATACTTTACTTGAATTGAATATTTAGGCTATTTAAATGGCTTTATATAGTACGGTTGGAGTATAGTCTCGCAATAAATATAATCAGGTCCACGCTGTTGCGAAAACAAAATCTGCCCCAAATTTACTCGTCCGGGTATGTTTCAACTGGGATATCCCTTTCGGCACACAAAGAATATTGAAAACATTCTTATCATTATTTCATACTAATGTATATATTTACAAATCTCGACATTCCGTTTCCATTTATGTGGTTAAATTCCGTTAAAACGGACTGGGTATCTAAATGAGTCAGTTGAAAAACTATCGAAGATTCCAAATGTTTCGCTCTTATCTTTTATCGCGGTATCATCATCTATCGTTAGAATTTATTGTTTCTTTGTCTGAAATGTATAATAAACAAATTTTCGTTTCATCTGAAGCCTTGCTCTCGGTGTCTTGCATCATTGGAATTTACTACGCTTATCGAGATAGAAGAAATTCAACGACAAGTAATTACTACTTTGGAGATCGAAAAATTAATGCGGTATTTGTTTAATTTATTTCAAAATGGATAATAATATCAACAAAAAAACAAAAGTTAACATAAATAGTTGTTCATTAATAAAATGTATTTTATCGTTATGATAGGAGATTAAAAATAACTATATAATGAATTTTATTTGAAATAAATTATACATTTTAGATCGCGGTTGGTCTCTCAATTGCTGTGACGTTTCGTTCGTCTGTAACTGTTATTGCCAGCCCCGCTGAGTCATATATTACCGGAACGGCAGTTTTGTGGTCGGATTTTGCTATCGTGATCATAGCTTTTATCACCATGATATACTTTATACCTGCCTTTCGTCGTATGCAGCTGAACACTATTTTTGAGGTAATTCATTTTTAATTTCAATCGCACATGAAAGTACATAAGTTTCGCGTGTAATATTAACGTTAACGAAGTGTTTTAGCTTCCCTAGTCATGAAAATTCCAAAAATTACAATTGCGATTTTATGTTTCACCTATCAACGATATTTCCAGTCTGGAGCGAAACGACTCAGGATAGCTTCCAAAATATCTTTTCACAATGAATGCATCTTATATTTTTTTTAAATGTAATATACACCGCACAAAATTACTTCTGAAACTTGTTCTTTCGAACATATCAACAGGGTGTGACTTGCTCTAATGAGCGCGGATTGTTATAACGTAGTCGAGTATTGTTTTTAGCATTTTCAATTAGGACGATAAACCCCGTCACTAATGCAAAAATGCGAGATTTAAAATCGACACTGCCGCTATGTTTTAAAATACAAAATTAGTAATTATCTAGTTAAGGCTCGGGTAAGAAATGATTTGAAAATTTGAATTCCTAGTGCAGTCTGTATTCCTTACCCCAGGGTGGTCCAAGATTGGCAGCTCCGCGGGCCACAAAATTACTTTTGCATTGTTCGCGGGCCACAATAGTGCCAACAACCTCGCTCGTTTAACTTCGCTAGTTGCCTCATCAAGCCATAACACTAGTCAATTCAGTGACAATAGTGATGCGACAATATGTCAAAAGTTTTTTGGCTAATTTTATGACGAAACAATACGAAATGCGATTTTTTTTATTCCTCTCTGAATGCGACGCGGGTCACAGATAATGAAGCGGCGGGCCACATGTGCCCCCCGGGCCTGGGTTTGGACCCTTAACAGGATAATTACCATTTTTTTTGAGCGGTGGTGGGTGTGTTTTCTGTCTGGGCTTTGTACAAAAGATCTCAAAAAATGTTTGGGCATCCCTATTTCAGGCGAATCAATTCGTTGTCGAAACTTATACTTGTGATTTTTCAGTTTCTAGAACTTCGATTCAGTCTGGTATTGGCAAGAATAGCCGCATGCATGTATACTTTTGGTACAATCTTTTACATGGGAAGTGTTGTTTATCTGCCTGCCGTTTCCCTGAATGCGGTCACTTCAATACCGTTGGAATGGAGCATCATTTTAACTGGAGGAATTTGTACTTTGTATACTACTCTGGTAAAAATTATTTTTAAATTTTGCTTTTTAAAAAAAAAACATGCCAAAGTATATGAAAATACCATAAAGTCAAATGAGGAATACTCAAGTGATTCCAAACGGAAAGCAAAAACCCGAATCTACGAATTAATCAGTCGGAGCGTCGATACGTATATATAGATAGCAATTTAAATAGCCGTAGATATTACATATCTCCCGCTTTATTATCATGTATAGAGTTTTAATAAAATCCAATTGTTACGTCATCATTCCTGATTGGCCATTGTTACGGAAATAAACAAGAAAATCAATGCTCGGGGAAACATCCATTTTCGCTTTCGTTAAATTGCAATAATTGCGTAATTAATTAACAGGGTGGAATGAAAGCAGTTATATGGAACGATGTTTTCCAATCCATTATAATGATTGCTGGAATGTTTGCTGTGACAATTCAAGGTTTGATAACTATAGGAGGAGTTGATAAGATGATGGACGCACTAGAAAGAGGAGGACGTTACACTGCAATGAAGTAAATTTTAATAAAAGATTTAATTTTGCATTCACTTGATAACAGTCTAATCTGAATAATATCGTTTTTAATTGTATTATCAAAGAAAATGTAAATAAAAATGGTTAAATTAACCAATGCTATAGTATAGACTATAGAATACAATAGATCATACATTGGCAAAATACGGCCCGCGGACTAAATCCGGCCCTTTGGGTAATTCAATCTGGCCCGCCTGGTGCTGCCACAACCGACCTGAAACCAATTTTTGATGTTTTAGCTAAATATAGCTCACGGAATTTGTTGAGATTGCGGTTAAATTTAGTTTTCGCACGAAGCATATTATTTTCAACCTTTGCTTTGTAACACTGTAAATATTGTTCATAAAATGTAACTTTTTACGTCACATTTACATGGCCCGCCAGACTAATAAAGCAAAATTTTTGGCCCCTGGTTCGAAAACCTTCCCCACCCGTGGTATAGACACTTTGTATAATTTCCCTTCACGACAGCAGACATAAATGACTGTAGTTATATAAGGTGTGACAGATACAAGACTGGTTATTGTTCAAAATGACTTAGATGTTTTTAGTGAAATATGTTAAATCAAGATAAAAACAAAAAAATAAATACAGTCAATGTCAATTCTCGAATCCATGGCCACATTTGTTGCCCGAAGGGTTAAATACCTTCATTACTCGAAGCTAGATACATATTCTCCTTAATAAGCAATGAAAGTTTAACAAATGTTATAAAAGAGTTGAGCTAAATTGGCTAATATAACGTTTAGTTATTCTATTATCCTAAACAATCCTGCAATAGCAAAATATTATTAAAAAAATGTAATAGCAATTTATCGACTCCTAATTATTCGCCAAATTCGTTTAAAAATTATTTTTTATATTTACATGATATGTTGAAAATTTGGAATACTAATTAATATCTTGTTCCCAGATTTGAATATGGGATTATCAGTCGCGTGTCTCCAGCTGCAATTCTTGTCGGCAATTTCGTGATGGCTATGGATGTCTTGTGCTTTTCACAAACAATAATACAAAGATATTTATCTTGCAAAAGTACCAGACAAGCACAATTGTGAGTTGTTTATATTATTTTAGGACATTTCTCTGGGGAAGTGGTTCCTAACCGTTTCCACTATATTTCCTCTGTCGTCTTCTTAGATCTTTAATTCCCCCCTCGCTATGCTTTATTTACCCGTGCATCATAAGTATGATAATAATAACAAATAAGCAAAGAATATTATTAGTACCACGGCAAATACAAAGCAAATTTTCTCCCCAAGAAAGACTAAATAAATAATCAGTAATTTTTTTTCTCACCAGGCTAAAAATACGAACTAGACTAGACATACACAAACTAAAATGAACATGAAAACCGCATTTCAGGGTTTTGGAAGACGACTAAAATTAATACTATGTTCGGTTATACCTGAAATGCGGAAAATATGTATTTTCAGAAATGAATTTGATACAATCGAATCGATCCATAATATGTTGTACACTTTGAATCCAAATGTAATTCGTTGAGTTAAAATTTATATTCCTTAAGTTTTGCTTGGACATTTTTATAGTTCTCTGCTGGTATATCTTCTTCCGACTCTATTGATAACTTTGGCAACGTTCGTTAATGGATTTATCATGTATACGTATTATGAGGGGTGCGATCCAGTGTTGTCCGGAAAACTTCAAAAAATAGACCAAGGAATACCATACTTGGCGATGGAACTTTTTGAAAATATTCCAGGAATGGCAGGATTGTTCATATCAGCAATATTCAGTGCAAGTCTCAGGTATTTTGCGATTACAATTATTCAGAATTTTTTTTATATTTAATATTTAGTAAAATCGAAATTTGAAAAAACAAATATTTAATTTTTGTCTGGAAGTTCTTATTATCAAATTCTTTGAGGCGTCATATTTGATTCACAAATGAATTATGCTTTTTCGAAAAAAAATAAAGACAGATAAAGAATGATAAACATTGCAACCTACTAGTTTACGGTTTCCTACTTATCCTACAAGTTCATTTAGGGGTCAAAATTTACTATAGGGATAACTTTGTTTTATCTTACTTAGCTCACTGCTGAGTCGACTGCTGTATAACATTAATACCGGTACGCTATAAAATCTCACGGAGTAAAATTTATTTTAGTACAGTATAAATTGGTTGATTATACCTTAATTAGTTTCCAACCTTGTAATATGAATCGTATAATATTACCACGAAAGTTTCTGACGGCAATTTAAAGTAAAGGATAAAAAAAAGGCAAAATCCGCACACTATTAACTGTGCGAATTTGATTCTAGTGACATTATGATTGTCAACGCCGCCCAAACTTATGTGCGATTCCCAATGCCTAGAGAAGCGTTTTTAATCTGTCGTGGGTCTCCTACAACAAATTGTTTGCGGTTCCATATTTAGTATTTTATATTGCTGCTTTTCAATAAAAAAATTTGCGTCGCCGATTCCCTCTTTTATTTGACTTAAGCAACTCGGCGCTGATTATTGTATAATAACTCTCAGCGAATTCACAATTCTGGGCGAGTACAAAAAGAAAGTAATTATTATCGTTGTCGTGAAAATTTTTTTGTGATTCGGGGAGAATAAACACCAACATAAAAGTGTTTACGGCCTAAATAACACGTCCCGCTGACAAAAACAATGGGCGATTTTAGCGAAAAGCTGTACGAATTGCCCAAGTATAAATTGATAAAATAATATTCAATATATCACAATTTTTGAAGGGCAAAAAGTAACCCAACAGTAGTATAAAAAGTCGATAGTAGTTGAACGAGTAGTTTCAATAGTTAAGCGTTTCCGAAGGTAGTCAAATTTGGCAACCCTGCACCGCATATGCTTATCTACACTGATTTCCCGTACAGATTTCGGTCTCTGATCCATCGCTTTTTCGAAAGTAGCAAAATGTGGCAAACCGCACCGCACACGCCTATTTACACTGATTTCGCGTATAGATTTTGGCTTCTCGTCGATTGCAGTTTGTCGCATTGTTATTTGTCGCATTGTTATTTGTCGAATTGTTATTTTTTGTTCAAATGTAGAATGTTTGAACTACTAAAATTGAAATAAATTTGGTCCGTATGCGTATACTGCAAGGATACTGTAGCTGGAATAAACATGACTATTCTATTCAATTAAAGAGTCCAGCTGCACACTAACACAAATAACGTTTCGTCCGACCAGAGTCAGACTTCCTCAGACAAGCAGTTTACAAAAATAAATTCCTGAATTTGCCTCAAATCACTTGGCGTGCCATGAGAAATCCTCTCGCGTGCCACAATTGGCACGCGTGCCAGGGGTTGCCGACCCCCCTGATATACGCTATATCATCCATTCAATAGCTATTAATGAAAATAACATATCCTGTCGTCGGTAATCGACGTTTTTACGAGCGTTCTACATCTCTGCTGAGATAGCTATGTACGTTTTGGAATTGCAACGTTACTTATTTCATTTTGAATTTTTGACATTTCTACCCAGCACGGTCTCTTCTTCATTAAACTCTCTGTCCGTTGTTCTGCTCGAGGATTTTTTTGTGAAAAGATGGCCGAACATGACGGAATCTATCAAATTATTGACTGGAAAAATATCTGGTATAGTAACTTCCTTTTTCAATTTTAAAAATGCAAAGTGATAATACTGTAAGAATAGAACTCTTCGATTCATTTGTGCAGACTTTTAAATTAGGCACGAAATCTGTTCTGCGGACTCTGGCTTTGACAGATGGCTGTAGTTGAAATTCAGAACACCACGATCACACTTTTGAGTGTCAGTGTATTACCAACTTTACGAATCCTCTGCTAAGAACACTACTTAGACTCACTTTCCAGCTTTGTCGTTCTCGGGTTTTCCCTGTTTTCTTTCCGATGTTATCAGCTGCACATGACATCGACTGTGATGACGTGACTTTTTGCACCGAACCCTGATCATCAGAATGTATTCTAATGAATGATATTGATAAAATTTTAAGCAGTATTTTCAAAGAATTGGCTTTTGGTCACCCGGTCAAATAAACTCAATCGGTTCGGCTTGCTTGGGTATCTATATTTGATTGATTTACTTGTTTTCTGTGGCCACAATCCCAAGAATTCAAATTGAGGAGTTTGCAGTTTCTTCTGCCAATTAAAAAACATATGAACTTAGTTTTTAGTGAACTGAGATAAAACCTAATGCAATTGTTTTGTTTATTCAATTAATAATTAATTTTTTTCAGTTGTCGTCATTGGAACACTCGTAATCATCAATGCATTTGTAATTTCTATTGTAAGATCAAACGCACTTGAGTTGGTTTATGGATTTACAGGATTAATATACGGACCTTTGGTTGGAATTTTTATTCTAGGGTTTTTCTTCCCGTGGACGAATAAATATGTAAGAAATAATTCTTTTGAATAATTTATAAAAAGTTCTTGTATTATTGTTTTATGCTGGCCAATCAACAGTGTTTACCATGTCTAAATAATGTATTTTTCTGGTATCATAACATATACACTTTCTTAAAAAAATTTGGCGGGGGCTTTATTTGCAATATATTTTCATCTGAAGCTTCTGAATGACAAGATAACTGATTTCAGTTGAAGTCATATACGCTACTAACCGGTACTACGGTTAGACACTAAGTGTAAGCGGCGGGAATTGATTTAGATTAGCCTTTGATTTATGTTTAAGTCTACCGGTACAACAAGTAGTCGTTGGGTATTCGCATCTGTATATTTGAATATTTCTCTCTTGTTATTTGTCAAATGTACATTCTTTTTCTTATTTAGGGAGCAGTTATTGGTGTTTTTTCTGGGTATGTCATGCTCTCATTCATTTTTCTTGGAAATCACATTTGGAATGAGAATCCATATTCTGAAAATGTTCCTCTTCGTACAATAGACTCTTGTCCAACAAATAATGTTACTTCAGAATTATTTCTAAACACCACAACATCAATGCCAAATATGCTATCTACAAACACTGAAGTGGAGTGAGTATTTTTCTGTTACTAAATGTTGAATATGAAAACTCGATTCAACCTCTTAAACTTTTTTCATTTCAGACACTCAGTTCTTCTGGATATTCTCAACATCAATTTCAACTTTTTAATGTTTCTCGGTTGTTCAGTTGCTATTGTTATGGGATTGCTGTTCTCATTTCTAACAGGTTTGTACCAGTAATTTTCATATGAGGCAAAACTGAAAAGAATTTCAATTCTTTAACTATTTTGTCTTAAATTACTTGCTCAGGACACACACCAGGATCTAAAGCAAATCCGATTTATTTTATTCCACTCGTCGACAACAAACGTCTACCTGTAAAAGTCAGGAAATTTTTTCGCTTTGGAGTTCCAGAACTTCTACCGGTTGAAAAAAAGATCTCATCTAAGACGGATAGCGTAGAAGATGTCAACTACTCAAACAAAATATAGAATAATATGGCAATATAGAGTTATTATCTAGAACTCTGCAACCTGCGACCTGCGGGCTAAATGCGGCCCATAAGGAAACATTGTGCGGCTCGCAAAGAAGTGCCAATTGGTCCCAATGTGGTATGTGCGAATCATTTCAATTCCGAGCCCCATTAAATATCTATGTCTATGACGTTACAATACCTTTTTTGTGCGTGCAATTAGCAATTACTAGAAAGCCTATGTTAAATAAAGGTGCGGCTCACGGTTTCACCCAGGTATTTGTATCTGGCCTTCCTGTATTGAAGCTTACACACCCTTGTCTAGAACATATGGAGTTACATAACGTATTGGTATCAGCAGTTTTTGTATTGCGTAAGAGGTGCTCAAGGTATGCATGTTTATTTGTCCCGTGTATTAATTTAATCATAGATATACAGAAATAAAAATAATATATTCGGAGACAAGAAGCGCTTTTGAGATTATTCAAGCCCAAACAACAGAACGACATAAACCCTTGTGAGTGAATATCTATATATCTAATCATAATGGATAATAGTTTCCTCGATTTATGCAATGCATGATCTACCAAATTCAGTTATCCAATGAATACCAAAGCATGAGTTGTTTCGACAAATTTTGAATAAAATGAAGAAAGATTGTAACATATCAATAATATTTTAGATGTTATTAGCTGCATCTTATCCAGAAGTCATTTGAGTCTATGGTGTTTTACTCTTAATAATAGATAATACACGACGTCACGACGAGCTTATCATTTGTACAGTAGTTTGTGCGCTTAACAAAAGTTCATTCGACAATCGACAGGTGGCGTCATTGAGGCATGTATCACACTTACGATGCCCCAACCTGAGTTCAGGTTGTGCGCCATTTTGGTGCGCGTACTTCAGGCGTTGCTCTTTTTTTATGGAAAAATCGCATTCTCCATTAAACGACTGGGCCAATTGCTTTATCTGATGATCAGGGTTCGGTGCAAAATGCCACGTCATCACAGTCGATGTCATGTGCAGCTGATATCATCGGAAAGAAAACAGGGAAAACCCGAGAACGTCAAAGCTGGAAAGTGACCCTAAGTAGTGTTCTTAGCAGAGGATTCGTAAAGTTGGTAATACACTGACACCAATTTTATGGGGTTGGAAATTGTATTTTTTTCTGGAAGATTATTTATTTATTTCAAAAATTTCTGTGGGTTCTATGGGACTCGTTTTCTGTGTGCAAGACGTCATCAAAATTTGCGCACCTTGTGGCGGTTCCGCTTCCGCGTTAGTAGTGAAGACTGCCGTAAATTTAATTTCCTTTGACAGATTGCATTCCGGTACTACTTCATTTTGGTCTTCGTTCTCATATATTTCCTAAAAATAGTACTTGGACTAGGCTAGATGTATGTGTTCATACTCATGTATGTGAAATATTTGCTGTGTGAAGCAAAAGTTTACAGTACAGCGGAAAACATCAAATTATCAATCTTGTGCAAGCGAGGGTCGCCAAATGACAACGCCAAATTTAAAAAAAAAAGAAATCCAATCTGCATTTAAAAGAAATTAGAAGATAAAGTCGATTTGAGCCTTTTCTTTTAGTTATATACAACTAAATAAATTTAATATGGCGTATGGTATGACTTCGATTTCACACGAAGAGGCAGATGCAAATATTTATGCAAAGGCCTTTGCATAGTGCTGCACTCTATGTTGACAGCAGTCTTCCAATCAACTGTCCTTTCGTCTCTATACTGGAAAATATAAAATCATTTAGATTAAGCAAGCCATTACGGATACACATAGGAATGCTGCCTCTTTACGCGATCTTAGAGATTGTGTTATCTCAGTCATTTCAGATATAGGGTTCAGAACTGGAATGTACGAAAATATCTTTATGAGGTGAAACGCACACAAAGGTGGCACCACTATTGATGCCACTCCAGTATGCAATTGAGATCACGTTGAGCAAGTGAGATCGAATATCAAAATGACACTCATATTGGTTTATATTCTTTGTTAGTAGGTTATCGGACTCACAATGCTGCGACCCAAACCATGTAATATCGGACAGATAGACAAATAATAGACCTCCTGTGAAGTATGCGCACCAAGATGGCGCACAACCTGAACTCGGGTTGTGTACCAGGTTGTGGTTCAGGTTGTGCGACATCTTGGTGCGCATACTTTAGGAGTACACAAAAAATTATCTGAATATCAAGAGCAATGATTGCCCGGATAATAAACACTTATGTTAAACAAATGTAAATCTTCTATAAAGTCGCTTTAGGGATCAAATGTCATATTTTTCGCAAAGATAAACGTAGTTGTCTCCCACGCGCGTAATTATTTTTTTGCGAATTTCTATCGTTACTTTTCCTATTTGCGCTATGGAATCTTTGTATTTCATTCAAACATATATCAGAAGATAACTTACAATTGCGATGTCGTAAAGTAATAGTTTGAAAACGACGGAATGACTACATTTTTCGGATCTTTGTACAAATATCCGCGTTTTCTTTCGAACAAGTAGAACGTTCATAGAAATATTTCAGCACAACAATACCAAATATAGTCAACGTACTTACTGCACGATAGCAAAGAGAAATTCATTCTCTCAAATACAGCGCGTAAATGGATACATTTAAATCTATTATGGCGACTGGTCAGTATCGAATGTCCAGTCAATGACCCAACAACTCTATGAAGTCGCCGACACGTAAAGTGATTTTCTCCCAGATGATAGTTTAGGAGTTTAAAAAAGCGAATGTGATATATATATATGTTTTTATTACCCTAAAACGTTTTACAAAATTCCCATCCTAAAGTACAGAAATACTCCGCCAGGTTAGCCATTTTTCGCTTGCCCGTGTCAAACTTATACATTGCAACAGAAACAGACGAATAAAAAGGTGAAAATAAACTATAAACCTTTTCTCGTTGGATAGAGTCGTAAACTACAGAATTCAATTTTTAATTATTTACAAATTACGTCAATCATTATTACGTCATTTGCCGTTATCAATTCCCCACCTCTTGATGTTTCATCCATTAACGCATGCGCAAGTAATTACTGTATTTGGATATATGATGATATTGGTGAGATGATTTAGCTTTATGTTTTCTCGGTTAAAACAAAATATATTTAAAAAAAAGCCTAATGTCAAAAAAAGCACATTTCAACTTTGCTCGACAATCGTTATTCACTTTATTATCAAAAAAAAAATGAAATAATAGAAAATGCAATAGTGTATATTTTAGATTACCCCTCAAATTGCAAATATTCCTCTGCCAACTGTTTAACCCTTGATCATGCAACATTGGTAGAATCTATTTATGGCGCAACATGTCGAAAGAGTTTCACAAAATTTTTGAGAAGTAAGTGGAAATTCCGAGTCAAAACGCCATACAGTGTGGGATTTTCTGGGCTAAACAAATTATTCACGGTTCACCAACCAGCGCGTGGTTTTTGGTAATGTATGAGTAATAAAGTGAACTCAGACTCTATGCGTGATTCAAGCATGATTTGTGCTCAAAAGAGGTTGATTTGATGTTGATATAGTAAACGTGGGGTCTTCCAAATCATTCTTAACGATTTTAGGAGTTTTCAAACCTATACTAATGTAAAAAGACGCCTATTAATTTTGTTTTTTTCGGCGTACAAATTGTGTTATTTAATGCAACCTGAACAAAAAAGTCTATATCGATAAAAGGTTTCAAATATTCTTCTCTGAAGATTTATTTATTTATTTTTATTAAAACTAAAAGTTGACCCGTGTTTTTGAGCTCAATGGACGTTGTTTCAACCTTTTCGCATTTAAAGTAAATCAAATGACAGTCACATAAGTAAACACCATTTGTTTCATGAATAATCTCGATCAGGATAAACATTAGGTAATAAAATTAAATTGCACGGGCGGGTTTTACTTGAGTGACTTTCTGCGCACCTACGCGTGCACACGACTATATCATTTGTTTTAATTTTGGATAAAAGCCCTATGTTGGTGTCCGGAAATTGGCCTATAGAAGTATGTGTACCAATATGGAAATAAATAATTTTGTTCGCCAACTTTACATCAAGTTGTGTAAAGAGACTGAAACCTATGGGCAGGGGGATATCCACTTGGCTAACACAGACAGTCCCCGAACTCGTAATAGAATTAAAATAAGGAAGATCGGAAAAAATTATCGCTTAAGCCTAACCTGGTACAAATACTACGGGAATACCCAAAAATTTGTTTCCGCGACTTTTGTTGAAGATTAGAACTATCTTACAGCTTTACTTTTGAGTGCGTGCGACCTCATTGGATGGAATGACAACAAGCGATATCAAATATCACTATTCCTAAAATCATGCTTTCCGAAGTTACTCGGGAACAGATATATTTCTTATTAGACAAATGAGTGAATAAATTAAATAAACGTAAGTTCAACTATGAACACTCTTTCATAATTTTCAGTTGGTCCACATTAATTGAAAATTTATGAAATAGTTCAGGCGCTCCAGAAGTGTGTGTACAAATATGGAGGTACCTAATTTTGTTCGTCTACTTTATATCAATTTGTGTAAAGGGACTGAAATCTATGGGCAGGGGTATATTCACTTGGCTACCACAGGCAGACCCGAACTCGTAATATAAATAAAATGAGGAAATTGGAATAAAATTATGACCTAATCCTAACCTGGTACACATACTACGGGAGTACCATATTATAAATCAAAATTAATGATGAATATTGAAAAAACACAAAAAATGCTTTTTAGGGAGATTGCAAAATATATGAATAATGAGTGCGGTTTTGTCAGAGAACGCAAATCATTAATTAGTTTCGATTCATTTATTTCACTCTCACCTTTATCGCAACTACCTGAAAAATACAAATGATTCGTTGTTGTTCGTGCGGTGAGTAACGTCTACGGTTTATTCCATATAGTAGTTTCGCTGATTTTATCGCTAGTCATGATGATATAGTTATTTGCTGGCAATTCCACACGAAATGTTGAAAATGGTTTAGGGAATTTCTTCAATTGTGCTTTAATGGCTGTTCGTACCGAGAAAATGAAGAGAGTATACACCAAACAACAAAACGGGTATTTTTTGGTGACAGAACGGGCGAAGATTGATGCCTGAAAATTAAGTCTGTACGTCGCCAAAAAAGTTTTAGTTTTCATCATTACGAAATATTTTTTATGAACTCCAATGGCTCCCCTTAAATCTTCATACACTCGAATAATCCTTGCAGAATAAATCGTTTATACATCATAATAAACCATCTTTGCCTATTTAATCATATCATGCAAAGTTTGACGCAAGCTAACTTCCGATTATCATATTGTTCAATTTGTAACGACCTTGTCATGAAGCAATGTTTGATGTCAATTCAATAGGTAATATACATCATACCTCATACTTCGCATCTGCTGACAGCAAGTGCTTAATATGGAATGTGTTAAGTAAGTCACGGGGAGACATATGCGCTAACATGAGTCTGCATATACACTTACGATATCAAAGTTATTACAATTATCACTTTTCACTACACAAATAGTGTTATGGATGAAATATGTTAATTGCGAAACTAAAACTATAATTCGACCATTTCTAACTTAAGTAACTCCCGCGTAAAATTGACGACGATTGGTGCACCCTACCAAGTTTTAGATTTACAATCCTTGACGGGTTCCTCCCTCCCCACTTTTTTTTGCCATACGGCTTGCCAAACTAAACCATAAGATATGTATACCCGCCTTTTTACTCTTGACTGTAAATCCATCAGAAAATGTTATATTTTTATATTTTATTTTTGTCATGGTAA